AACAAAAGTGTGCATGTTTCTAAGACATATTGAAAAAATATTTTCATAATACAAAGCATGTTACAATAACTTCATATCCACGTTGCAATTAAGAATTTTGCAAACAAATCAACCAAATATGGTTTATTTCAATTTTATTGTATGATATCACTTATTTATTTATTGTGTGTCTTGCTTGTAAATGTATAAGTATATATGTAATTGTTAATGTATAATTGTTATCCTCTTGTAGCACCATACGTGTGCTTAAGTTTAAATAAATTGTCTTGTCTTGTCTTGGGATCTTGACCGTTTCCAAATTCTCAAACAGGAGGGGTGGGGTGACCGCAGGGACTCCCTCTATATTTCATTTGATTTATTATATTGTCCCATACATGAATATATTTGGTTTAGGGTGGGGATCTCGACCATTTCAAAGTTCCCAAACAGGAGGGTTGGGGTGACCCCAGGGACTCCCCTGTATTTCATTTGATTAGTTATATTGTCCCATACATGAATATATATGGTTTAGGGGTGGGGATCTCGACTGTTTCCAAGTTCTCAAACAGGAGGGGTGGGGTAACCCTAGGGACTTCCCCCTATATTTCATTTGATTAGTTATATAGTCCCATACATGAATATATATGGTTTAGGAGTGGGGATCTCATCTGTTTCAAAGTTATCAAACAGGAGGGGGTAGAGTGACCCAAAAGATTCCACCTATATATCATATGATTTGCTTACATTCAGGTATCATATAATCTAGTTGCACTATTTGTGAAAACAAAGTAAGAAACTTCCAGCTATTTTAACTGACCCTTCAAAATTGAGAAAAAAATTGCAGTAATATGTTTACACTTTAAAAGCATCTTACATGCATTATCAACATTTATCACTGATAAAGAAGATTTATACTGTCACCAGGAACATATATATTGTTAGATATACTGTTCCCAGCTGTCACATTGTATTCAGGGATTTGGACATTAAAATTTGTCAGAAAGTAATTTTGAGTTTCTGTATCAAATATTTTTTGCTTTTTCTTTCTTTTACATATATCTTTTGGTTTCCATTTCTAGTGTTTATATTTATTTACCATGCATAGATGTATTTTGTCACCTGCCTGAAATTTTTTTTTTGTAGTTGATCTCCAAAACCCGGAATTACCCTTATCCGCTTCCGGAATCGGACCCGATATTGTAATTGTCTACACGGCATCCATTGTTTTTCGATGTTGTTTTTGTCAGTCAGATACGATTTTACTCGAATTTACACATTACTTGTCGGCGATTATCTGTATAAAGCTAGCGGTTGAACAAAATGAACATCGCTGTTATGAATAATAAAGATGAAAATACGTTTTGAGATTGTTTATTTAGAGACTTTGGTAAAAAGGTTTGCAAAGTTATTTTTAATTTCTTTCAAGTGAAAGGTCCGTCGGGCGTAGCTAGTAACCAAGTCGAGAGTCCGATTGCAAAAGTGGTAGGTCGCGGACCTCGGACCACCGCTAATTTGAACCCCTGCCTCCAAATTGAAATGATACGAAAATTTCGTCTTCTAATTTGAAATTGCCGCCAACAGCATGAACAGTTGAACTTATTAATAGACTACTGACGTAGTTGTACCACGTATTGACGACAAACAATATTCCTACGACTTTTGCCATTTGGGAAATCTAAACTACTTGTCTTTAAAGATTTTCGGCGATTAAATATTTCATACAATTGTTTTTTGACATCTTAGCCAAAAGCACAGGGGATAATAAACTACATAAGGATTCCTAATGTGCTCTACTTCCTATGTGCAACTTCAAAACTTTTGGGTGGTTCGACGATCATTTGTTTTTTCTGGTCATATTTTTGTAATCCAGAATTAAAAGTATGAAAAAACTATTCAATTAGTTATAAATAACATTATATCCAGCTAGATAATAACAATGGCACGTATTTCAGCATTTATTGGGTAGAACACAAATCTAGGGTGCTCGCATAAGGCAGCTTAACTGCCTAAAAATAACCCCCCCCCTTTTTTTTGCTTTTGTGCAATACACTATGCTGTTGCGTATCAATTCAAATTTCCAATGGATTTTGCAACCATAATTACCCATTTAAATTTACCATAGTGCTAACTTAATCTATTTTATAATAGAATTTTAAATATGGTGTCAAATCTTTCATATGGATTTTTTTGTAAAAAAAAAAGATGCAACATTAGCAGATATTTTTACTGGTCTTCCTTTATAAATATGCATTTCTTTAAACATAATTTAAAAGCAGTGTAAGGGAGGTAATCAAAACGTTTTTGTTTTTACCTCCCTTACACTGCTTTTAAATTGTCTTAATTGTTCATTAACCGTTACTTTATACATAATTTAAAAGCAGTGTAAGGGAGGTAATTCAAATGATGTATTAGAATTACTTCCCTTACACTGCTTTAAATTATGTTTTGTACTAATGTATTTGTCCTTTAACCAGGACACCCTTGTTTTCCCCCTTTTTTTGCCCCTAATTCCTAAACGATTTGAGCCATAACCCCCCAAAGCAAATCCTAACCATCCCTGTGTGGTATGGAAACTTGTGGTATAATTTCAGAGAGATCCATACACCGTTCCACAAGTTATTGTCTGGAAACTAGAAAAATGCTTATTTTTGGCCCCTTTTTGGCCCCTAATTCCTTCATTGTTGGTACCATAACCCCAAAAATCAATCCCAACCTTCCTTTTGTGGTATTGAACCTTATGGTAAAATTTCATAGAGATCCATTCACTTAAACTAAAGTTATTGTGCGAAAACCAATGTGTCTTCGGAAGACGCCGCAGCCGCCGCCAACGTCATACCAATATACGACCTTGCGGTCGTATAAAAATGAAATTGTCATTTAAAGGCAATAACTCATTTTAACGAGGGTTTTTTTTTTAACGACCTTGACTACCCATTGTAGGTACTCATTTATGGAATCGACTCACAATTTTGGCCAAATTGACTCATTTGTAGATCTTGGCTTGTTGATTTTTTTGCCATTTAACCTTCTATCTATCTAAGAAAGTTTTCAAGATAATCGGTAAAAACGCAAAAACAATTGGTAACAAGCATTTTGTGAGTATTGCCTGGCAATACATAGTCCCCTACTGGTTAAAAATTCATTGTATTGGAACAAAATGCTAACTTGATCTATAATTTGTCATGGTGTAAACTTTATAACAAATATCAAGTCAAAATCTTCAAGTATGACGAAAAAAAATGTGGACAACTGATTATTTGAGTGAATTTTCTAAGTCCAAGAACCATAACTCTGCACAAAATCATCAGACTGGAACAAAATTCAATCTTGATCTGTAACTTGTCATGATAAAACTATATACCAATTATCAAATCAATATCTTCAAGCATGACGAAAAAAAGTGAGGAAAACTGATTATTTGAGTGAATTTTCTAAGTCCAAGGACTATAACTCTGTACAAAATCATTAGACCGGAACAAAATTTGAACTTGATCTGTAACTTGTCATGACAAAACTTTATACCAATCATTAAATCAATATCTTCAAGCATGACAAAAAAAGTGGGGAAAACTGATTATTTGAGTGAATTTTCTAAGTCCAAGGACTATAACTCTGCACAAAATTGTCAGACCCAAACAAAATTCGAACTTGATCTGTAACTTGTCATGATTAAACAATACACCAAATATCATATCTTCAAACACGAAGAAAAAGTGTGGAAAACTGATTTGCTGGAATGACAGATGGACAGACAGACAGACGAAGTGCAAACCTGAAGTCCCCTTCGACTTCGTCGGTAGGGGACTAATAAAATGCTCCACAGGGCACAGTTTGATACGACCACAGAGGTCCATCCCTGAACCGTTGTATCAAGTATGGACACAACATTCAAGCTTGATGCAGCTCTGAATTTGGATTGTGATTAAATATTTGACACAACATAGTTTTCTGACACAGATTGAATGTGGTCTAAGAACTTATATAAATTTAAAATTGGATATTTATCTATTATGGTCCAATATCCAAAATATAAATACATGGTTAGAATCAGCATATCAAAGAACCCCAAGAATTCAATTTTTGTTTAAAATCAAACTATGTCTAATTTTAGACCATTTAGAACTATGTGGACCAATTTAAAACTGGGCTTAAAATCAAATTTTTTGAAGGTGTAAAAATGAGTAGCAGGTAACCCTTTTTTTGGAGTAAACTATTGTGATGTGAAACAAACCCTCAAAATGCAATACAAATTTAAAAGCTTTAAGACAGGCTAGGTGTTTAATTATGTACACTTTTTGTAAATTATCATAAAGTGAAATAAATCATTTTACACACATTTATATCATAGTCCAAAATTTATAGAGTTAAAATTCAATTTGAGAGTCCAAATTTAGTTATTTCAACAAGAGAATATTCTCTTGTTCCTTTGAGCCTTCAAGTGCTGAACAGTTATAGATATGTCCATGTCTGGTGAATCTGCTCCTTCTTAAGATATTCTATTATGAAGCAGTTTGTAATTTGAGTACAAATTTTTAAAACAAAAATATTAAAATGAACAGCTGACCAATTTCAAAAGGTTTGACATTTCGAGATTGCCTAATCTGTGTGTATTTGTCACAATCTTTTAAGTACAGATTTTCTTTTTTTATTTACATGTGCTATTCGAACTTCCAGTTGAAACATACACAAGTTTCTAATTTTTTTTTTATTATGACTTATTTTAACCATTGTGAAGTGTTCTAGAATCATTTACAAGCATTTTCAACTTCTGTTTGATGATGGAAAACGGATTTTTCCATGAAAATACCGCAAATTAAGGTATGCAGATATTTTCTATATTTATTTTCTAGGAATAATTTATTTTACATGGTCAGCAGAAGTCAAAAAGCAGGAATTTTGATTTTTTGATTTTTTTCAAAAAATAAAAGTTGGCAGATCCTAATGGATCTTTTTTTATCACAAACCTGAAGACAAAACATGTTAAAGTGAGGTAAATTAAATATTAATGTTCTAAAAATTACCTTTATTTTATTAAGTATAGCTTCTTTGCCTTGTGCTGCAAAATCTTCAAATGTAAAAAAACAACTGTCCTGAAATAAAACAGAATGTCATTAATTGTTGAATGTGAATTGTTAATAGAAATTTGCATAAAAACTATTTCAAATTTATTTGTTACAAACAAGTAATTGTTGTTTTAAAATTAGTATTGCCTTGACGATCAGTAAAAATTCAGCTGTAAACATCATTAATCAATATAGTAAATAAATTCCTTTTTATCATTGTTAATGTCTTTTCAATGACCTCACTGTACACAAAACTTATGCAATTATAGTGTCCTCAGCCATAGGGAATTTGTAAACAATTCTTAGTCTCATTGTATACTGGAGAGGGGGGCTATGTACTGGTACTACATGTATACAGTCACAGACATAACAGAATGTATATATTTTTGGGCAGATCCTTATTTTGTAGGTTACGCCTGGAAATTTAACCTCTCCCTTGGATTTATAATTAAATGTACTTAATGGGTCATGAAGTTATCCTGGATATTAGAAAATGACACATTTTCACCTGTATTTCAATTATGATTCTTGTAATCAATTTTCAATGAGAACATGGAGAAAGGTTGTGTCAAAATACCATGCTTAGAATAAGTGTGGTGTTATCTAGTTATTTTGTGTACCTGTCAGGAACCTTATCTATTTTTCTTATTTTTATATAACATAACACGTTTTTAATGTCTTTTGTCAATGAATTTTCTATTGATGGCAGATTCTAAATAAAATTAATTCAAGACTTGAGGTAGATTAACTGTATAACTCCATCTTGGATTGTAAAATAGCAATACACAATCAGTCTAGTTCTTTGCTTAAATCTGCAAGTTTTGAGACAGATTGGCAATTAATATTTTTTTTTTAATATACAAATTTTTAGCAAACAAAATGAGTTCTCTGGGGAAATGATCTTAGATCAATTGATCAGAGTTTTGTATCTGTGCAAAGATCAGTTATAAGCTGATTTTGTATATTCATTGTTTCAAGGTACAAATCATTAATACATTATGTTTTTAATTAAACTATACTTTAAAACAAGAAGAAAAAAAAAACGCTACCAAATGATAGCGTTTTTGTTAACATTGAAAATTATGTCATATATAATTTCTTAACAATTGGACCAACATCATCTTCGCTAGCCAAGGGTTACGACCCACTTCCCTCCTCTCCACCCTTGGCGGATTGAGATAGAATTTCGGAGACACAAGGTAATGATTTTCATTGGTTGCAGTCGAAACTCGCTGCATCCAATCTAAAAGCGCCTATAACATAATATGTGTAAATGTAGAAAGTGTATGTAAACAATTGCCACATGCTTATTGTGCAACAAGTCTGAGTCTCCAAATTGAAGAGTTCAAGTGCTACCATTGGTCAAGAATAATGTATTCGGAATGGGCGTGACTTTAATCTACCGATAGATGGCGCAACATTGTTATCACACATGTTGGCTTAATCTGCCAAGGGTGGAGAGGAGGGAAGTGGGTCGTAACCCTTGGCTTGCGAAGATGGACCAACATCGGATACTTCTGTAATTCAGTTACATGTACTTTTTCACCAGAAATTATGCTGGAATTTTTTTTTAAATTTGTAAAAAACTTAATCATTATTCAGCCCTGTCGTAATATCAGTTGTGTACCGTATCATAGATAAAATTGAGAATGGAAATGGGGAATGTGTCAAAGAGACAACAACCCGACCATAGAACAGACAACAGCAGAAGGTCACCAACAGGTCTTCAATGCAGCGAGAAATTCCCGCACCCGGAGGCGTCCTTCAGCTGGCCCCTAAACAAATATATATACTAGTTCAGTGATAATGAACGCCATACTAAACTCCAAATTGTACACAAGAAACTAAAATTAAAAATAATACAAGACTGACAAAGGCTAGAGGCTCCTGACTTGGGACAGGCGCAAAAATGCGGCGGGGTTAAACATGTTTATGAGATCTCAACCCTCCCCCTATACCTCTAGCCAATGTAGAAAAGTAAACGAATAACAATACGCACATTAAAATTCAGTTCAAGAGAAGTCCGAGTCTGATGTCAGAAGATGTAACCAAAGAAAATAAACAAAATGACAATAATACATAAATAACAACAGACTACTAGCAGTTAACTGACATGCCAGCTCCAGACTTCAATTAAACTGATTGAAAGATTATGTCTTCATCATATGAATATCAGGCACAATCCTTCCCGTTAGGGGTTTAGTATCATACCATCATAACATATATGAGAAGAACATAACCCGTGTCATGCCAACAACTGGTTTTTAAATAAATGTGTTTAGTGCGGATGCAAAGACCCTATAAGTGAATCAATATTAACGCCAAAATATGCAATCTTTAATGACCTGACAACAGTATCGTAACTATATCCCTTCTTAATAAGTCTATTTAAAGGTTTTGTTAGCTTCAGAGGTGAATACTGACATTTTTGTGCTTTATAAAGAATATTTCCATAAAAAATTGGATGTGAAATACCTGAACGTATAAGAAGTCTGCATGTTGAGCTATATTTACGAATGATGTCCTTATACCGATGATAAAATTTAGTAAATGTTTTGACTAGTTTGTGATATCGAAAACCCTGGTGTAATAATTTTTCAGTAATACATAAATTTCTCTCGTTAAAATCTAAAACATTGTTACATACACGAGCAAATCGTACAAGTTGAGATATATAAACACCGTAAGATGGTGACAAGGGAACGTCACCATCTAAAAATGGATAATTAACGATAGGAAATGAAAAATCATCTCTTTTATCATATATTTTAGAATTAAGCTTTCCGTTAATGATATAGATATCAAGATCGAGGAAAGGGCAGTGGTCATTGTTAGTATTAGCTTTATTTAAAGTAAGTTCAACAGGATAAATTTCTTTAGTATACACACTGAAGTCGTCATTATTGAGAGCCAAAATATCATCCAAATATCTAAAAGTATTATTAAATTTGTGTATCAGATGTTGTTTCGATGGGTCTTTGCTGATTTTTGTCATAAATTGTAACTCATAGCAATACAAAAAAAGGTCCGCAATAAGTGGTGCACAGTTAGTCCCCATTGGAATTCCGATAACCTGACGATATACGGAATCTCCAAAGCGAACAAAAATGTTATCTAGTAAAAATTCAAGGGCATATATAGTATCAAAGCATGTCCAATTGACATAGTTTTTTTGTTTATTGCTACTAAAAAATGACCTAAAAGAGTTTGAACATATATATTCACATTCTGACTTTTTAAATGCCCATTTAATTAGGTGTGTGAATTTTTTCTTAATGAGAATGTGAGGCAATGTGGTATATAGGGTAGAAAAATCAAAACTTTGAACAGATTCAAAATCACCAATATATGCATGCAATTTATCAAGTACTTCCAACGAGTTCTTGACACTCCAAAAGTAATTAATCCCACTATTTTCGAAGGCCTTATTTGAACAATTTATAGACGTTACTTGTTGTTTTACATGATAGTGATTTTTTTATTTAAATGTTAACTTATATATTGTAAAATTGTATAAATAAATGGTGGCCTAAGTAATAACATTCTATTTTGCCAAATAGTTTTAATAGTTATAAATATACGTTGATAGTGGGGCTTCCCATGGATAGAAACAAGTGCCTGTGTGAAAGACCCAGTGAGAAATTCCAGACTTGTTTAACTATACATTCCCTAACATGGTAAAATCCGGCTAATTTCACAGCTCTATCCTCGGGATTAGCTGCTGCTTCATATGCCTGATAATATGCTTGAACGAACTGTGTTCCTATATCGTTAAATTGAGGGTTGTAAGCCATGCCGATGCTGCTCCAGTAGATGGCGCCGTCTAGCTGAGCATGATAAAGTGTTGATCATAAAATCTGCGCCATAAATTGTCGTTATCTATATAAACTTAAAGACTGAGAAAGATCGCTATTCTAAAATCTGAACATTAAATGCATTATGATTTGATTAAACTTTTATATTTGTAGGAATAATTTATTTAATGCATTTTTAAAAGATAGTGTTATTTTCGTTGCTGTTTCGGTCAAAGCATTTTTATTTTAAAATCACCGGAAACTAAAAAATATTGGCGGAAGTTTTGAATGTTTACAAATATTTCACTTAAATTTACCCGTATGAAGCAAAGATAAACCTTGTTAAAAGTGACCAAATCCAACCAAAATCAAAGTCGACAAGGTATATAACAATATATAGAACACTTAAACTCTTAAAGATTCATTATAAAAAATGGATATTCTGTTGTGTTTATACCTCGAAAAAATTATTTCTCTGAATACAGACAAACCTGTTTGCGTTTCAGAAAGACAAACGCTTTCCTTTATTTTGGTGGGCAATTACTTATTTTTTAGTTCAGGACTATAGACATGATAGAAGGTATAAATTAAAAAAACTAAATTTAGCCCACGTCATGGTTGAATTCGGGTCCGATCGCCCTGATTCACGTTCGCCCAAATACCTGTTTGCCCAGGGTCCATTTGCCCTGATTTTTATTTTTCTTTATTGTTGTCTAGTTGCTTAATGTTTATTATTTGAACAGAGTATGTTAAAGTTGTTGAAAAATTCACTGAATACAGTTCTGCCAACTTTTAATAATGCAAATGCGTGAGATTTGTCCAAAATCGTAAAGATCAAAGAGAAAAAACAATAGATCAAAGGAAAATGCTGCCAAATAAGCATGAAAATGATTGAGTCTCACGCTAAATACGTGAGACTTGGCAGCCCTGTGAATGTTTATATTGCTGCAACCAAATAATTATTTTCCTTCGATTTGCATAGTAGAATACTGGAATGCAATGTACTTATTTATATTGATATTTGTTAACAAATTTAATAATTCTAGCAAGTCAATTTATGCAGTATACATGTGATAATAAATGAACTTATAAATCCATTTCATGTTTAACAATTCCATGAATTCGTACATCATTGTTTTCACTCCTTCCAAGCTGGTTAGTTTATCAAAACAAAATGTTTTTATTATTAATCCATTAAAGACAATTATTACAAAAATTGGTGAGAATTATTATTATGAACTATTAATGCTCCAAAACAAGCCATCAACTTTTTTTCAAATATTTCCATGTGTTTTCATGAATTTCTAGAATTTATACCATATAAATATCTGAATAAGTTTATTAAATTATTATACCCTTAATATTAATATTTTTTAATAAAAGTAGGGAGAACGAACCCAGTGCGAACGGACTCTATGGGCGAACGAACTCAAGGCGAACATGTTGTCAGGGCGAACGGACCCGATACCATCATGGTTATACACTAGTCCAAATAATTATGACATCTTGAAAAGCTATTTTTATTTTTTTGCCTTGAAGGCATCACCCGTTCCAGTCATTCCCATGGACGGCAGACATTTGGGCAAGGGCCAGTAAAAATTGGTTTTGGTCAGTTAAGTGATATGCATTACTGGACCAAAAGTCCAGTAAAATTTTCATTTTGTCCAAATCATATGTGTAAATGTCCTGTAAAAAAGAGTCTGATCCAGTTAAGAAAAACACTTCAAGAAGAATGATTTACTGGACCAAATGTCCAGTTGATTTCTCAAAGATTTGGAAACCACTGCAGGTCTCGATTTGACTAGGTGATGAATTGACTATACTGGGTCCTGATTTAACCAAGTGCCGAAGTGAATTCTATTGAATAGGTGGCAGAATGTTTGGATGGAGTGGGAAATAGTAAGAAAGTACGGGAAAACCTATGCATGTTTCCAAGCAACTTTTCCCATGTTTTTAAAGCATTTTCACCTCTCTCTAAAAATCTGCTACCACTTATTCAATATGGTTGCATTAATAAATGAAAGGGCCTAAATGATAAAATCTATGAGATGACCATTTCTGTTAAAACTTACATGGTTCTGATTGATATGGACAATAGATATCTGCACAACAAAAGATTTCAACAGTGTAACTCAACATAGACTACTTTCACATTAGCTCATTTTCCCATACATTTCCAATGTCATAATGTTTACATTACAGAAAATGGGGTCGTCTTAGTGATAACCCTGTAGGGATATCCTAGCCCCTGACAGTTTCTTAATTGCCATTCTAAATGTCTTGAAAATAATAGAAAAAGGCTTTGGGTTTGCCTTGAATATTGTTAAATTTTATTTTTATTTTTATAAAAGAATGGCTAAAAAGGATACACCAAGGTCAATGTTGCAAGCATTCATTGAAAATGTTCCAACTACAGCTCCAGTAAAGAGAACAAGAGCTAGAACAAGATCTCCAGAAGACAGGCATTTCAATGAAACTGTTCCTAATCAGAAAAAGAGAAGAAGATCATCTCTAGCAGTAAAACAAACACCAAGATCAATGGTAAAGTGTCTATTAACCCTAGCATCAAGTAGATTTCAACAAAACTATAATGCCTTATTTTCATAAAAATTGTTGATACAAAAAAGGCTTAAATAAGCTTTGTTTTTTTTAACATTCCTCCTATGGTTAGCTTAATTAGCAGTTTTAAGGTTCCTAATCATAGATGTCATTTTTGAGTGTTCTCCTTTAGTGCAATAACTGCCTCCTGCATGTGCATTTATATGATTAACTAAAACAGCTTCTTAAACAATATTTATTAATTTTTGCCAGTGGCAGAAATTCCTGATCAAGGGGACCCTAGCTAAAGTGACAATTTAAGCTGTATTCTAATATATTCATCAATAACTGCTGCATATTTTGCTGATGAAACATATATATGCAGGAATAATAAATAAACTACATATAAAATTGACAAATTTTCCTGAAAAATAAATTCATAACATTGAAGGGTACAAGCAAACAGATGTGAAAGCAGAATTTTTTGTTGTGATATAAATTTCTTTTTGTGGATGCACAAAATTTAAACCCCAAAAAATAAAAAAAAACAAAGAATATTACTATATTTACTTTTTACTTAATCCCCATAAAGTGAATTTAGAGACTAAAGCACAAAAACTAATGTTCCTTCAGTTGTCAGAGGTACAACTACATAAGTTTCTGGATCTAAAAGTATGAACTTGCATGTTTGTCTCTCTATGTGCATAACTATTCTCTGAGTTGATTTAGAGTTAATCAGTATGTGAATCTTTTATTTTTCAGATTGAATCTTATATGCATGATCACAAAACACAGACTCCGTTTGTTCGTGTGTTACGTAGACGGTCGAAAACTTTTACTCCAATTACAGAGTCAGGTGATAGAAGTGATGTAATTACACCAAGAACAGCATTGGAAGGATTTATTAATAATGGTAATCTGTAAAAAGGGATTAAAACATAACGCTTTATGTTAAAAGGGATTAAAACATAACGCTTTATCCAGGGAATACTTGTCAGATTTCTTTTTTTATTGAAATAGTCCAAATGGTCAAAAGATGCTTTTGTTTTGAATCTTTAAGGGGTCAATGTAGAAATAAGAAGATGTGGTATGATTGCCAATGAGACAACTCTCCACCAGAGACCAAATAAAAATTATATTTATTTAGTGTACTGCTTTTTGGAAAATTACAGAAAAAACTACTTAGTATTTTAGACAGAAATCAAAGGGAGATAAGTATTTTAGACTATCCAAATCAAAGGAAAATAAGTATTTTAGACAACAGAAATCAAAGGGAGATAAATGTGTTCTATGAACATCAATTAAAACCAAGTGTGAACACAATCATTCATGGTATGTGATTTTAACAATGACATCGCAGGCAAACCAAAGAGAACAATGTTGCTTGGGGGTCAGATGGATAAAAATCAATTTAAAAGTTCTGTGGCTAGTTACTATTAAATTTTTGGGAAATGATATATTTAACTTGTGACCTTGTGAAGAAGTATGATGAACTAACATCAGACATAACCATCACAGTATATAAATAGAAAAATTTGACAGACAGAATCATTTTGTAGATCCTGCTCTGTAGCTATGAATCAATCATAGGAACTTGAGTAAATTTTGTTGATCCAATCATGTATTACAGCTTTAACTAAAATCAAACTACTGTGTATTTTTGTGAATTTCGTGGGAATAAGAGAATCATGCTGTCAATTGTTCAACAAAGTATAAATTGTCTATAGCTAGGCTTGTAATAAAGACTGTAATGAAATATCCACGAAAATACAATTTTTCCTCAATCCACAAAAATTGGACACATGAAAATAAATGATTCAACAATACTCAAAAACTATCAAAAAAATTACTAGCTTAAATTTTGTTCTCATAATTGTGAATGAAAATAACATTGTAATATAACTGATGTTAAATGATGAAATGTTGCCTTAAGTGGTATATGTACATATTTTGTTTTAGCACCAGAAGAGACACCAGTCCAGAGGGCAGTAAATGAGAGTGAGCTGGATAGTGAATCAGATATCATCTTGCCTAATGAAACCCTTCATGTGACTCATTCACCAATGTAAGTAGCAGAGGGAAATATTGTATTATAGCATTTATGTACTACTATTATTAATTGTTGCACCAGTAAGAAAATTGATATCTTTAGGATTTTGAAAGTATGAGTCAAATATTCTTTTTTTTCAATTTCAGACATAATGAAGACACTGGGTCAATTACAACTTCACAGAAACAAAGGCAAAACCAACATCATATCACATTACAGCAGTTTACACAAGGGATGCATAACCTGACCTCAGCTGGTGAGATCATGTGACCTAGTCATGTAATTAATGTAAAATCGTTATCATATGATCATTGAAATGGACTTTACTTTACACATGGAATTTTGTCAACCAAAAAATGATGGAAAAATGTTTGAGGCATACTCAGGGTTTTTGTTTTGCAAAAAAAAAACAATGAAAAAAAGAGGCCATTTTTATCTCTCCTGCAAGAAGGCGACATTGCAATCTTACAGTCTTGGATTAAAGTTTTTTGTGAAACCAATAACATTTTTCAGCAATCATTGAATTTTAGGAACTTTTACAGAAGCCTTCTCATAACCATCTGGTGTAAAAAAAAATCAATATTTTACAAATAAATGGACTTGATTCATTTTTTCTTCTGTCCAACTTTAGGTACAGTCTGTGGTTAAAGATTTTACACTTGAATAACCTTGTCAAACCTTTATGCAAATTTACAAAACTTGAACAGAAGCATTTTCATAATCAAGAGATAGCCTTCTGAGCAAAATTAGATTTGTATTCATTTTTCTGTATTTTCCTGATAATACACTTAGTATTTTGTTTTGGCATTCAATATTTCACTTTTACACTGACAGCAGCAGTCACAGCAAGAAAAAGGGTTCCACTGAATCCTTAACAACTTTGAATATAGCCAATGTAGGCTGATAGGGTCATAAAACACTAAGTGGTCAATCTTCAAAACAACAGTCTACAAAAAACTACATAAAAAACAAAAAACTGAGCAATACAAACCTCATCCAAAACCAGGGTGATATCAGGTGCTCCTGGAGGGAAAGGATATCCAGCTTTACATGTGGCAATGGTCGTGTTGCTCATGGTAAGTAGACATTTTGTATTAAATCTCACTCAGTGATGTCATGATCAAGAAAATGAGGATGGAAGAATGGCTACAACCATTTGGTAAAAATTCATCCAACATAGAGCAGAACTAATTTAATTCTCTCTGGTATTCTGAATATTGATAAAATGATTTGTACATTTTGTAGTTCATGTAAAAAAAATCCTTACATTTCAGGATTCTAAAATGAATATATCCCAGAGGCGGATTTAGGGGGGCCCGGCCCCTCCCCTTTTGTGTGAAAAATTTAGTTGATTATATAGGGAATCACTGAAGCATGACTGGAGCGGGGCCCCTCTTAGGCAGTCAGTGAGCCCCCTTTTATGAAAATTTCTGGATCCGCCACTGTATCCCTCCACTGAAAAGCATGTCAAAACAGTTAAAATTATTCTTTTTAGATCCAGTGATATTTCAGAATGTTTTCTAATCTTTATTTTTTCAGCCAATCAGACAAAAGAAAGGATGTTTAGCAGTGATTCAGAAGACACCCCTGAGATTCCTCCAGATGTTACTCTTGATGTACTGGTAGACTCATTGAAGTAAGTCACATAAGCTCTGCCATCAGTTCACTTATTTTGCTTTAGTAGCCAACTTCTACGTCATTTAGTCTTATTGGCAATCATGCCACATCTTGTTATATTCATATATATATAAATAGTGGCATTTGTGTTGTATAAACAGATTTTATTTCCTTATTCTTTAAAAAAAATAGTTACAGTTTAACTTCATTAGTTATTGTTTTTTTTTAGCTTTGTTGTCTTGTCTGTGACAAATGTCTTTCAATGAAAAAGTGATGCATTGTTAATAGTATATATATGAATCAGATATGCTATGCGCTTGTAGAAAGTGATGTTAACAAAATGTCTGTTGTGTTCTGATATATATATATATTTAGCTCATTGTAATCATATTTTGATTGACACAAGTCAGTCGGTATACCTATAAAAAAGGTCAACAGTTTTGCAAAATCATTGCCTAAAACAGGAATTTTCCAAAAAAAATGGGGAATTTTACGTAAATTTTATGTTATGAATATATTATATTAAACATGTAATGAAATGATGTTGAAATTTATTTTATGTGATTATATAATTCTCCTTATGGGTTTTGTTTTCAAGATGAATAAGATATAGCCTTTATTTTGAATCTTTTTTCCAGTTCAGAAAGTGATAGAAGTCATATGAGGATGCCACAACAAGACAGGCGACAAAATCTGAATCATATAACATTAGAACAGTTCTCACAAGGATTGAAAGAAAAAATAGGTTATATATCATGTTTTAGCTTCCAAGAAATATCTTGCCCAGACATTGCTTTCACCAAATTGAATAAAATTATTATATGTATTTTATATTTATTATTATATGTATTTTATACATATACAGTCAGGGATATAACTCTATAGGGTTATTACAGAAAAATAACATACATTTGTTATTGTGGACTAAAAAATCAAAGAACTGTGATAACATATGTATGTTACATGTTTCAAAGGGACAATATACATCATTAGTTTAGTTAAAATGTATAAAAGTTCCATTGATATTACTTTTGTCTATATGTATACTTAACTATTGAAAGATATAACAGTTCATAGTTTGCCAATTTTGCATAGTACACCTCTATGTTATTACAGAAAAAATATGCCTGTAATAACTAAAGGGTTTTTATCACAGCTTCTCTATATCACTTCAAAGCATTTGCTCAGACATACATCATGCTTAATTACAATGTATTTTAATTTATTGTAAGAAATAATGACCAGAGCATGTAATGAGGTTCTGCGCAAGTTTCTCAGTAATTCCCAAGTGTCTTATATAATAAGCTACATTCCTTTAATAACCTAGCCTTGTTATCACAGCTAAGTTTATCCCTTAATAGCCTCGTCTCATTGATTTACCATGGTTAATCAAAAATGAATTAATTTAATTAAAAAATTAGTTATCAAGGCTATGCATTTAGTTTCTGCGCAAAGTCTCAAGAGTTCCCTAGAGCCCACTATAAATGAAATAATTTTACAAATAACAAACATATGTTATTACAGATTTAGAAAATTTAAGAAATAAAGAGTAGACAACTCATGAAAGTATCTGTAATAACACACGCAAGTTATTTTCTGTAATAACCCTATCGAGTTATATCTTTGACTGATATATGTTCAAGTGTAAGTAATTTCAAAACTTTCACTACCCCAGAATCATAGCAAAAAGTGGATTACTGTTCATCTATCTATACCAGTGGTCAAATGTAAACACATTTAAATTCAGACGTTTTATCACCCCACACAAACACACATTACACCTAAACACTCATTCTCAACCACCCACTGCTTTTTTAAATGTTAAACTAATTGAAAAGACTTGATTGTTTTCTTGTTTAAACTTTTATGTGTTTTACAGGAAGTGGATCTGATGCTGGTGTAATGGGTGATGATGAGACAGAAGAGGAGCATTCAGGTTCGATGTTAACACATACAATCATTGTTACTGTTAAACAAGGAATTATACCAATTTGTTGTTGAATTTTATTTTACAGCCAACATTGCAATTTTATAACCCAACATTTTGATCATCGATTTTTTCAAGATTTACAAAAAAGACTTTATCAAAAATATGTAAAAGGCTAATTTCTTGATATGCATAGAAATTGCTTATTAAAATGAGGAGATGGTCATTATTATGTGATTGGGTTGCTGTCTAATTGATTGTTAATTTCATTTCTATTTTTAAATAAATCCCTTTCAATTCACTAACTTGATTTTCTGCTATTTAAATTTAAAGTACAATAGTAAATGTGCCATGCATGGAATATATATGGGAATAATGCTAAAGTTGTTCATTATGTTGTTAAAAAAAACATGATAATTGAGCTACATCCAATAACCATGCATATACTGTAAAAGCAGAAATTTTCGTGGAGGATTTAATTTCGTTTATTTCGTGGAAAGAATATATCCACAAAATTAAAACCCCCACGAAAATTAAACCTTCATATGATAGCACTTCCATTTACTGGAAACCACGAAATTAAATCCCCATGAAATCTTATATAGAGACAAAACCACGAAATTTTAACCCCACGTAAATTAATGTTTCTACAGTATACGAATAGCTATTTCTCAGGGCAAACTGTTTTTTCAATTGAAATATAACTTTATTTAATAACCTACAGGCATGACATGATAAAAATAACAAAAACAAACTGTTTTATCACTTCCCTACTTGAATTTTCAGTACCCATGTTGGCTAATTAATGTCTACCTACATCACAAAATGAAGAAAAACTGTTTAGCATCCAGAAACTCACACTGCCATTAATATAAAAAAAATGTAAAACTGTTCAATCATTGTTTAGTTATTAGTAACTTTAAATTATAATTTATACAGATTTACAATATAAACATTACATAGAGTATGTTTAAATCAAGGACTTCATATGCAAAACATGTGTAATTTTAAATACCTACATGCTAAAAGCGTGTGAAATTTATCATGATTTAGGCACAATTTCACTACATATGGGATTTGTGTGTTTACAATAATATTTGGTTTACTCACAATTCAATATTTACAAATTACGTACATTCAGATCATCTTATTTTCTTATACTACAGATATTGCATGACTTTTACATCTATTGGCCACTCAGTGAGTTGTTGTAAGGTTTCTTAAACATGCCCACAGAGTGTGACACTCATCTTACACCATCAAATTTATCGTCCTCATTCCAGCTGGACGTGGCTGCATATTTATACATCCCACACATCCAACATGCACCTCACTTTAGCATGGCTTTTACTGTAAAAAAAAATTAAGTCCAAAATTACCATATCTTTAATAAAACCTCTGTCAACCCTTTTGGTTTTCTGTGTTCATGAAATTAGTTTCATGATTCAAGTACTGAATAAAAATACTGTATTCTTTTCATGATTTTATGATCTTTTCAGCTACTGAGTTAAATAACATGAGAGTATTTGGTCTAAAGAATTGTTGTTTATTACAGATATTCAAACATTTAGAAGAGGTCAGAGGATGTCTAGTAGGTTATCCATGGGGTCACTACATACACAGGTCTTAGAAAGGTCAATGAACAACAGGTCTTATCTTAGTCCAGGAAAGACAATGCCACAGGATTTTGGAGATTTGACACCATCAAGAAGAACACCAGTCAGGTCCCCAATGGTTTCACTGCCTATTGAGTCAAACTTGACCCCATCAAGAAGAAATTTGACTCCAGACAAGTCCAAAGTTGATTCAGTGTTTATTGAACGCAACTTTACTCCATCAAAAAGTATTCAAAATATTAAACTGACTACTGACTCAGATTTGACCCCATCAAAAAGACATCTAAGTTTGAAGGAGTCATTGTTGAATCAGACAGATCTTACACCATCACAACGGACTAGTAATTTGAATAGGTCAAAAGTGGTTCAAGCGCCTTATGAATCTGACTTTTCACCGCCATCGAGAACACAGATTTACAGTGAATCAGCCTTAACACCATCACGGAGAACACAGATTATCAGTGAATCAGACTTAACACCATCACAGAGAACTCAGATTATCAGTGAATCAGACTTAACACCATCACGGAGAACTCAGATTGTCAGTGAACCAGACTTGACACCCTCACGGAGATCTCAGATTGTCAGTAGATCTTCAACATTGCATGAACATGAAGAATTAACACCATATAGAAAGACTTTATCCAAAAACAGTATTTCATCTAATGTGGAGTCTAATCTTACTCCATCAAGGAGAACTGAGAACCCAAACAGATCTACAACATTTCAATCTCCAAAAACATCTGACCTGACTCCTTCAAGGAGGACTGAAAACCTACACAAATCTACAACACTTCAATCTCCTGACAAGTCTGGCCTGACTCCATCAAGGAGAAGTAATACTCTTGATACATCTTCATCTGTATACCCAACAGAGTCTAATGCCACTCTTTCAAGAACAATGCCAACAAATACACCTATGGAGCCAGTAAAAACAAATGAATCATCACAGGATGAATCAGGAGAAACTGATGAATCATTACAAGGTGAATCAGGAGAAACTGATGAACCATTACAAGGTGAATCAGGAGAAACTGAATTAAGTTTGTCACAGACTGCAGATAAGCCTGTTTCACATGAAGAATCTGACAAATCTGGATTGACTCAATCTCGTATTGGCACTTCACAAAACAGACAAATGAAAGATCATGGTCAGACACCATCTCACAGATCACCAGAAAAAGCATTGGACTCAGTGATGCCATCCTCTGATACTAGTCAAAAGAATAACCAAAAATCACAAAATAGGACTAAGGATATTTTAATGTTTGAGCAGGTTGAACAGGATAGTACAGATGAGAAAACACCAAGGAGCCAGATAAGGTCACAATCAAAGCTAAAGCCACCTATAAGAACTCCACTGAGTTCAAATTTAACAATACTTGAGAATATAAAGCCTTTATCTAGCAGTACACCAGCAAGAATTCTTATAAATAAACAGATTGGTACACCAAGTAGGGTACCTGTTACCCCGTCATCTGGTTCTACACCAAAAAGAGTTCCTATGATAGGCAGTTCAATGAACAGGACTCCAGGAAGAATACCAGTTAAAAATTCGTCAATGAATATTTCAAATAATGCTAAATTATCTGGAACTATAAACAAATCAGTTAAAAATCAATCATATCTGGGAGGAAACATGACAAATTCAGCACTGCCAAGTACAAACAGTTCACTTAGGAAGTTGTCGCATAAATCAGTTAACGTGTCACGACAGGGTAAGAGAATATATAAGTATTTTTCAGTACTAAAGTTGTTTAATTTTGAACATGCACTTTAAAGTGATTTCTTTTCTTCCACAAAAGAAAAAAATCATTAATTTTGTGAAATTAGCTGACTACTTTTGATTTAAAAAAGTGATACATTTATTTATTGATAAAAAATGTGATTAAAATAAGGAGATAAGTCAACCATCTAAATTTTCCAACTTCATCAACTTTCATTAAGATTTACAACTGATATCAGATCTCAAATTCTAAGTGACCTAGAGTCTGAAAATAGCTTTTTAAGAAGGTAGCAAGTGGAAAGAATCATGAACATATTGCAACCTTTAAAAAATGTTAGTCATGGTGGCCTTTATTTTAAGCTTATTTAGTTTGATTCAGAATTGGGATCTTGGATAATATGTGACCTACAATCATTAGCCTAGTGTTTTAACCATTATGATGAATTATCTATCTTTGAAAGGTAAAAATGGTTATGATTGAGTATGTTTTAAGAATGAAAAAAAATCCAAATGTAATACTGTAAATTCAGAAATTGTTGCAAGGTTTTTATTAATGTGACTTGGTGATTATGGCAAAAATAAGAACTTGATTCTGATATATATCTGTTTGCAGATTTCCTGAAATCGCGATAATTAATCTCGCATTATTGTCCATTCTTCAAAAATCGCAATAATAAATGCACGCCATAACCAGTGTTCTCCCCAGGCTGTTTTAGCATCGCGGCACCGAGACGCTATATTTTTTTCCCGTGATGCTATAATTATTTTGAGGATGCTATTTTTCTTGTCTCTATATCGCAAAACCATGTCCTAAATTTTGAACTTTCATCTAATTACCGCTTGTGATCGTTTTGATACGTTTGCATAATCCAAATTGAAAGATACAAATGATTTCTCTCTGTAGAAAAGAGGTTAGGTCGTATATATTTTTACAACTTTTAAAAAATTACTTTCTTTCATTTCCAGTATCTAGTTAATCGAGAGCGTACATGCCGTATATTAAACATTTTGATTTTGAGTTAAATAAGTTTGGTACATGTACTACTTTAGAAAGAGATCATAATTGGCTTTAGTTAATGTTTCATCCATTTAATGCATTAAAAGCGTCATACGCATTCCCAATCTCTTGTCAAACATTGTTTATTTTCGTAAATTTTTCTTCCGCCGCCATTGAAATATTTGTGTAAACTAAGGATCAAAACCGGACCAGATATGACAAAATTCCGTAGTTTTACGATAATAACTACAGATGCACACATTGCACAGTAGACAGAAAAAAATATCACAAAAGAGAAAACTACACTTTCCAAACGCATTAACAGACTATTTATAAGATATCTTTGCTAAATCACGGCCACCAATCCAACTAAGTCATACACAAATAATATGAAAACAAGTGCGTTATTCCGACTTCCGAGTATGCAGTAGAAGTAATAAACAATCAAGAATTGCTATACATTCACAAGGTAAGTCACCTATTTATATCATAAGCTTTATATTTTTCAAAAAACCGAGAATGTTATTTGACCCTTTATTTTGTTTTCCTTCATGTGTTATCACAACTTTGTTGTACATTGAGTAGTATTTTTACTACAGCTTTTCTCCCAGTGAATAACGATACAATCTGCACGAAATTCTTACCGACATCTTATGTTATTTGTTAATAAGACACGTTATGCATGAGTACTGGTACATTTATTGATCGGTGTGATATATAGATTAATTATACGTTGCGAGATATGATATATGTCTTTATTATCATTTTAACGATATAAAACTAGGAGGATATGATTTGAAGGTATCATATATGATTAAAACGTACCAAGTATGAGTTGATGGTAACGTAAGAACACACTACGAAAAATTTAGATCATAAAAAAGCCATTTACCAATGTAATAAAAAGAATAACTAATCAAAGAATTCAAATATCGAAAAATATTCAACTCTTGACCGAACAACACTGATTATTAAAAAAGAGGGACGAAAGATACCAGAGGGACAGTCAAACTCATAGATCGAAAACAAACTGACAACGCCATGGCCAAAAATAAAAAGACAAACAGACAAATAATAGTACAGATGACACAACATAGAAAACTAAAGACTAAGCATCACGAACCCCACCAAAAACTGGGGGTGATCTCAGGTGCTCCGGAAGGGTAAGCAGATCCTGCTCCACATGTGGCACCCGTCGTGTTGCTTATGTTATTACAAATCCGGTAAATAGTCTAATTCGGTAAGTCACATTCATGAATTAATGTGTTGTTCGGTCACTCGTTGAATATTATACACCTATTGACTGGTTATGAGGGTAATAGCAAGTTTGTTGTCCCTGAGATACCAACTATTGCTCAAGGCGAAGCCGAGGGTAATAGTTAGTATCAAAGGGACAACAAACTTGCTATTACACTCATAACCAGTCATTAAGTGTTTTATTATACTGAGAAAAAACTTTCTAAAAAGACTACATGTTTACACCACTTGGAAAAACACCAAAAAGTCACATAGACATGCACAAGATGAACTATCAGGTTTTTTTTTAGCCCGTGTGGTATTTGTCAATATTTTAATTACTGTAATCAAGACCAGGAATCCTTCAATGTGTAAGAATTCCTGTGTATTTAATAAATGCTAATTTTTTTTACCATACACCAAAGCAATCCCAGATTATGAAGACGACAACGTATCCATACCATAAATTTGCTATGTTTTAGTTCTTAAAATATGTCGCGTAGATTTTCTTTTTCTTTTTTAATTGCTTCTGGTAAGTTATTTATAAATTTGAATTTACGACGACAGACACATACAGATTATACCGTTTACGATATTTCAGAGTTTAACGTTGCCTAGAGCACAAATCCAAGCAGAATAGTCTATGACGTCATTGTTGTCCAATGAAAAATTAGTATGAAAAAGTACGGGAAATATGTTTATAAAACTATTATTCTTTTATTGTTGAAGGCTTCCAGTAGACACTCCGGTCTTCGGTAAGACAACTGGCAATCCCAGTCAACTAAGATAGGAGTCGAGCGCATCAGCCTTAACAGGGTTGAATTTAAACCTTCATGCTTACTGGCTAATTATTATTGTTAGATATATATCCCCTAAAGGAAGGACGGTACCTAAAGATGAATTAATTCATAATTAACATTGACATTGTGTAAAAGAACATCATCATGTTGGTTACTAAAATATCTCTCACTTAATCATACTCGTTACTTTTAAGTCATATATGGTCCTTCTTAACCATACATTCTTAATTTTTTTGCGATAATTTGATAATTAGTACAACTATAAAGTATTTTGTTTCTAGAATTAATTTATATATCACACCGATCAATAAATGTACCAGTACTCATGCATAACGTGTCTTATTAACAAATAACATAAGATGTTGGTAAGAATTTCGTGCAGATTGTATCGTTATTCACCGGGAGAAAAGCTGTAGTAAAAATACTACTCAATGTACAACAAAGTTGTGATAACACATGAAGGAAAAAATAAAGGGTCGAATGACATTCTCTGTTTTTTGAAAAATATAAAGCTTATGATATAAATAGGTGACTTACCTTGTGAATGTATAGCAATTCTTGATTGTTTATTACTTCTACTGCATACTCGGAAGTCGGATTAATGCACTTGTTTTCATATTATTTGTGTATGAATTAGTTGGATTGGTGGCCGTGTAAATGTATTCTTTTTCAAAATGCATTGTTTTAATATACTGACTAAAGTAGCTTAACTTTGTAAAAAATATATATCATTTTGATATAAAGAAACAACTGGGACTAATTCATTGAGTACCATGAAACAATGAATTTCATTAACATGATAAAGAAAAAAGTTTTTTAATTGAAATTTTATTGCTATATGATACTTTCTCTTCCCTTTTTATATAAAGACCAGTTCTTTTTCTTTTGCTAGATATTTAGTATTGTATATACAGGTTGCACTATAATAAACCATTCATTCATTATATTCATTCATTCATTCATTCATTCATTATATTCATTCATTTTTATACGCCCGTTTACGGGACGTATTATGGTATACCGTTGTCCGTCTGTCTGTCCGTCTGTCCGTCGTCAACATGTCGGACATTAACTCAAAAACGCTTTAACCAATTTGCATTAAACTTTGGTGAATTGTTTATATCTATTGACGTGAGCTCCCTTTCGTTTTTTATAAATTTTAGATTTTACGTTTCCGAGTTATGGGGTTTTATTCATTAAAAAAAGGGGGATTTTCCAGTTTTCGGACAATAACTCAAGAATGCTTTCACCAACTTGCAAGAAATTTTAGTTAATTGTTTATATCTATTGGTATGAGCTCCCTTTTGATTTTTATAAATTTTAGATTTTACATTTCCAAGTTACAGGGTTTTATTCATAAAAAAAAGGGGGATTTTCCAGTTTTCAGACAATAACTCAAAAATGCTTTCAGCAGTTCTCATGAAACTCTGATGAATTGTTGATATCTATTGATGTAAGCTCCCTTTAGAATTTTATAAATTTAAGATTTTACATTTCCAAGTTATGGGGTTTTATTCATTAAAAAAGGGGGGATTTTCCAGTTTTCAGACAATTACTCAAAAATGCTTTAAGCAATTCTTATGAAACTTTGGTGAATTGTTTATATCTAGTGATGTAAACTCCCTTTATTTCATTAGTTCGTTCGTTCGTCCGTCCGTCCATCATTCATTTGTTCGTTCGTTCATTCGTTCGTTCGTCCGTCCGTCCGTCTGTCCGTCCGTCGTCCGTCCATCCATCCATCCATCCATTCATTAGCCCAAGAGGAAAAAAATAATTCTGTAACTATAAATGAATATAGAAAACATAAACTGAAACAACTGTTATCATGGTTATAGTTTAATTGTATTCTCAGTTATGAATTGAACAATATAAACATATATAACATAAAGGAAATAGAGCATTGCCGCGATGCGTCAAATAACATTGAAAAAAATACAGTTTATTTTTTTACGCCAAATATGATGCTATCCAAAATTTCTGGGGAGAACACTGGCCTTAATTTCTAAATTTACAATAGCCAATAGGCTAACACTATTAGCGTAATGACCCATTTAGTTCAAGGATGCATCATTTAGAGTACAGCAGTAAATGAAGGTCACTCCGACCTACATCTTATTTCATTGGCACACACTAGACGAGTACAAATCTGTTAAAGAAAGTGACTTTGACCTTCATTTTACACTTCGTTGCCTAATTTTAAGTTTTATATTGAGTTGTGATTTCAGATAGAAAATGATCTACAATTATATAACTAGGTATTAGGATATATATATACTTATACTTAGTGATCGCATTTTACTCCTTGTCACACTAGAGTTAAATTCGAAATTTATTTTAAATAAAATAACTTTTTTGGACGTGACTATTATTTAAACTTTGTCAGTTCTTGTAGTAATCAATGATTCTTTATAATCAGATTGTTATGGCCTTAATATTGTTATATTTTAGGAGTTAGTGAGAGATTGGAGGCAGATGAAAGTGAAGAGGAGACTGGAGAGGAGGTATTTAAAAATGATTTATTGAGGTCACACCTAGACAGTACTTTAAATAATCAGAAGACTGTAAACTGGTAGCTTATTATGCTTTAATACATTAGCATTAAAGTAAATGGTCCTTTAGGTCTTTAAAATGAAGTAGGTGCATTTAAAAGTTGGATATGTGCAAAGTCAAAACTGAAATATCTGCCATGTAAATATTTGTTGAAATTTTTAGACTGAGATGGTACAGATAGTAATTTGTTCCCAAAATGTTTTTTAAAATGTAATTGTGACGGAAATATCAATGCATGGGCACACAAATATAATGGTAAATATTTATAAAACAGATATTCTTATTGACAAATACTGTGGTAAAACTAGTAAGGTCTTGCATCTGTGTAATATTTATGAATCAGAAAAGATGTCATGGTGAATTATCAAGTTGGATGTCTTAGTCTACCTTCAGAGACCAACCATTTTCACATTGTTCAGATATTAAATTTTCTGATTATGTATGTTTTTAATCGAAAATAGTTTTACTAGAAACCATTGTTTGGCAATAAATGGTAGAATTTGTTTTACGCCCAGTTCATTTAATACTCTTAGGGCCCCTTGTTTATTGTTGAAGAATTTTCAGGAAGTGTTATGACCAAAAACAACGATAATACATGTATTAATATTGTTGACTTTCATATTTTGGATATTTTGTAACACATGTACTGTATGACATTGTTGTCTAACGAAATAATGTACCCCATATCCTTACTTTTCAAGCATAAATTATTGCTTTGCAGCAAATACTTTTTCATAATTAATTATATCAAGCCAAAGATAGTGAATCAAAGTATGAACAATAGAAACAGAAGAATAATGATATGAATAAAATGAAATTTATTGTATGGAAGTTTAAATTAATCAACATAAAAAATATTGTCAGAATACATTGATAGTTAACATTTACACCCAGTGAAATAATTGCTTGTGAGTTGATTTAAACTGATTGCATAGAAATTTATGATAGAGATGACAGCCACCTGACCAAATAACCAAAACACCTCTAAGTGACTTCAAAACTTATGACTTTACAAATATATGTTATTTGGGATTTTTTTTTTATATAAAAAAGAGGAAACTCTTATGTGAAGAATGTTCAGCATCTATTTACAAATGCATTATTTGTTTGTCTCATGGGCTAATCAGTTACTTCTTCAGAAGTCAGATAATAATTTATACATCATATATTGTATATACCATTATATTGAGAAAATCAGTGTTTTGCTATAAACAATCAACATGTACCTTTTTATTGGAGTGGTGAAAATTGTTTCTTAGTTGAGAACTAATGACTAACCTGTGTAATATGATTAATCAAATAAATATGTAAATAATACAATTTAGTGATTTATATGTATATACATTGCAGTTCGATACTATAGAGTTATACAAACTAAAGACGCCCCACTTGAGAGGAGATATTTCACAGATCCCTACACCAATATACAGTAGTACACCTGCACCTGTTAAACCGGTTCAGAAACAACAACCAAGGTGATTCTTTATACAATTTTTAAGCAGTGTTCAAATACTAACAGCAGTTCCAGAATTCAATGTGCGAGTTTTCAAGAGATGCTTGATATTATTCTTGTCCACCACCAGTGGGTGTGTTGTGAATTAGGTTTGAATGTGATTCTGCAAGATAAAGGTTATATTAAGATGAATATAACAGGTTAAATGTATCCTTAGCATTTTTGACCATGACTTTTGAATAGTTAACCTAAAATGGATAAGCTTCCTACCTTTTCTACTTTCAACCACTTTTATAAATTTATTAAAATCCAACAAGTATGACAAGTGTAGCTTAAAACATCAACCTGTCATTTTTGGAGTATATACTTGCATAAGACTTACCAGAAACAACAAATTGCAATAGTTTTTTTCCATATTTTAAGTCTTTTTATTTTTTTTACCTTGATGTTTGATCTTTTGACCTGAAAATCAATAGCATTCTTCCTCTTCTCTATATTTTCAATCTATTCAACTTCATTATAAACCAAAGAAGAAAACTAAAGCTAACATTCAGAAATCAGCTTTATAAGACAATTCTTCTTTTAGTAAATATAACAGTGACCTTGATTTGACCAATTGACCAAAGTCTTCCCCTTCCCTAAATCTTCTGTCTGTACATGATTCATTCTTATGAATCAAAGGAAACCCCACTAACCACCCAGAAACCATTTTTCCACCCAAAAAATATTTGAAGTAACCATGACCTTTGACCTATTGACCCCATAATCAGTAGACTTCTTCCCCTTTCCAATATTTTCCATGTATAAGCGGACTTCCTATCAATCAATGGATACTCAAGTTTTCACCTAGAAAGCATTTATTTCATACACACAGACAGAATGATGGACGGAACTTGCCCGGGAAGGACAAAGCAATGTTTGTATGTTCTGGAATTTTTTCAGGAGCATAATAAGGAGATGTGGTATGATTGCAAATGGGATAACTATTCACCAGGGACCAAAGGAAGTAAATTGTTTATTGTTTAATGTTCAGTTTTAGGGATTTATATAAAAAGGAGATGTGGTATGATTGCCAATGAGACAACTATCTACCAGAGTCTAAATGATGTGGATTTAAGCAACTAGAAGTCACTCAACAGCCTTCAACAATGAGCAAAACCCATACCGTATAGTCAGCTACAAAAGGCCCTGACATGACAAAATGTAAAACAATTCAAACGAGAAACCCAACAGCCTGATTTATGACAAAAAAAATAAACAAAAAGTCAGTTTCTTGATTATTATTAGTTATAGGTGAACTATATTTGGTGAATAGAATCATTGTACTGTGGATTCATTTTTATTCGTGGTATACCAATTTTCGTGGGTTTCGTGGGTCACAGCGAACCACGAATTTAAGAATTCAACGAAGAATAATCCAGAGAAATGTGTATGGAGTCGGATGTTTATTTCCGGTTACCATGGTTACTAGTATGTTATGCAGTTCTAGTATAGTGTTGACTAGCGATAAACATTGTAACATAACACATGTTTTTATTGAAAGATGATACAAGTATTTATTTGATTAAATCAATAATAAATATATCGAATATCAATGATAATTTACTTTTTTAAAATTGATTAAAACTCTTCATGGAAAATAAGTGCAAGTTGTTAATTACCGTGTCATAGTTTGGTTAACTGAGGAGGGATAGGAGGGGTCCTGATCCCGAAATCCCAGGCTTAAAAACATGGAATCCCGAGGTCCCAAATTTAAAAAAATTTAAATCCTGACATCCCGAAATTCGAAAAAAGAATTCCCGGATCCCGAAAGAATCAATCCCGAAATCCTGAGCTTAAAAACACCCGATTCCGGAGTCCTGATAAAGGTCCTACCCCCCTCTTAACTGGTGATTAAAAATCAATAGGATTAAGTACGGGGATATTGCCCGTAGGTAATATTGTTTATAACAGGAACATTTATTTTCACACCGTTTACTTATATGACTGTTTATTATATTGTGATTAGGGAAATGAGCTTTAAATCTTAGAGTTTTGAATGCCTTATAAAATTCCGACAAGAATTTATAAAATGTAAAAAAAAAACTAATAATTAGTTGTCTCTGTCCATTATTGTAATAGAAGTTTTCAATGAACACTTTAACCTAGAATGACCAAGCAAAGATTGTGACAATTCAAAACTTTTTCAATAAATTCCTTCTTTTTTGTTTGTTTTATTATTGATCAAACCTAGGAGGTTATATGATCTAAATCAAAAAGAAATCCACGAATTACGTATCTGAATTTTTTTCTTTCTTTTTTTTTTTGTAATCAGCGATCCACGAATTTACGTATACCATGAAACGTCTTTTTTTCTCTATCCACGAAAATTGATACCCACGAAAATAAATGAATCCACAGTAATACATAATAAATGTTATGTTCATCAGACATAGCAAAGTTCTTCTGACCTCATTTTTACATGCTTTATGGATCATTTATCAATGTCAAGTTTTATGTGATACCTGTAGTTACCACTTGATATCAATGATGTTCAACAAAAATTCAATTGAAATTGGTAAGTCCACTCTTGTAACATATTTTTTTTTCAGACCAATTCCTCAGAGTAAACAAGACACAAAGAAAAGAAAAAAAACAGTGTCTTCAGTATTACCAAACAATACAATAAAACAGGCATTCCAGCATTTCTGCAACATGAAAGCTGCTCCAGACACCATGGAAGAACTAATTAAATAGTAAGTTGTAATATTTTAAATAAATATATAAATATATGTATGGATAGATGGCTGTTTAACGTCAAGTGGCAAATTAACACATAAATAGACAAGAACATGTTAATGGGATATGAATATGAACCCTGCTTTGTACAATACCGACCATATCTTTAATGTGCATGTTCACAAGATAACAGTCCAGACCTTGTTCAACAATGTTTGACTAATTTTAGCCATTTTGCCTTGTATCAAGAAAACTATAATAGATAGAAAGAAAATGATCCGAAATATAAGGTCTACAAGAAATATACCTGTAAAATATGTTTAAAACCATCAATGTTTTTCACGCCCGTTTACGGGACGTATTATGGTATACTGTTGTCCGTCCGTCGTTAACATGTCGGACAATAACTCAAAAATGCTTTAACCTATTTGCATGAAACTTTGGTGAATTGTTTATATCTGTTGACTAGATCTCCCTTACATTTTTTTAAATTTTAGATTTTACGTTTCTGAGTTATGGGGTTTTATTCATTAAAAAAGGGGGATTTTCCGTTTTCGGACAATAACTCAAAAACGCTTAACCGTATGCAGTTTTCATAAAACTTTGGTGAATTGTTTATATCTATTGATTTAACCTCCTTTAGATTTTACATTTTCGAGTTATGGGATTTTATTCATAAAAAAGGGGGATTTTCCAGTTTTCAGACAATAACTTAAAAGTTCTTTAAGCAGTTTTCATGAAACTTAAATGGCTGGTTTATATCTATTAAAATAACCTCCCTTTAGTTTTTTATTGATTTATGATATGATGTTGAAGAGTTATGGAACTTTATTCTTTGAAAAAGCCACAGGCATATCATGCGCTCATGCACAGCTCTTTATTCTCCTTTATTGCTATAGGAGTTATTGGCCTAAAATGACGATTTTTGATAAATTATAGAGTTGTGGCTATAATCATTATCACTATAATAGATAGATAGAAACAACAAAAAATTTCAGTAAGACACATCATACAAAAGTATGGTACAAAAAAGTCACAAGGTTGATGCTATCAATAATCATCAATTGACTATTTATTGGAGTTATATATATTGCCTTTTAATGATGATTTTCCTGGACTTTTATTTTTTTATGTTCTTGTATTGATAAACATATCAGTAGTATGAATATGTTGATTGCATACTGAAGGATCATTTTATTAATTGAGGGGCTTGCAAGTTTTTGAAATTATTATATTTTGTGCTGGGTTTTTTTCTCAGTAAATACTTTGATCTGGCACTGAAGAAAACAAATTAATAGCCTTGATTGTTTATTGCAGCACTGATACATATTTTGAAAACACCTTTAAAACTTTGGAGGCATTTGCATTGCATGCAGGGAGAAAAACTATAGATGAATCTGATGTGGAACTCCTGATGAGACGGTGAGTTTACTATGTACAAAATGATGCAGAGTAAAAAGATGTACAATTTTAATTTCCCAGGGCAGCCGTTACTTTTTTGGTATTTTTGGTTGTCTATGTTCTTCAACCTCATATTTTATATTAGTCTGAACTATTAATTGAACTTCACTGATGAGTTTTATATCTAGAAAAACACAAATCTGGCTAAATTATAAGACTGCTGTCTTTGATAAGACCTGACAGCTGTAAAGCCAAATTCACTGCATCTTGTTTTCATTATTTTTAAGATTGTCTGGCTTTTACAATTCCCTAGCATATATATATGATTACTTTGCCCAGAAAGTTATTTTTTTGCTTTCCTCATTTTAATAAATATCTCTTAAACCACATCTCTGCAAAATCTTAAATGTTAAATTTTTTGTCATTTCCAATTGGATTTTGACAATTCAAAAAAATCTCTCTCTACAAAATCTATATGAAAAATCAAGAAAACATGTTTTCAAAAAAAAATATTTACATATGTATATGGTCATATACCAGTATATTATTTCTAGTTTGATGTGCTTCTTACCCAAATGTTTTTATGTCAATATATCCCTGTAGTTACGGATAGGGCTTTTTAACTTACAGGAAGTATGGCACGGTCCAAACATGGGGCATACGATTTATAAATATGACTGGTTATTTGTACATCCTTTACATCTAAATTGATTTCTGCACACGTCTTTCTGCTAGACAGGTGAAGTCAAGGTGATAATGTATGTCAACCTCAGTCAACCCAAGGGGTCAAAACTTTTCAGAAGCAAGGTTCCCAATCAACCTAGTAAACTTGAAAAGGCTGGAACTTTATTTCAGTCATCCCAGGCCTGGAAATGACCTTGAAATTTGCAAATATTGAAAAAAGTCATGGGGGAAAAAAACTTTGATTTCAAACGTTTGCTAGCAAGTTATTCGATGAACAAAATGGAAACCACAAAGAAGAAATCATAAAACTCTCTTAGTACTGCAACATACACAAATACACCAAAAAAACACATAAAGTAAAAAGTTAATCACCGGTCAATAAATTAACTGTATAACTTTTAAGCAATGTTTAGATTTAAAAGAACAATTGTATATTTGAAACAACATGGTTTACCCTAAAACAAAGATATCAAAGTTGTTTCCCTTACATGTTTTGGTCTATATTTATAATTGCCTGTATTTATGAAATTGTTACCCTACATTTATTTGTACAATTTATCAACTTATTTTTTTTCTTTCAGACAAGGCTTTATAACAGAAAAGCAGCCATTAAATGTGTTGGTTGAAAATATCTTACCTTTGGAACTACGACAAGAAATTATTCCAATGGCTAGAGCTAACAATGTTATTGAACCATTGTAAAGAATACAAATATTATTCATATTTCTAACAAGGACCTACTTGGATAATTATAAAATTAAAAGCAGATTGTAAAGAATAAAAACCTTTTGCTTACGGTTTATCAAGGACCTACTTGGAGAAAAACCAAGACAGCTTGCTGTGGATAGCTCATATAGATGCAGCAGAGTTTTAGTAACATTTGATGGGACTGCCATATTAGATTTTAGAAATGTTGTTTCCTTAAAGCTTGCAAAAATTATAGGAAGCCATAAAATTTATATCATTTTAAGTAAGAAAAGATAATATTTACATGCACATACATCTGTTTGGAAATTTAATCCAAATAAAGGTAACATTCAAATGGTTCATGTTTCAATAGAAATTTGTTTTTGTTTAACATAAGAATTTTCAGGTTATGCTATTCTTTATATTTAAACCATTGTGGTGATGTCAGCCAATTCATTTACCGTGGATTCTTTTTCTAGAATCAACGCTTCCTAAATCTGTCGCTGAAATGAGCTCACCAAATTATATTCAATTGTTTCCTTTGTGTGTCTAATTTCATTATTTTTGAATTGGTTAATTTACTAATTTCTGTTCACTAATGGCATTGATTTTAAAACTTACCTTTAATTTTTGTAATTTTTATATGCCTTCACTGGGAATCGAACACCTCCTTGAAATCTGGTATGTGTGACTGACGTCAACACATCGACGAAACCTTTCGGCTACCAATGGGTTGCAATTTAGATGTCTATTATATATATATAAATGAACATATGATACACATAATAGGCAATCATATAGTATAAGTTGGTAGCCGCCAGGTTAACATGGCTAAGATCAATGAGTTAAAGAGCCTAGTTAAAGGTAGAGACTTGTCAGTTTAGGCTCTAATCCTTGTATTTTCTTTGTTGTCCCTATTCTTTAGTTTTTCCGTTTTTCTTATTATGTATGTTATTGTGGATATTTTTACAATAATAGCGGGTTTTCCCATTTATCTATGGATTATAATGGGCTATTTCACATATTTTAAAAGAAAGTGATTACATTCAATTTGTTCATTTTTGTTTTATAAATATAGTATGATTTCATCTGTTTTACTACATATCTTTACAAATGTTTATTCGCAAATCCCTATGAGAGTAAATCGTGATGTACCTAGAATTAGGCTTCTTGCTAGAAAGTGCAATAACATAACATACTCATTATATATACTTATTTATATGTCTTATTTTGTAAATTACGGATATTATTCAGATGCCTGATAATTTAAAGACAGACGTGTTATGTTATGTTTGTATGTCGCTAACCAATTAATTGTGAACTTATATTTATTAATGCATCGTTGAACATGATAACATGGTTATTTAAACTCACTTACCATACCTTCTAATTAAGAAAAGGCTTTAATTTTGAAAAGACATCAACACAATAGTTCAAGTTAGAGATACAATGATAAGTGTTGATTCATGAAAAACAAACCATTCACCCTCTGAGCTCATGGTTTCTTTTTCAAGAATCAATGCTTATTCATTGTATCTATAATACAGAATCTAAAATTTTGAAATTTATGATTGAGTTTATTTCATTAACAGGGCATAAGATCGCCGCGATATAGCCTTGTTGTGCTAATGCGGCGTAAAGCAACCAACAATCAATCAATCATGGAATAAGATATGGAGTTCATTAAGATTAATAAAAACTTGCATTAAAAGTCAGATTCCTATGATGAAATACTGGTATTTTAAAAACATATTTTTAAAGAAAGTTACTGTATGAATCACAACAAAGCTTGACCTGTACAGTTGTTGCCATGATTCTGGACAAATACTTGCATTATTGATATGGTGCTCAATGAATAATGTAGCTTCTTTGAGCCCAAGCTTGAAAATTGTTAGGAAAGATCTTCAAATTTCTCTTCATGCCTATGAGTTACTCATCTAACAGACAAATAGATAACATTAGTCAGATGCAGAAAATAAAAACTGGTGCCAAGCTTTTTGTTCCATCTTTTTGATTGGCATTGGGAACTGTTAGTAATTTAACGAAATAAAGCAATCATGTGGGAATGGCCCAAAATAAAAAAAAAACCTGTTCGAGTAAAATTCTATTATGGTACCATAAGATAACATAAAACAACATATTACAAGCCTAGACAATTTTATTGTTTCCAAAATTTTTTTTGGTTTTAGTAAAATTTTACATCCTAGCTAACTTTCAACATTCTTAAAGAAATACAGACCCTGTGTTCAGGCATTGATTACAATGAACTGACAGCACTCTCTTCTACTTCTTGTTGTGATGATTATAATATCCACCACTTGAACATTGGTCATCAAACTTTTGAAGGTGCATATCATTTTGACAAAACCAGGGAATTCAGAAAAAAGCTTCAAAACAGAAAGTGAAAGAGCTTTGTCTGATCCTTATAAGCAAAGTGAGGACTCAAGACCTGTATTTAATCATGCACGTAGGTACATTTTGGTGCACCAGGAAGGTCATCATCTAGATTATAGAAGGTACCTTTTAAATAATAGCAATATTCAAATTGCTAAGAGGGGTAAATGAAGATTATAGAGTCAAATTCTGGCTTTCAAAATCTTTTTTTAAGCTCTTTGTCTTTTGTAAGGAAATTTCTGATAAGTTTGGTTTCCAATGTTTCGGGCGTTCTCAAGAAGTTGATCAAAATGTAAAATATTAAGGAACTGAAAAAACTATTACTTTGGTTCTTGGTTCTGATTAAAAGTTCAAGAACAGATGAAGCAAAATCAATCAAACCATGCAGGAATGTTCCTTATTAGAGCTGTTACTCTGGTCCTATGATAGTCTGAGGGCCCAAAAATGGGACAGACATCCATATTTTAAAGATGGACAGATGAAGTGAAGTAAAATCAACGCATACAAGAATGTACATGCTATTTGTTGTTACTATGGGTCTGATAAAAAGTCTACAAGGATTATTAAAGAGTCAGTTTGATCGAAATTTTCATAACAGTTGATTTAGTACAACATCGAAAGATTTGCAATCATTCAGTACAGCTTCATTCCTTTATTCAACTAGTTTTAATATCTGTCAGTCCAAATTCCCTTTCACTGTCTTGGAGATTTCAATGAAACTGCACATAATAGTAGTACACCATATGAAAAAAGATAATTCTAATCAAATAACTCCAAAGGGACACACATAAGTTCATTACCATGTAGGGGCAACTGCTATTAGAACACAAATTGATGGATTTTAATGAAATTAAAACTCCATATAAAGCTTTGCTTGATGGCAAAACAATAACTATCTGACTTTCAGAAAAGGAGGTTATTTAACTTTGAATTTGATCTGAAGTTGAACGGAGTAACATGTTGTGACCTCACTCACAGTACCTCAGGTTTCATCTGAAACTTGTGAAGAGCAGACTTTTTAACAGGTGATTGAATTAGGCCCCTGTAAGCCATTAATTGAAATGGGTCATATTTCCAATTTTGTTATTCCTATTCTACTGAGTTATTTCCCTTTTTAGCACCTTATACATGTATCAGTCAATTATTTGACATATATGTATATACCACTTTTCTTATATAGATACATTGTACATATACATTCAAGATACCTTCCTGAAAGGGAAGTCTTGCAAAGTAAAGGTACTGCAGACAATCCTTTGCAATGTATATTATAAGGAAATTCGTCTGAAGATTAGCTACTGGTTAAGAATAAAGTTGAAAAAATAACACACAAAAAACAGACAGAATTTTTTTGCCTGTGATACTTTTTCTCACACAAAACTAGAATAATAAACAATTCAAACTCAACATTATGGTTAAAAATTATAAAAAAAATGCTAAACCACTGAATTGGATTTGCGTAAAACAGTTCAAATCTGGCCTAACTTTTTTCTTGGCAACCAGATAATCCCATCATACTGGAATCCTGATTTATACACATCTATTTTTTGACAGGGATTGTCGAAGTTGAAAATTTTATTGCAGTAAAATGGTTCATAACCCCATTCATTGAATCTATGAAGCAATCCGCTAGGTATAGTGTTTCCATGGTTATACCATTTCATATACACTCCTATTAACTTTTTAGCACTGAACAAATGATTGGAACCTTCGATGACCTTTTGTTCATAACCTTGAACATCCATTGTAATGAAAACTTTTTTCATTGCATGTACCTCTGCAAGAGAGAGGAAATCATTAAGTGTAGCAGTTTTGATAGTTTCTTGGTGTTTTCTGTATAAGTTATTTGGTTTTCCAAGCATTTCTTTTACAGACCTCTCTTTTCTTTGCTTCACATAACCGAAATCTAACCATCCTCTTTGAAATGTAAGTGGCACATCCAGGTGATTGTTGTTAAGTGCATTATAAACAATAGAAATCTGATTGGTTAATTTGTTTTCAATTACAGACGCACATAAATGTTGTATGTGCTGATAGATTGTTTCCACGGCAACGACTTTTCTTCCTAATCTAGCTAGTGGTAAAGAGTAAATGCCAGACTTTGCTCCGATGTCTATTACCCCAATAGAAGTGTCATTTTGAATATATTTATAAATTGTGTTGAAAACCCAAGGCTTGTAAACATTTTTAGAATTGGTTTCATTGGAAATGAGATCCGTTTGTGGATTATATATATAAATCGTCAAATTGCCAAACGAATACGGGATTGTTCCTTTTAGGAAATAATGCATGGATTTTAATGTCTTTAGATATTGTCTATTGCAAAGAGTAAAATTCCGTCTCCATACCACATCTTGAAAAGAATAAACAATTGGTTCCTCTGGTACCATTCCTGAAATAATACAATCATAGATACTTTAGGGACATATATTTCAAGGAAAAGTCAGAAAATTCCAAGCATATTTAACCTATACTTTTATGAGAAGATCATGCACTACCATAACTGAAATAAAATTAAAAAGATTAAGAATAAAAATTGAACAAACAAAGTTGTAGAGTTATAAACCTCGATACATAAAAATAAGGAAAGGTTAGACGTTTTTGTTCTCTCTAAGCCAAGTCTGGTTAGTAGTTTCTGTTCTCTCTAAGCCAACTCTAAATGAAGCAACACACATACTATTTTCATTATGTGATATCCGTTGAAATCAGTAGAAAAGTTAAAAATTCCTGTGAGTGAGGCAAGATGGTAAATAGTTTGTCTTCTTAGGTAACATACTGCCTCGGCTTTATTTTGTGTATTTGAAATTCATCTGTTAAACTGTATTTTGAAACATACGTGCAACTGCATATCTATTCCAATATGTACCAAGAAAACTGCATAAAAAGCTGATTTCACAGATATTTTTACAGTTAATCTTTTATGCATATCGATTGAAAAACTATGTACACAGCTGCAGCGGCATAATTTTATTTTTTTTCCATGTTCTTAATTTTGTGATGTTTCAAGGCACTATACATTTTCCTGATCTCTCTAATACCATTAAACATATGAACTTCAATGAATATCGTAATGAAGAAAACCAATATTGCTATAATTTTTCAAAAATATTATCTTTTACACATTCATACCTGCGTTTTGATTAACCGTTGAAGTAATTAATAAATACGCTAGAACTGAGCACACCACGAGAATGACAACGCCATACTGAAACCAAATTCTTAAGCTGCTTACATTGGCCATTCAGCTATTGATAAATAAGACAAGTAAATGCTTTAGTAACAAAACAAGAAATACGCAAGTGTTGCAAAAAATCGGGATTTCCATTTTTAATTTACCCATAACAAAAAGAACAAAAAAGCGGTCTTCCCGGTGGCTGACTTTCTTTTCTTTTAATATCTATACATTCTTAAAACATGTACAACCGATCCCCAGCTGAGGGTTAAATAAAAGGTTTCAAAAGAGGTTGAAATATTGACTTGCAAGCCAACAATACATCATTGAGGTCTATGAGCTTATTTTGACTCCTTATAGCGAAATATTATAAATGTTTGAAACAAAAGAAAATCATACTTCAAATTCTTGTTTTAATCGTATCTAATGTCCCATCTCAAAGTATTTATGAATGCTGAGTAATTTAGTTCTACAAGTCTACATGTCTGCAATTGCATAGCATATCCTTTCAAAATATAAAGCAAAATTTACCTGAAGCTATACGATCCATATAGTTATATATAAATAATAATTTGTCTAGCATCAACAAGTGATATAAAAGAATAATTATTCGTTATAGCTGAAAAAGTTATTTGAATAACTGTCGATTTAAAGAGACCATTGAATGAAATTTACTATGCCTCTATTATTCATTTCAAATAATTGAAATGATATTTCTTACTAACGACACATTCTGATCAAAAACCAGATCAATCTATATTTGTATATGATAAAATATTCACCTCCATAATCAAAATGGACAATGATTATTAAGACAGTTTAATTCAAGGATTCCATTTTTGACAGTTATCATCCCCCTTTTTAGCAGGACCAATCTTAAGGGAGTCTTGTTGAAAGAAAGATGTATAGATAAGTAGCCATGGTCAATCGGCATGAGGTGTTAAACAAGGCCTCGTGCTTGAAGAATGCTCTTTGCGCGTTAAAGAAATTTTGCAACAATGCAACATCTCTCGGAGTAGTCCATATGTGACCTGTTGTAAAGCTACGTTTCTGCACCTATCCAACATTATCATATCCTCTTTGCCGTAGTCCAAACTGAATTTCCGACACTGCTTTGCAGAACCTACTTATAAAAACTGTAGATATATGGGAAATTACCAAACAAGGACCCAGATAGCCGGACTTGATATAGATACAAATATGGCGGGGTTTAACAAACCTTATGTCATAACATATAAACTTAATGTATTGCTTTTGTTTTCGTCCTGAATATTTATGAAACATTTACCACTGGCGTTTAGTAAACGTCAAACAATGAATCAATATTTTCAGAGGCAGATTGGGGGGGGGGGGGGGGGTGGGGGGGGGGTGGGGGGCGTCTACCCCCCCCCCTTTTTGTGAAAAAAAATTTGGTTATATAGAGAATCACTGAAGCATGACTGGAGCGGGCACCCTCTTAGGCAGTCGGTGCCCCCCCCCCCCCCTTTTATGAAAATTTCTGGATCCGCCACTGATTCTAAAAACATAATGATACTATATTTTCATTTTCTATACATTGCCAAATTATAATTCAAGGTGGTTAAAACTGTATTTTTGCTTTGAGTACTTAAAAAAATAATTAGATGGACATCACAAACCACAACACAAATTTAGTTGGGAGTAAAGCTATGTATTACCGTTCAGATACGAAATAGTTCTACTAGTATTTGAGTTTATCAATTCAACGAAGCTGCATGAATAAGGGGTGGTGGAAATTGTGGTGCACCCGGCGTCCACTTCCATAGTCATCACTCAGAAACAAATTGAAATGCATCCAACTGATAATTTTTTACATGTGCTTTAAGAAAAGTTTGACTTCATATCTGGAACTGAAATGGTTCCCACTGCTTCACGTTTGTTTTCAACATTTTGTCATTGTATGAATTACCGTCTGGGTAAAAATTGCCAAAGCGATATAAGCGTCAGGTCACATAGAAGATTCATTAATTCATTGTATCTATATTTGAGAATCTAGCTCTAGTTACTTCTCAATGTGTTATCAAAGGGTTTCTATGACTCATCTTTTTATTATAATATTTAAATGAAAACATTGTCTATGACCAAATCCAGAATTATATAGTGATCAAGATTCAATGCAAAACAAGGGATTTAAAACTTACGACTGCTTGTCTGAGCACATCAATGCGTACATTCCCGAATTAGACTTTTATGAAGGTATTGGTGCTCGGGTGGAAAAGGGGGGGGGGGGGGTTACGGAAGAGTCGCTGGAATAGTAAGTGCGCGATTTCAAGCTTCATGATATATGAAAAGGTCAAGAAATTGAGGTGAAATATCAGATATCGATTTTTCACAGATGCTATCAAAACCAGTCGTAAAATACACCTTTTTGTCAAATCTATTTATCTCACCATGCAATAGCGTAATCCTGTAAAAGTTAGGTATATTTTTTGTCAAAAATTTATGATTTGGTATGCATTTTTGCTATTCAAAATATATGATTTGGTATGCATTTTTGCTATTCAAAATATATGATTTGGTATGCATTTTTGCTATTCAAAATATATGAATAGGGCGGGGTACTGGGTATGTCAGCTGCTCAGAAAAGGATTTAAGTGCCCTCCCCCGAAGTATTGACATCATCATCCATAATTCTCAAAGCTGAGGTTTGCTTCCAGTAACTGTGAGCATATATTGTTGATTGTGTACATGCTTAGACAAATACGAGTATTGACTAGCTACTGCAAGAATTGATATGCTATTCCGCAGTTCTTGTGTTGCATTAACATTAAAGTTGCATATAAAAAAGCGTTGCATACATCTGCTTGACAGAAAATCAAAATCCTTACCTCCTTCTTATGTGTATGACCTGTCATTGAATATGACCATATGTTACTTGCTACCGGTCACTGCATATGTGACCAACACATCAGTTGTCACTAGGGGAACTATCTTGTTCCTCTTCCTATTTGTATATCAGGTCACTGTATGTGACCAGGTGTTACTTGTTTCGAGCAAAACTACAGGTGCCACCAGAGGAGATATCCTGAGCCAAACATAAAATTAAAATTGTTTGACGTTGCCTACCTACCCACATAAAAAGCCTACCTTAATTATTTTGTTTAACTTTTTTTCATTCTCTAATGTTGTTTTGTCTAAAATATGTAATTTATGTTGTTGGTCAAAAAAAAATCCCTACCTACCTACCCAATTCCCTACAAGGTATGGGTAGGCAACATCAAACAAAGATTATGTTAATGGTGGCCCTGTCCTCTTTCTATATGCATTACCTGTGATTGTATGTTACAAGATGTTACTTGTTAATATGAACAACACAACAGGTGCCACCAGTGGAAATATCCTGTCTTCCTTCCTATGTGCATTACCTGTGATTGTATGTTAACAGATGTTACTTGTTAATATAAACAACACAACAGGTGCCACCAGTGGAGATATCCTGTCTTCCTTCCTATGTGCATTACCTGTGATTGTATGTTACCAGATGTTACTTGTTAATATGAACAACACAACAGGTGCCACCAGTAGAGATATCCTGTCCTCCTTCAGACAGTTCACTTGCAGTCAATTTAGATCTGTTCAGTTCATGTTCAGACTATTCAGTAGATGTTATTAAACTGTACACATCAACATCAAACTGAATTGTCTGAAAAGTTACTGAACTGGATTGAATTGACTGCAAGTGAATTGTCTGAACAATACCGAAATGGATAAGTCTGAAAATAGAATGAAAGAGGGAACAGGACTGAAACATTAATTGTTCAGACTTCTCAGATGGTGTTAAGATCAAGATGACTGTTTAAGACTAAAATATATTTACAAGTGCTTTTTATGAGCAACACAACAGGTGCCACCAGTGGAGATATCCTAGCCTCCTTTCTATGTGTATGACATGTCAATGAATTTGATCAGATGTTACTTGTTACGAGAACCACAACAGGTGACACCAGTGGAGCTATCTTGACATCCTTTCTTTGTATATGAACCGTCACTGCATGTGACCAAATGTTCCTTGTTGTGGGCAACATAACATGTGCCACCAGTTGAGCTGGACCTGTTTAGTCTCTGAGGAACCTGAGTTTACCAGAGGCGGATTTAGAGGGTTTTCCAAGGGGCCCGGGCCCCCCTTTTGTGGGGAAAATTTGGTTGACTATTAAGGGAATCACTGAAGCATGACTGGAGCGGGCACCCTCTAAGGCAGTCAGTGGGCCCCCCTTATGAAAATTTCAGGATCCGCCACTGTTTACCCCTTTTTGGGGTGGGGTTCATGTTGCTCAATTATTAATTTTTTGTGTAAAGTTTTGTGGACTGTGGTTTGTTCTTTTTCTTTTGTCCATCGTGTTGCCCGACTCTTTTGCATATCTAGACCATATAGTTGATTACATACCATTTTTTTACCATAGAAATTATTACCATTGGCAACAATGTTACTGATGGAAAGAAAGTGATTTGTAAGAATACTCTGTTATGGTAGTACCTGCTTTTATTTGTCTGTATTACAGATTCAACAGCTTATTAATCTCCAAAGAGATGAAAAGATAATACACCTTGTACATTTGTTTTTTCTTTCATCGTAAGATTAATTAAATTTTAAAATAGGGTATGCCTTTTATCTTGAAATGTATTTAACTGTTGTCCAATATGATAACTTATAATCAAAAGAGGCACAAAAATAAGCTTAAACAAGCATTCTGAGAGTATTGAATGGCAATACATAGTCCCTTATCCGTTAAAATTCATTGTACTGGAACAAAATGCTAACTTGATCTATAACTTGTCATGGTGTTAACTATATAACAAATATCAAGTCAATATCTTCAAGCATGATGAAAAAAAGTGTGGAAAACTGATTATTTAAGTGAATTTTCTATGTCCAAGGACCATAACTCTGCACAAAATCATCAGACCAGAACAGAATTAGAACTTGATCTGTAACTTGTCATGATAAAACTATATACCAATTATCAAATAAATATATTCAAGCATGACAGAAAAAAATGCGGAAAACTGATTATTTGAGTGAATTTTCTAAGTCCAAGGACCATAACTCTGTACAAAATCATCAGACCGAACAAAATTCAAACTTGATCTGTAACTTGTCATGATAAAACACTACACCAAATATCAAATCAATATCTTCAATGACGAAGAAAAAATTGTTGCAAACTGATTTGCCGGACTGACGGATGAACAGACAGACAGATGGAAGGACAGAGTGCAAACCTAAAGTCCCCTTCTACTTCGTCAGTAAAGGTATTCTTTTATTTTTATTCTAAAGGACCAATGACAAACTAGCCCAAATTTGAGGTGATATACTTTAAGGCATAATATCTGAGTATTTCCAATATGCCTAAGTAAAGCATTGTTTACCAGTGGCAGCTAATAGTATCTATCCCTTATCATTATCATTTATATTTCAGACCCTGTTACCAGTAACTGATATCTTAGTAAATTTGTTCTCATCTTGAATAAGTGTGAAACATTTGCCTCTGGATATAACCCAAACAACAATATGGACAATTATGTTCATTTCATAAATTCAGGACCTTCACTCCTTTCAATGGAAAATCTATTGTGTTTTATCACTGGTATAGATGATTTTAAAAGATAAACAGTTGTCTTAATTTTTTATTTTAACCAATCTCATTTTATCGTCTATTATTTCTGAAATTATAATCTTCATAGTCAACATCATAATCCTGGTAAGATTCATTGTTATCCTTGTCATATCTAGAATCACTTTCTTCAAAAAAGTCAGAATATTTTTTATTAGATCTTTTTTTCCATTTTTTCAAAATGTTTCCTTTTGTTAACTTTTCCTTTCCATCTTCCGATGAAGATTCTGATCCGTCCATTGTTTGAAATCTAGCACTTACAAAAGATTTAAACTCATGGTCATTTGCTGGTTGTCTATGTTTCAACTTGTGCTTTGAAACTTCTATTTTTTTCATTAGAAGTGCATGGTTTAATCCATATAAATCATCTCTGTACTGATTAAATATGTTGTAATCTAAATCAGTTCTATAATTAGATTTAGCCTCATTTTGACATTTTGCAATCTCAGCTTCAATTTTTTGTGTATTATTAGATTCCATATGTACAACTGGGGTATCTCCAACATCAAATCTCTCTCTGATTTCTTGTAGTTTGTCTGTTCTATGATTATTACTTTGTATTTGTACGGAAGAGTCGCTGGAATAGTAGGTGCGCGATTTCAAGCTTCATGATATATGAAAAGGTCAAGAAATTGAGGTGAAATATCAGATATCGATTTTTCACAGATGCTATCAAAACCAGTCGTAAAATACACCTTTTTGTCAAATCTATTTATCTCACCATACAATAGCGTAATCCTGTTAAAGTTAGGTATATTTTTTGTCAAAAAATTATGATTTGGTATGCATTTTTGCTATTCAAAATATATGATTTGGTATGTATTTTTGCTATTCAAAATATATGAATAGGGCGGGGTACTGGGTATGTCAGCTGCTCAGAAAAGGATTTAAGTGCCCTCCCCCGAAGTATTGACATCATCATCCGTAATTCTCAAAGCTGAGGTTTGCTTCCAGTAACTGTGAGCATATATTGTTGATTGTGTACATGCTTAGACAAATACGAGTATTGACTAGCTACTGCAAGAATTGATATGCTATTCCGCAGTTCTTGTGTTGCATTAACATTAAAGTTGCATATAAAAAAGCGTTGCATACATCTGCTTGACAGAAATTCAAAATCCTTACCTCCTTCTTATGTGTATGACCTGTCATTGAATATGACCATATGTTACTTGCTACCGGTCACTGCATATGTGACCAACACATCAGTTGTCACCAGGGGAACTATCTTGTCCCTCTTCCTATTTGTATATCTGGTCACTGTATGTGACCAGGTGTTACTTGTTTCGAGCAAAACTACAGGTGCCACCAGAGGAGATATCCTGAGCCAAACATAAAATTAAAATTGTTTGACGTTGCCTACCTACCCACATAAAAAGCCTACCTTAATTATTTTGTTTAACTTTTTTTCATTCTCTAATGTTGTTTTGTCTAAAATATGTAATTTATGTTGTTGGTCAAAAAAAAATCCCTACCTACCTACCCAATTCCCTACAAGGTATGGGTAGGCAACATCAAACAAAGATTATGTTAATGGTGGCCCTGTCCTCTTTCTATATGCATTACCTGTGATTGTATGTTACAAGATGTTACTTGTTAATATGAACAACACAACAGGTGCCACCAGTGGAGATATCCTGTCTTCCTTCCTATGTGCATTACCTGTGATTGTATGTTAACAGATGTTACTTGTTAATATGAACAACACAACAGGTGCCACCAGTGGAGATATCCTGTCTTCCTTCCTATGTGCATTACCTGTGATTGTATGTTACCAGATGTTACTTGTTAATATGAACAACACAACAGGTGCCACCAGTGGAGATATCCTGTCCTCCTTCAGACAGTTCACTTGCAGTCAATTTAGATCTGTTCAGTTCATGTTCAGACTATTCAGTAGATGTTATTAAACTGTACACATCAACATCAAACTGAATTGTCTGAAAAGTTACTGAACTGGATTGAATTGACTGCAAGTGAATTGTCTGAACAATACCGAAATTTACCGAAATGGATAAGTCTGAAAATCGAATGAAAGAGGGAACAGGACTGAAACATTAATTGTTCAGACTTCTCAGATGGTGTTAAGATCAAGATGACTGTTGAAGACTAAAATATATTTACAAGTGCTTTTTATGAGCAACACAACAGGTGCCACCAGTGGAGATATCCTAGCCTCCTTTCTATGTGTATGACATGTCTACGAATTTGATCAGATGTTACTTGTTACGAGAACCACAACAGGTGACACCAGTGGAGCTATCTTGACATCCTTTCTTTGTATATGAACCGTCACTGCATGTGACCAAATGTTCCTTGTTGTGGGCAACATAACATGTGCCACCAGTTGAGCTGGACCTGTTTAGTCTCTGAGGAACCTGAGTTTACCAGAGGCGGATTTAAAGGGTTTTCCAAGGGGCCCGGGCCCCCCTTTTGTGGGAAAAATTTGGTTGACTATTAAGGGAATCACTGAAGCATGACTGGAGCGGGCACCCTCTAAGGCAGTCAGTGGGCCCCCCTTATGAAAATTTCAGGATCCGCCACTGTTTACCCCTTTTTGGGGTGGGGTTCATGTTGCTCAATTATTAATTTTTTGTGTAAAGTTTTGTGGACTGTTGTTTGTTCTTTTTCTTTTGTCCATCGTGTTGCCTGACTCTCTTGCATATCTAGACCATATAGTTGATTACATACCATTTTTTTACCATAGAAATTATTACCCATTGACAACAATGTTACTGATGGAAAGAAAGTGATTTGTAAGAATACTCTGTTATGGTAGTACCTGCTTTTATTTGTCTGTATTACAGATTCAACAGCTTATTAATCTCCAAAGAGATGAAAAGATAATACACCTTGTACATTTGTTTTTTCTTTCATCGTAAGATTAATTAAAGGTTAAAATAGGGTATGCCTTTTATCTTGAAATGTATTTAACTGTTGTCCAATATGATAACTTATAATCAAAAGAGGCACAAAAACTAGCTGAAACAAGCATTCTGAGAGTATTGAATGGCAATACATAGTCCCTTACCGGTTAAAAATTCATTGTACTGGAACAAAATGCTAACTTGATCTATACAATTGTCATGGTGTTAACTATATAACAAATACCAAGTCAATATCTTCAAGCATAATGAAAAAAGGTGTGGAAAACTGATTATTTGAGTGAATTTTCTAATTCCAATGACCATAACTCTGCACAAAATCATCAGACCAGAACAAAATTCGACCTTGATCAGTGACTTGTCATGATAAAACTATGTACCAATTATCAAATAAATATCTTCAAGCATGACGAAAAAAGGGCAGAAAACTGATTATTTGAGTGAATTTTCTAAGTCCAAGGACCATAACTCTGCACAAAATCATCAGACCGGAACAAAATTCAAACTTGATCTGTAACTTGTCATAATAAAACAATACACCAAATATCAAATCAATATCTACAAGGACGAAGAAAAAAGTGTGGAAAACTGATTTGCCGGACTGACTGATGGACAGACAGACAGATACATGACGGACAGAGTGAAAACCTAAAGTCCCCTTCTACTTCGTCGGTAGGGGACTAATAAAGGTATTCTTTGTTTTTTATTCTAAAGGACCAATGACAAACTAGCCCAAATTTGAGGTGATATACTTTAAGGCATAATATTTGAATCTTTCCAATATGCCTAAGTAAAGCATTGTTTACCAGTGGCAGCTAATAGTATCTATCCCTTATCATTATCATTTATATTTCAGACCCTGTTACCAGTAACTGATATCTTAGTAAATTTGTTCTCATCCTGAATAAGTGTGAAATATTTGCCACTGGATTTATACCAAAACAACAATATGGACAATTATGTTCATTTCATAAGTTAAGTTCAGAACCTTCACTCCTTTCAATGGAAAATCTATTGTGATTTACCGTATAGCGGGTTATTTTCACGGGTGTAAAATTTCGCTATTCAGGGACAATAAAGTGTACGAAAAATTTTGGCAGTTTTTATTTTGGCGGAGTCTTTAATCACAATTAAATATTTTGGCGGATACTGAAATGGTTGCAGTTAAAAAATTGTTAAATTTGACAAACAAGGGTCTATTATTATGTAACCAAATCAACTAATTAACACCTGACAACCAGTGAACAATGACATTTGGAATTGATGTTGGTTAAATTAACATAAACCGTTATTGATTCGTAGAATAGAAAACAATAAATAGTTTACAAAACGCTTTAGCTATTAGAAAGTATCGAACGTATGCATAAATTTTCGCGGAATTTATTTTCGCGATTTCCCCTGACCTGCCAAAATAAGCGAAAATAAACACCCCGCGAAAATAACCTGCTATACGGTATCACTGGTATAGATGATTTTAAAAGATAAACAGTTGTCTTGATTTTTTATTTTAACCAATCTCATTTTTATCATCTATTATTTCTGAAATTATAATCTTCATAGTCAACATCATAATCCTGGTAAGATTCATTGTTATCCTTGTCATATCTAGAATCACTTTCTTCAAAAAAGTCAGAATATTTTTTATTAGATCTTTTTTTCCATTTTTTCAAAATGTTTCCTTTTGTTGACTTTTCCTTTCCATCTTCCGATGAAGATTCTGATCCGTCCATTGTTTGAAATCTAGCACTTACAAAAGATTTAAAGTCATGGTCATTTGCTGGTTGTCTATGTTTCAATTTGTGTTTTGAAACTTCTATTTTTTTCATTAGAAGTGCATGGTTTAATCCATATAAATCATCTCTGTACTGATTAAATATGTTGTAATCTAAATCAGTTCTATAATTAGATTTAGCCTCATTTTGAAATTTTGCAATCTCTGCTTCAATTTTCTGTGTATTATTAGATTCCATATGTACAACTGGGGTATCTCCAACATCAAATCTCTCTCTGATTTCTTGTAGTTTGTCTGTTCTATGATTATTACTTTGTATTAAATTTTTAGATTCTGTATCAGTGATTTCTGGCTCAGGCAATTCAGAATGGAGACCAAAATCTGCTTCTTCAAACATTTTGTTCATTTTAATTTCCTCTGTTCGAGCTTCATCTTTCAGAAAAACAATTGGTGGTATATTAGCGATCGGTCTGTAAGATGTTAGAATTGCTCTGCAACAAATAAAGAAAACAATTCAGTGAAAATGTGATAGGCCACCTAAATTGTCATGATTGTTTGTGTTGAAATTTTATTGTTTACATGGATATATCGGTACATCTTTCTTAACTGATGAAACTACCTGTAATAAAAAAAAATGAAGACAGACATCACAATGAATATACCCTGTAATAAACTACATTATAATGCATATGTTAAGAGTTTTCATATTTATACCATACAGTCGACTCTTGTTATCTCGAAGTCAGTCGGACCAGAGAAATATTTCGAGATACCCATATTTCGACTCAAACAAATACTGGAAGTTTGAAAAAGGGACACAACTCTTGTTTAGCTGGTAAGGCTAAAATAAATCCATAAATATGGGTCTGGATCGATATTCTGATCGGAGATCGATGTATCTGTATGTTATTGTCTTTTATAATTTTAATAAAATTATGTTGTTTTTGTCTCTTTGTTATTTCTTTATACAGTAACAATATTTCCAGTAGTTTTTGGCCGAGAGAATCATTTTTGACATTTGATTCAAAGGCATATTGAAAGAAAACAACACAAATCTTATATAACACAAGAAATAATTTCTCAGATTTTAGAAAATTTAAATTTTTTTTCATTTCCTTTTATTTTGATCTTTTCCCACAAGAGTATACAAAAGATTAAAGAAGCCGATTGAGTAGTTTTGAGTTGTTCACTGACTCTCACTCATCCAATTTCGACTCATTAGGTAGTCGAAATACATATATTTGTATGGAACAAAGTTTGGGACCACAGGAAAATTTCGACTCATCCGAAATTTTGAGTCAACCAAGTTAGAGACAACGAGAGTTAACTGTAATTATTATTATAGGTTCCAGTGAAAATACGAAAATTGTTAAGCCTTGCACATCAACAACTCTAATTGCTAACTAGTATTCCAAATTTCATGATCTTACAATATAATAATTACATGTATGTTTCATAGGAATCCATACTATTTGGCTGACAACAATTGTGAGACATTCTAAAATCAAATTGTATTTCTAGATAAAAAAAATAAAAAGATTCATGATTCCATGTGCTTCCCATGACAATGTCACTGCAATTCATAGTAAAAAAATGTAAAGCTTGATATAACTGGTAATTTCATTGCATATAAATGTAATAATTAAAATTGAATGCTTCGATCTTCTTTCTGTAATTTTACAGGGTAGTTAAAGCGTTTGAAAAGACACATATTTTTAGTATGAAGCGCTTCCACACTTCATCTGTCGAATTTCTCTGACTTAATATTCTTATTTAAGTCCTTTTCCTAGTCTGACAATGAAATCATTCAATATAATTTTTAAAGTAGACTCAACAAAAATGGCTGTAACCCACTTTTGTTTAAACAGACATACTGATTTCAAAGAAATCTTTATCGAATGTCATAATGAAAACAGCACTGATGTTGATGACAGCTAAAAGATGGTAATAGTTTGCATCAGCCCTTTTCCAAAGTATTAGAAAGGTAACTAATGGTTTACTTTTATAAATTTTGACTTGGATGGAGAGTTGTCTCATTGGCACTCATACCACATCTTCTTATATCTATGGATGGAGAGTTGTCTCATTGGCACTCATACCACATCTTCTTATATCTATTGGATGGAGAGTTGTCTCATTGGCACTCATACCACATCTTCTTATATCTATTGGATGGAGAGTTGTCTCATTGGCACTCATACCACATCTTCTTATATCTATTGTGACTTGGATGGAGAGTTGTCTCATTGGCACTCATACCACATCTTCTTATATCTACTGTGACTTGGATGGAGAGTTGTCTCATTGGCACTCATACCACATCTTCTTATATCTATTGGATGGAGAGTTGTCTCATTGGCACTCATACCACATCTTCTTATATCTATTGGATGGAGAGTTGTCTCATTGGCACTCATACCACATCTTCTTATATCTATTGGATGGAGAGTTGTCTCATTGGCACTCATACCACATCTTCTTATATCTATTGGATGGAGAGTTGTCTCATTGGCACTCATACCACATCTTCTTATATCTATTGGATGGAGAGTTGTCTCATTGGCACTCATACCACATCTTCTTATATCTATTGGATGGAGAGTTGTCTCATTGGCACTCATACCACATCTTCTTATATCTATTGGATGGAGAGTTGTCTCATTGGCACTCATACCACATCTTCTTATATCTATGGATGGAGAGTTGTCTCATTGGCACTCATACCACATCTTCTTATATCTATTGGATGGAGAGTTGTCTCATTGGCACTCATACCACATCTTCTTATATCTATTGGATGGAGAGTTGTCTCATTGGCACTCATACCACATCTTCTTATATCTATTGGATGGAGAGTTGTCTCATTGGCACTCATACCACATCTTCTTATATCTATTGGATGGAGAGTTGTCTCATTGGCACTCATACCACATCTTCTTATATCTATTGGATGGAGAGTTGTCTCATTGGCACTCATACCACATCTTCTTATATCTATTGGATGGAGAGTTGTCTCATTGGCACTCATACCACATCTTCTTATATCTATTGGATGGAGAGTTGTCTCATTGGCACTCATACCACATCTTCTTATATCTATTGGATGGAGAGTTGTCTCATTGGCACTCATACCACATCTTCTTACATTGTCTTATATCTATTGTCTACAAATTAACAAATACATATAGTTTACCTTAGTTTATTTTCTTTACTTTGTAGTAGAGTATCTAGTTCTTCATCTACCTCAGTACCAAAGGGTAGCCATAGCACATGGATGGCAGAGAAATCAGGCAGCATTTTAACCTTAACAAACAAGATAAATTATTAACAATAATGAAATGCTCAAGTAAACAAAAAAAAAAAGCTAAGAAGGACACTCTTAATCAAAACAAAATTTCTATTGTTAGTAAAACTATTGACTTTCAGATAAAATGCATTCATGTTGTAGATGACCTTTGATGAGATGGTTTTACAAAAACATGTAAGATTTGCAACATTGTATCAAATTTGTGTTGAAAAGCAATACCTAGAAATTGATAACTTTACTTTCAAGGAAATTTGTAGCTAGTTTTTAAATGTTTTCAATGTTTTTAGTAGACTCTTTAATACTAAATTTAACCACTTTTTAACAACTTTCATATTTGACCCTGTGGTTGAAACAAATACTGTTTATTTCATAGTACTCTATGGGATGTGATCTTAAGTAAATATAACAGTATATATAAATATTGGACAAAAGATCAGACCATACCAACAACCAACAGCTGACTGCTCGCAAAAACAAAATACTATAAATACAGAAACAATTGTGTGATTTGTGAAGCATGGAAAAATGTGAGATTAATTATTGCGATTCAAGGAAAATCTGCATACAGATATATGTATCAGATATAAAGATGTGGGTTCATATCATTGCTATACTGTTCCAGTCGCATTATTCACATTAATAATAAAAAGCTTCGCTGAGTGCAGCCTGATACGACCGCAGAGGTTGAACCCTGAACATTTGGGAGCAAATTTGGACACAATATTCAAGCTTGATTCTGTCTGAATTTGGATTGTGATCAAATTTTTGACACAATATAGGTTTCTGACACAAAATAAATGTGGTCAAAGATCTTACAAATCTATTGCGCAATACTGTGCAATTTAAGGTTTCTTTTTTCTTCTTGAAACTTTTCAAAAATTTGAAATTTGTAAAAATTTTGAAAACAAAATATGAAGCCCTTAAAAAAATTGGAACCCCCCACCATTTTTGAATCCCTCCTTGGAGCAATTACCTCCAAACTCAATCCCAGCCTGTCCTTTGTAGTATGGAACCTTGTAGTACAATTTCAGAGAGATCCATTCACTTAAACACAAGTTATTGTCTGGAAACTAGAAAAATGCTTGTTTTTGTGATAGGTTAAACCAGTTTTACATGCACACAAATCCCCCTCTTTGCTTATCAAGACCATTTGTATAGATGTATTGATCCATGATTTGTTCTGTTCAAGGAATTTTCATTATCTTTACCTTACTACTCTTTATTTTAAAAAATGTACATACAATAAAATCAGGCTACAATTTTTCTCCTAACATTATCAGATTTATATAATTTAGCATTACAATACAAAATTCATACACTGATATGGATCGATGTATGTGTTGTACTTAACATGAATAAAAAACAATAAATGTTGCAATATGGCTTAAATTTCTACCAAATCTGGCAACATTTTAGTTTTTGGTAAAATTGTTCTTTGCAATAAATCAGAACTAAAAATAAAGACATTCACACTTTACATAGTTTAATGATGATTATTAAGACCTTACACAATTTCAAAGAGAAATGGAAACAGTTTTTACTTTGACTCCTGCTTTGAATAACAGGAAATGTTAGGTATATGTCAGAAACCCAATGGCATATAACTATTAACACAAGCATATGTAAATCTGTGTATGCTAGAGATCACCCTGGTTTTTTTAGTGGGGTTCGTGTTGTTGTTAGTATCAAGTTTTCTATGTTGTGTTTTTGTAACTTGTTTGCCTTTGGTCTATTTTTGTTTTTTGTCATGGCATTAGTTTGAACATCCCTATTACGAATTAGCCGCAATACAGAGACACTAACTTATGTAACCTTTATTGTTAACGTAACGTGTTGTAACGTCATATGATTATTACGCTTTGTACAAATGTATTCATAACGTCTCTAGTCAGTTTAGTAAACAGAGTTTGAAATATACACACGTCTTTCTATAATTTACACAAGATAGTACTACCACTAAACCCAAACATTGGTGCCGTGACTTATGGAGAAGATAAAAGCTATACGTGTCGGACACAGAAGTGCCGTCACCAGACTTATAAATAGAACAGATGAAAAATTGCCGAAAATGACATTTCTAACCAGGAACTATGTGCAACAGTTGAAACACTCGAGAAGAAAAGGGACGTTTTACAGGATTTGGACAACAAGATTATTGACATTACGGAAGTAGGAGAAATGGAACAAGAAATATTAGATACGGATGACTACACTTTTCAGATGGAAATCACCATTCGCAAATTTAAGGATATACTGTCAGACTCAAAGACAAGTGTACCACAACAAATGGTGAGTGATAATGCACATTCTTAATCGCATCACACTACTAATACTATACTCAAACAGAATTGTAATCAAACTCATGAAGATTTAGAAACAAACCCGTCACAACATATTCCCGTAATCCCGTCAAACTTTTATCACAGGCTACCTAAACTTGAACTACCGACATTTTCCGGGTTTCTTAGCATGGCAAACCTTCTGGGATTCTTTCCAAACAACAGTACACACAAATCCGTCTCTCACGAATGTACAGAAATTCAGCTACTTAAAATCCCAAATCGTTCTGGAAGCTGAGCAATGCATTTCAGGACTAGCTCTCACTAGCGCCAACTATGAACTAGCAATTCATCTATTAAAGGAGCGTTTTGAACAAGAACAACACATTATCAACGCATACATGCAAAACTTATTGGAACTGCCCAGCCCGTCACTCTCACCAACAAACATTAGATACTTTTACGATAAAATGGAAACCAGTATACAGGGATTAGAGTCAATGGGACAATCTCAAGATACCTTTGGGTCACTACTTGTACCGATTATATTTGGTAAACTTCCCACTGAAATGCGTAAAAGTCTAACTCGGGAACATTGTAATAATAGCTGGGATATTAGATCATTGAGAGAAGCCATTGGCAAAGAAGCATATGTACAGGAAGCAGGAAATTTCAAAATGTCGGACACTTTGACACCTACCGCATCATTCCATATTGCAGCAACACCAAGGTACAACACTAGTATACAACAGAACGGAGGAAATAAGAACAAAATAAATAAGGTAAAATTATGCGTGTTTTGCCAAGAACCACATTTTGCATCAGACTGCACAAAAGTAGCAACGAATGAAAAGGGCTATGCGTTTATCAAACAGAAAAAACTATGTTTTAACTGCTTTGGAAGTCACAAAATTTCAGAGTGTACATCTAAATATACATGTTGTAAATGCAACAGAAAGCATCACACTAGCTTGTGTCAAAACAAACAACACACAGAGAACCAAACAACAAGACGAACAAGCGCAGCTGTAAATACTATGAATGATGAAATAGAAACACACACAGCTACAGTTTACACCTCGTATGAAAATCCCGTGAAACAGAGAACCGACATACTCTTGAAAACAGCCTTATCACCAGTTTCAGTAGGTAATAATTCCATTGTAACAAATATTCTTTTAGACGAAGGTTCACAACAATCTTTTATCACGGAGGATCTAGCAAAACAGTTACAATTAAAACCCTGTGGAATGAGTACACTCAGTCTTGCTGCCTTTGGAGAAACTGATCGTCATGTAAGTAACCTAGAAAAAGCCATTGTTCATTTGTAGACTATACATGGAGGTAAATTATCAATGGAAGTACTCATAGTACCAACAATCGCCGCACCGCTATCAAATCGTACCCATTACGAAGCGTTAAAGTTGCCATATTTACAAGGTATACAATTAGCCCATCCTGTAAGTGAGGAGAAACATTTTGAAATATCTATGTTGATTGGAGCAGATTACTACTGGGACATCGTCGAAAACGAGGAACTACGAGGAATGGGTCCCACTGCAGTTAAGTCAAAATTGGGATATTTATTTCTGGACCAATGCCAACAATAGAAGGATCAACAGTACCAGCTGCTACGTTGAATGTATTAGTACAACACAAGAAGGAAGAGGTAGATCTGGATCAATTTTGGAAATTGGAATCTACGGGAGTAAAGCCAGATGAATCTACAAAAAAGGACAAACACTACTACTAGACATACGAGTCAACTCTATCACATCGCGACAATCACTATATAACAAAATTACCATGTAAAGAGAATCTGCCTGAGCTACCAAGGAACTATAACGTAACCAAGAACGGAACATCGAGAATTATCAGTAGACTGAACAGGGAACCAGAAATACAGAAATTATATAGTAGCCGATCAAGGAAAAAACAGATTTAATAATCGTCCGATTGATCAAATATACTCTTTGACTTGAAGTTTCTAATAAACATTTGCAAATCGAAATGCTACCAAATTTCGTCGATCTCATGTTTGTGATTTACATAGAGACTGTTGGGTAAATTAAATTTCTTTATATATGAACTTTAAAGAAGTTATCCGTTTGCATACATGGACTTTAAAGTGATTCTTATTCATTGTGAGTGTTTGCATGAAATTTTCGATTTTATTTATTAAGTTTTTTCCTTTCCACTTTCCTGTGGCCGGAGTATTACAAATTAGCCGCAATACAGAGACACTAACTTATGTAACCTTTATTGTTAACGTAACGTGTTGTAATGTCATATGATTATTACGCTTTGTACAAATGTATTCATAACGTCTCTAGTCAGTTTAGTAAACAGAGTTTGAAATATACACACGTCTTTCTATAATTCACAAAAGCGAAGTACTACCACTAAACCCAAACAATCCATTTAGTATCAGCCTTTCTTTCATAAACTTTACCTATTGCTGATGCTGACGCAACTGGGAAGCAGTTCACCCAAGTCTTGGTTTGGTGACTAGGTAAAAAAAAAAACCAAGAACACAGATTAGTATAAATTGAGTTAATACCTGTGTTATTTCTATCATCGAATCAGCAATCTGTTGGCTGAGTTCTCCACTGTTGATTATCTCCCTTATATAATTATACAATACAATACTGATATCATGGGCTCGTCTCTGTACTCTGTCACTCGGCGCTCTATATTTACTGCCAGGTCGTGTTCTTGTAGTTTCTAAGTCTAGTATTATCTGCTATATTTTTAAGAAATACAAAAATTGCTTTTTTTAATTACATATTCGTTATAAATATTGTTAAAACATTGATTCCAAATATTACAAATCTAGTGTAAGTAGTTATCGTTATCACACCTGATTAGAAACTCTAAATTACATAAAAAATTCAAGTCAACATTCCCAATGAATGGTACCAATTTTGTGTAATCCACTGCTCCTGCAGTTTCAAAGGAGACGCCTCAACATTTTCAACATGCAGAGAGTGTGGCACTCTCCTTAAATAATACATTGGATAAAGCTGGCTGCATTAACTGATTATACAAAATGAAATTTTAAAATGAATTGTACACCAATTATCAAAGATCTATCATGTGATAATTCTAAAATGGACCAAATCAGAAAAATTAAATAATGACATTTTTAACACAGGAAAAATGAAACACTTGTATAGTTACCTCAACTATTGTTCTAAAAATACACTTATACTGAAGCATATTCTAGAGTTAACAAATTAATTGCTATCATTTTCGTGAACATAATTTCCCTTCAATGATCATTCAAATATTTTTTTTAATTGACCTTTCTGCAATCTAAAAACATAAACTGACAAATGCTAACCTTGGGTGAAACGTTCCATCCTGATGAGTTTTTATTCCTTCTGAAAAGAAAAAATATGATAATCATAATTAATGCATAAAAAATGTCACTTGTTGACTAATATAAGCAGGGCTCAGTGAATCTATAGTTGGAGCTTAAATAGCTCAATCATGCTTTATTAGTTAAATTTACATACAAAAATGATCATCCTGAGGTTTTTAAAATAAAATTTCACTTTAAATTCAAAAAAGATTATCAATGTACAAAATGAAATTTTATCAAAACTTTACATACCCAAAAGCAAAGATTTTATGAATGTTTTTTAACTCAAAGTCATTGTGAGGTTGTCAACAAGGAGTAAAAGCTCACACCTTACTGCAAGTTTAATATGGCCCTTGGCAACAGTTTGAGTAGTATTCTTTGCTACAGGTCGAACGAGCTACTTGCATCTGTGCATTGTAGAACACAGATATAACAGCAAAGAAATCTAACAGCTTGATCAACATGCAGCAAATGCACTAGATATGTAGTTCTGGAATGTAGATGATATTCTCTGTCATCCTCCCAACAGACTATTTATTTGTCATAATTAAAATTTTATATAATTATAAATTATCTGACAGTCATCTTATCAGCCAATACACAATTTGTGTTACCTGCCTTATGGTATTCTCTGAGGGGGAAGAAGATACATAAAAGGATAACTTGGCCTGGGAAGAAGATACATAAAAGGATAACTTGGCCTGGGAAGAAGATAAATAAAAGGATAACTTGGCCTGGGAAGAAGATACATAAAAGGTAGACAGTTCTCTTTTGGTATTCTGGTTTCCTTCGTCAATGAAAACTGGCCACCATGATTTTAGTCAAGTGTGCTGAAAGTGGGGTTTAACACCAACATCAATCGTTCAATCATGAATTGTTATAGTTGTTCACAGTTTATACTTGTTATAGTAGTTCACAGTTACTTGTTTTTTTTCATTAACATATTTTGAAAAGTGCTAAATCAATCATTTTTAAACCAAATTCTAAAATACCACTGTATAAATGTGCTGTCTCTGAGTTTACCTACATCAGGAACGCACAAACACAAAAAATTAAAAGCCGATGCAGAGTTGGTGAACATTTATCAGAAGAATGTCCCGGTTTGTACTGTAGCGTTTAGAAAAAAAATACAGACACTGAACATGCTGAAACTGGTTACTTAAGCATGTTAAGAGGGGATTTATTTCAGCGACAGAGTATAGCCTCTTAATCCCTAAAAGGGAATTGCTGGTTCCCTTGAACTGATGAAATTCTGCTTCTATAAATAAAATGCATATGCACTGAACTAGAAAGTAGAAAAAAGGCCAGACCACAAGACTTTCAGAGCCTCTGTTTTCTACTTAAGACTTGATATAATGTACATCTAAAGTACTTCTTTCAAAATTGATTTAAGTAAAAATTTTCAATGAACAGCTAAAAAAAGCAAGATCAGCCACCTGGGTAAACAATAGTTGTCTCAGTGTCAGTGATCTCATTATACATGTAGCTATAGTATAAAAATTCTCCTGGTGGAAATTTTTTTATTGATATTAATGCAAAGGTTGGGCACCAGAAACACCTCACCCCTTTATCCTAGAACGTCTACTAAAATCCCACAAGTCTCTGAAAAAAATTTACCTATATACCTTAATATAACACAAGGTACCCAATTCTCATCTTTGGGAAAATGACACTCAGTCGGAAACTTTCTATATAATATTTCGATTCTGCAGTTGTCTATCCCACTAAAACATTATTATTATGTTGTAATAGCTCTTCAACTTTTTAGGTTTTTATACATCCTCTGTTTTCAAATATTCGGCTTTGAGCGTTCCTCATGAAGGTAAATCCAGAGAAGCGCTTCGGACGCATGAAATTTATAACGTGTTGTTTTCATTTTTTGTAAATCTACATTAAATTATTTTAAAAGTCATGTATGACATGGTTATTTCTGTTGTCTGAATAATTTGTAGCAGGCCTTCCAAGTAGATCAAGCGTAAAATATTTCGATTTCTCACAGTGAAATGGCAAAGTTGACATCACAGCTGTAAATGATTAATTATAAAAAGTATTTCCCTAAATTCTGTAAGTTTTTCATGTTTTTCTCTGAATAGAACTTACAAAAAGTATCTGTCGTCCATACAGAAAATTTATAAAAGATATTGTAATAAAAAATCTTGTAAGTGTTATTTGAGGTATTTTAAATGTGTTAGTTCCTTTTTTCAAACTCAAATTTTCCAATTTCATTCAAACTCTGTGAGGACTTTACATAAATCATGTAAATAAACTGTTGACACAGAGATATGTCTCTACTGTCGACATAAAATTCAGAAAAAGACAATCTGATGGACAGCAACATTGCCTTATTTATTCAAAGTTGCTGGACCAACTAGTGGGTAGGGCCTCGAAATGGTTGACCAACTGAGATGTACAGACAGCAATGTAACTTTATAGAAAATATTGTCTATTGTAAGTAGTTCCTATCAAACTAACTTACTCAGAAAACTTAACATTGAAAATTGTTAATTGATTGAAATTTACTGGACCATGACCTAGGGCGCAGGGCCTTGAAATAGTCGTCAAACTGATATGTACAGATGGTAATGCAACTTTATAGAAAATATCATTGATCTATCACAAGTAGTTAATATCAAACTAATTTAAGTAGAAAACTTATCATTGAAAATTGCTAATTAATTGAAAGTCACTGAACCATGGCCATAGGGGCAGGGCCTCAAAATAGTCGTCAAACTGATATGTACTGATAGCAATGCAACTTCACACAAAATACCATTGATCTATCACCAGTAGTTCCTATCAATCTAACTTAAGCAGAAAACTTAACATTTAAAATTACTAATTAATTCAAAAGTCACTGCACAATGGCCTAGGGGGCAGGGCCTCAAAAAAGATGTCAAACTGATATGTACTGATAGTAATGCAACTTCATACAAAATATCATTGATCTATCTGGTCTGTAAGGGGTAACACTTATATAAGTCATTTTTATTTACTTTAGGATGTAAGTAATTATATACTTGTATAAGTAAATTTGTAAGATTTATTTTTTCTTTTCAAGGTTTGAATAATCTCCCCTTAATCTTCTCCAAAAATTTACTTGTATAAGTAATTTTAATTTACAACCCCTAAAATTCTCAAGTTTTGGGAGGTAAAAACATGCCTGAAACAATTTTTCTCTGGTTTATTAATAATTTTTAATTAGAGTTCAACCTTTAGTCTCACTATTTCAATAAAGAAATCAATTGTGCAAAGATGTTAAGTACATGTAACTGCCACTGCAAGGCCTTCAAATATTGCCCCCTGGAGTCTTGTAAATGAGCAGTATTTTGATGATAACAGACAAATGAGATTTTCATTGTCCATGAAATTATACTTAATATATGATTAGAAAAGACATCTGCAAAGGACAGACAATCAAGCACTCTATTAGAGCAAAGTAGTCAAGAGAAATTAAAGAAAAGAAAAAAAAAAAACTTTTTTACTTGTATAAATAAAGAAAATCGGATTGTCTAAGTGATAAAACTATTAACTACAAATGTATACCATTAAAATAATTTACCTGTTCCAGTAAATAAAATACAATTGTATAAATATTACCCCTGACTGCTGGTAGGGCGAGTTGGCTAGCTTAAAATCAGTGGGATAAAACTCCTTTTAATTTGTGGGGCTAGATTGTTAACAAGTGAGGTGAGTTCGTAGACTAGAGGCTTTCAAGAGCCTGTGTCGCTCACCTGTATCACTGTGTTTTTGGAAATCATGTAAAATAAGGTTAAAGTCATAATAAATAGTATTAGATACCCTTATAATGATTGAGGTCAAGTTTGGTTTAATTTGGCCCAGTAGTTAAATCAAAAGCAGGTCATCCTATTTTAGTCTTACAATAGTTACTGAAGACCCCTTATCATTATTAAAATTAGTTTTCAAGTTGTGACCATTTGAAATTGGTTTTTTTACAATTTTCCTTTAGACTTCTATAGCATGTATAGTAAACCCACTATGTTCTATTTTTAGCCATGGCGGCCATGTTGGTTTGATGACAGGGTCATCGGATACATTTTTCAATCAAGATACCCTATTGAAAATTGTGGCTAAGTTTAATTCTATTTGGCACAGTAGATTAAGTGAAGAAGATTTTTGTAAAAGATTACAAAAATTTACGAAAAATTGACTATAAAGGGCAATAACTCCTTAAGGGGTCAATTGACAATTTTGGTCATATTGACTTATTTATAGATCGTACTTTGCTGAACATTATTGCTGTTTACAGTTTATCTCTATCTATAATATTATTTAAGATAATAACCAAAACCTGCAAAATTTCCTTAAAATTACCAATTCAGGGGCAGCAACGGGTTATCTGATTTCGTCTGAAAATTTCAGGGCAGATAAATGTAAACCTGATGAACATTTTTACTCAGTCAGATTTGCTCTACCGGTACATGCTTTAGTTTCAGAGATATAAGCCAAAAACTGCATTTTACCCCTATGTTTCAATTTTTAGCCATGTTGGTTGGCAGGCAGGGTCATCGGACAAATTATTTAAACTAGATATCCTAATGATGATTGTGGCCAAGTTTGGATAAATTTGGCCTAGTAGTTTCAGAGGAGAAGATTTTTGTAAAAGTTAAAGACGTTGACGGACGACGGATGCCAAGTGATGAGAAAAGCTCACCTGGCCTTTGGCTTTTTAGGCCAGGTGAGTAAAAAATGGGACGAGTAAGCCTGGGACGATTTAGCAATGGAGCGAGTTTGGTCAGGGGCGAGTTGTCATTCAGAATGCCTACTTTTGAGACTTCTTCAGCATCTTAGCTAAAGCGCCTTCAATCTTGACAGCTTGCTGGAAACATGCACATGATTTCATATAATTTCTCTGCCATAGAATTCTAGAAAAGGCCAGTAATTTAAGAGCTTGCTGAGAAATAAGAGTTGACATTTTTATGCTATAAGTTTACATGGGCGCATCCATCTTGTAGATCCGCACTTAATATAGAAGAACTAAAATCTAAAAATCCAAACTTACATCAAATGAATGATTTGATCAATTAAAACAATCTAATGAATTTATTTTATTAACTGGTGTCTTTATTTTTTATATATTAAACCTAATACATTTGAATGTTCCGCAGGGTATAACTTCCGGTTTCTCAACAAATTGTAAACATTGGCCATGTGGAACTTGACATAAGAGTTCCACGCTTGTCATCTGCGTTATTTGTCCATATTTTTTACCATGTCGTCTAGAGCATTGCGCAAACTTCATGGTAAACAAGAATTAGAAGTTCCGTCTGTTGATGATGAGTTAGACGAGGAAGAATGTACCGAGAAAACCCAGACTGCTGTTGTAAACCCTTTTGCACTGGTAAAGCAAAACATAAACATTAAACATATGGAAAATGTCACAAATCAACCGACAGAAAACACTCCGGGGATCGTACACTCTAACAAGTTTTAAATGCAGATTTATCTTTACAGAATTCAAATAAATTTATTTTTCATCTCTTTGGGGCAGGCGGTATCGGGTCCGTTCGCGCCCAATACACGTTCGCACCCTACACGTTCGCACCCCACACGTTCGCCCCCTAGGTCCGTTCGCGCCCTACACGTTCGCACCCTTTTTTTTTTAATTCATAAACCTGATAAATTTTTAGATGTTTTGTAGATGTTTATAACAAAATATTTTTATTTTCATAAGTAAAAATTCGGGAATTTTTAAATGAAATATTGTTTTAATTATTAAATGTTAATTATGTATGATTACTTCTTATTGGTATTTATACACAGCCTAATTTGGTGTTATTGTTGAGTGTTTAAAAATCATGATTGTTGTCATGGTTGTTTTAACTTGCTTTGATGTAAATACTGCATGTATTTAGCTTGGTATGAGTAAAACTTTGAAGATTTTAAATAAAAAACATGAAGATAATTGTTTTTAACAGCTTGGCTCCTTTGATCTCATGTGTGTCAGAATCTCACTTTATTCATAAACAATGAAAAAACATATTTATAGCAATACACTATCCAAAACGTGATTACGAATTATTCAACACATAAAAAAAACGTTGTCAGAACCCTATGGCAATTCCTTTTGAAACAATAAAAAAGAAATATTTATAGCATAAGCAATACACTAACCAAAACATGATTTAGATTTTATCAACACCTAAAAAAACGTTGTCAGAATCTCACTTTATTTAGAAACAATGAAATTTTTTTTTATATATATATATAGAGCTGCTCAGCAATACACTTACCTTAACATGATTAAAAATTATTCAACACAACACAAAAATAAAATACTGGTCGTCAGTATCTCACTTTATTTAAAAACAATGAAAAAAAAAATGTTTATAGCAATACATTTACCATGACAAAAAAAAAACCTTGTCAGAATCTCACTTTATTTAGAAACAATGAAAAAATATATATTTATAGCAATACTCTTACCAAAACTCGTTTACAAATTATTAAACACAAAACAAATAAAAATTGGGCGCGAACGTGTAGGGTGCGAACGGACTTTGGGTGCGAACGTGTAGGGTGCGAAAGTGAAAGGGGGCGAACGTGCATGGGGGCGAACGTGATTGGGCGCGAACGGACCCGGATTCGGGGCAGGCCTAGTCTAAGGTGGGTCTCATTGGGGTCTAAGCATGACGCGGTATTGGTCGATTTTTTTAAGCGTGATGTATGAAAGTCAAATTATTTTATGTGAAATTTGGAAACGAAGTCCAGCGGGACACGGGAAATTACATGAATTACAAGCGCTATTATGGCAACGATAAGCGGGATACAGCTAGGATTCTGACAAAACAATAAGTGGGATCCGGGATCAGACCCCCCCCGCCAATGAGACTCCCTTTAAGTAGTTGATCGTAATTATGACGTCTTGAAAGGCTATTTTAATTTTTTTGCTGTGACCACTTCCAACGACCAAATCATTACCATGTCTTGTATAGTACAAAAACAGAAGAAAAAGAAATTACATTGAAATTTTTATTTTGTATATAATTCACTGTAAATAGAAATTAGATCCCACGAACGCACAGCATAGTAAAATCAGTTATCATCAGTATGTTGATGGAGTGCTGAATTATAAAGAAGAGATGTCTTGAAAGCCTATTTTAATTTTTTTGCTATGATGCTTTCCTATGATGTCAAAATGCTGAAGCCAGAGAATTTGTGAGAGAAATTTTCGGTAGAACTTGGAGACCCACTTTTGCCATGAAATCTTAATTGACGGCTAGAAATTTTTGCATATATACTAATTCTTACCTTTAGTGTGCCTGTTGGTGCAAAATATTTCCAGAAATATCCAAAAGTAATGATAGAATAAGTTACGATTTCCTTTAAGATGTGCAATGACCTACTTCGTTTTTACAATGGTTTCCCTGATTTATCAATATCCTTCACTTTTGGAGAGTATAAAATACCAAACTCTATTTAATTTGATAGATTACTGGATAATATAAATCGAACATTACGATAAAAAATAAAAAGTTAAACTTTATAAACTAAAGTGTGGAGATTTTTATACGACCGCAAAAAAATTTTTGTGGTCGTATATTGGTATGACGTTGGCGTCGTCGTCGTCGTCCGGCGTCGTCGTCCGAATACACATTAGTTTTCGCACTCTAACTTTAGTTTAAGTGAATGGATCTCAATGAAATTTTACCATAAGGTTCAATATCACAAAAGGAAGGTGGGGATAGATTTTGGGGGTTATGGTACTAACAGTTAAGGAATTAGGGGCCAAAAAGGGGCCAAAAATAAGCATTTTTGTAACTTCCAGACATAACTTGTGTGTAAGTATATGGATCTCTCTGACATTGTACCACAAGGTTCCATATCACAAAGGGAATGCTGGGATTAATTTTGGGGGTAATTGCCTCCAAATTTTAGGAATTAGGGGCCAAAAAGGGGCAAAAAACAAGCATTTTTCTAGTTTCATGACAATAACTTGTGTGTAAGTGTATGGATCTCTCTGACATTGTATCACAAGGTTCCATATCACAAAGGGAATACTGGGATTGATTTTTGGGGGTAATTTCCTCCAAATTTTGGGAATTAGGGGCCAAAAAGGGGCAAAAAACAAGCATTTTTCTAGTTTCAGGACAATAACTTGTTTGTAAGTGTATGGATCTTTATGAAATTGTACTGCAAGGTTCCATATCACAAAGGGAAAGCTGGGTTGGAGTTTGGGGGTAATTGCCCTAAGAGTTTAGGAATTAGGGGCCAAAAAGGGACAAAAAAAACAAGCATTTTTCTAGTTTCCAGACAATAACTTGTGTTCAAGTGAATGGATCTCTCTAAAATTGTACTGCAAGGTACCATACCACAAAGGGAAAGCTGGGATTGAGCTTGGGGGCGATGAATCATAAGGGGGTTAAAAAAATTTGGGGTGGGATTTTTTTTTCCTTTTTTTTCTTTAAAATTTTCCATTTTAAATTGGTTATTTCTGATTTATATATAAAACAAGGTTGGCAAAAAAGTGGTCAATACTAGTATTGACCAGGCCGGCGGTAAATACCGGTATTTACCGGGAAATACTGGCAAATACTGGTCAATACTGGTCAATTGAAATTTTGATAAGATATTACTATTAAATACAGTCCCTACCTGGTCAACTACAGGGTAAATGGACAAATATATTCACAGGACAGAAAGTCACTTATTTACTACATTGTAAAGGACAAAAACTCACAATTAATTAGTTTACAAGTGTTTGAATATGTAAGGGAAAATCCTTGAAATGAATTCATTGTAATGTTTATGAGATTGATAATGAACATGGTTAAATGAAGATTTATTAAATATTAATCCTACAAAGGATATTTCTTGGTACCATGAAGCCAGTCAAGAAAAAGACTATGACAGCTTGTTTTCTTAACAGTAATTTCAGCAAATGTAATAAAACAATGTCTTAAAAATTAGTCTTTTCTTAATTAAAGAAATAGTTCTTTCAAAATTGCATTGTGACTTTCAGTCCTGTGATATTTAGCCCTACATTCAATAACTGTTAGTCATGAAAATATGAAAGTTTTCAAGTCAAAATTAGACTTTTTTAATGTTATCTTTTCTTATATAAATTGAAATTATACATGAACACATCATGGACAATGATTATTAGAATAAAATTAAAGAAAAAGAAAAACAGCAGCCAAAGTATAGATCCTTCAAAAATTTCCAGTTTCTGTATTTACAGGATTTAGTTTTAGAAGATATTTATCATGCAGTTGAATAGTCAGGAATAAAATAATTGTTTTAAACAGTCTTCAAAAATAACTTTTATGACTTTTTTCCTGTTATGTCAACATTTATTAGGGGACAGTTGTAATATTGAATAAACTTTTGACACCTGCTTGCCATTTAATAGGTAATGCCCTGATAATCTAGTCACCTGTAATTCTATTTACCTGTTAAAATCAAACCTTTTCAAGAAAAAAATATATATATTTTATACATGTTGAAATAACTGATATAGCAATTTTATATTCATACCTAAACTATGTTATATCATTACCCATAAGAACTAAATAAGTCATTATTCATGCTAATAATTGATAAAACATACCAATATCAATCCTTTTTATAAACTTAATCATGCCATATGAATAAAGTTAAAATAATTTCCCCTATCAACTAAGATTTAACTAACATTGATAGTAAAATCTGTCAAAAGAACCATGAAAATTTCAATTGTCCAGTATTTGCCAGTATTGACCACTTGAGGAGTATTGACCAGGGTGGTAAATACCACTGGTAAATACCGGGGGTGGTATTTACCGCCCAACCTTGATATAAAAGCAAATAATAATGATATGGTTTGAATAGCATACATGTGAACCTCCCGACAGGAGTACAATAATCCTGTTTTCAGGAGTCTCCTCCCGACCTCCGGTTGAAGAGGAAAATTATAATCCCGTGTATGAAATTTTTCATGAATGAAAAATTTCTGCCCAACATATCATCTCAGGCATCTGGTGTAACTCACATTACCTGAAGTTATATTTTACCTGTAAATCAATTAACATGCATAATTATATGGCTTCACTTGTCAGCTTGGGTGTCAAACATACTGGTAATCAATGATTTTTTACCTCAGGCTAACTGCCGTTGTGTAACAAAAACTGTGTATTTATTGGGTTACTTCCCTTGATTTATCCTGTTTTAAGTTACTTTCCTTTTAATAATGAAAATTTTTAATAGAATATAAATAATATATAAATTGAACAAATAATCATAAAAGGATGGTAAATAAATGATTTTAAATGTCTTAGGACAAATAAAAAAATAATAATTTGAAAATTATTTGAGGATTCTATACTTCCTTTCAAGGCTTAAATTGAAATTTATATAATAACTATGACCCTTGTTTTACAGTTAGAATGATTTTCTGAGTATGCAAACAAAAGCTATTTGCAGATAGTTAAACAAATGTTCTGGTTGCAATAAATGTTTTATAGAATATGAAGTAAAAAATTTAAAGAACATACTGAAAAAAAAAGATGTTAGATTGAACATGTAAAATATAAAGATGGAGAAACTTTATAAGTACAAGGGTACTATAAACATAATAAATTGGATGGAAAGTTGAAGAAAACACACTTTAAAAGACCATTTTTACAGCACACGGTTACATTTACGACAAAATTTATGTCGATTAAAAACCTCCTGATCTGAGTCCTAATCTCCTGACCAAAATTTCCCAATCTCCTGATCTGAGTTTCACAGTCCATCACATGTATGAATAGGTAAATTAAAAAATTATAAGTTCTTAGACCACTTTCATTCTGTGTCAGAAACCTATGCTGTGTCAAATATTTAATTACAATCCAAATTCAGTGCTGTATCAAGCTTGAATGTTGTGTCCATACTTGCCCCAACTGTTCAGGGTTTGACCTCTGCGGTCGTATCAAGCTGCGCCCCAGCGGAGCATTTTATTTTATGCTAAGTTTAGCAGGATGAAATACATCATTAATGTTAATTTTAAGATACATTATACAAATAAAATGTGTTATAATGAAGTCTTTGTTCTGCATAATTGTTTTTATTATGAAATAACATAATTTTTTGAAAAGAAAACTAGTCAGCTTGGAATGAGTAAAAACAGTGCAAGAAATTGTAATACAAAAAAAGCTTATTCGCTTTCACGCCTCAGGTCCTATAGAAATGCATATAATAAGACCAGTACATAAAAAGGGATAACAAGAATTACCCAAAAACTACTGCACAATAACCGACCAAATTAACCACCAAATTCTCCCCTACAAAATTGACAAACAAACATTGATAAACATGAATGAACAACACCTGGTATGAATAGCCTGACTTGGTATAGGCACAAAATGTGGTGGGATAAACCAGATTAATATGCTCACAACCACACACCCCTCCCCCAGCTACAACTGCTGCTTATGAAAACAAAGAACTTATTACAAACAACTCTCCTAATACCTTTATTGAAATGTCAACATAAAATTATTGAAATATGTAGTATTGGTAAAAGGCAAGTAAGCTTTTAAAATGTCAGACAAAAGAAAAAAACTTTTTTATTGACTAGAAAAAAAATATTCAACAGAATTGTATAATTTTATGTAAAAAAAATTAAAACAATGAAATACAATAATAACACAGGGCTATCTTGTTTATCATGTTTATTTACAGCTTGGAGATGATGAGGAAGAAGAAGACATTGAAGAAACAAATGATATAGAAAATGTTGTTCCTAAAGACATTCAGCAACAAGGTGCTAGAAAAAAAAAGAAGAAAAAGAAAAAGAAGAACAAAGAAAAAATAGAAGAGAAAGTTAAAAATGGTGAAAACATGGATGACATTGATGCATCACTACAGGAAGTTGAAAGAATTCTGGGAGAAAGCAAAAGTACACACATACAAGACACTGAGCAGTCAACTGTAACATCAAGCATGAAAGCCTTATTGACTGTAGAACACAAGTATTAGTTATTATTTTATCTTGAATACACAAAAAATTGAAGTGATGTTCAAACCAATTGGCAAATGTTCAATGCATGAATTCAGCTCCCACAGGAAAAGTTAATGCTTTAATATTTCGAAGAAAATAACACACGTGAAAATTTCCATGTTTTAAATGATTTAAAGTAATGAATATAGGTATATGTGTTATAAGTCAATGAGACAGCATCCCAACAAGACAAGAAATCAAAAGACATCCAGAGATCAACATAAGGTCTTTAACAATAGACGAGCGTCTTGTTACTATATGTGAAGCTCTCTACATTGCATAGTGAGTAGAAAATTGGTAGAGATTATCATAGACTGCCATCAAAATCATTTACGCTAATTAAAGGACATATAACATTGTAGTACATGTATGATACAAGAAAACACTGACAAAGTTCCATATTTAGTAAAGGAACATGATTATTTGGTTGGGTGAAACCAGTTTTATTTCATCCATTGCAAATGTAGTACTTGCTCCAGACCTACATGACCAAAGGTCTCAGGAAAAAAAATGAAAAACAAAATGCAAATGCCAAAGCCAAAAAGATTTGATATAGAACACAAAAAATCTAAGCATATCATTGTAGATTAGTATTCAATGTTAATTAATGTTCAGGTATTTTTATCTTGAATACTTGTTGACTGCTCAAGTATTTTTGGATCAGAAATGATGTTAAATCAAAGAACACACTATATTTAGACTTTTTTGGCAATAAAACCCCTTAGTATTAAAATATAATCATAAAAACTGTTTTTAGTAATTGTTAGCTCTTAGTGTTGATTATATATGTTGAAATGTGACTGCCAGAGCAAGTTTGCATCATTTACCAGCTGTTAGATTCAATTTGGTAGAAATTTATCATGAAAAGTGTACATGAATGGGAGACAACTCACATTTTATGACTCTTTAATAGATTTACAGTATATTACATGATGATACTAAAATTCTTAAAATTTGTGTTTTCATTTACAGGAATTTGAACCCAGATAATGAAATGAAAAGAATTTTTGGTTCAAGAGTTGTACAAGCTGAAATGAGGTACATTTTGTCTATTTACATCTACATGTGAATGATTTTACACTCTTCGAGATTCAGCAATAATTATTAGAAATCACATTAAGGATTATGTGAGACATGAAAACTTGTTCATTTTGCTATTGTTTAATTATTTTTTTATTATTTTAAAATTTGCATGCACACTTCAATTTTTTTACTTAACTTGAAATTTTGGTGATAATCAATTGGTTCTATTCTAAAGCATTGGTGGAAAATAATTAAGAAAAATTAAATTGTATAACAGGAAATATCACAGTTTAAAATTACAATGAAATTTCAAATGACTTGCCAAAAAAAATAAAACTATATCAACTCTCTGAAATAACATGTACAAGTCTTATTGCCTCCTGTAAATTCATCGCCTATTTCAAAGTACCAATGTAAATGATGGTGTGTAAACAAAATCCCTTTTGGAAAATTATTAACATTTGAAAATACATTATTTACAACGGTAGTACTTGTATTTTGTAGTAGACGACAACCAAGAAATGCTCGAGCTAGAAAGAGGGCAACTTGGATGTCAACTCCAAAAGATACTTGGCCGCCAATTGGTAAAATAGGTAAGCAAGTAACAATAATAAAGATTGTTTCTTTAAGGGTTTCAGCTGTCAGATCAACTATGATTAGGGCTACCCCCATGTGTTTAATTCTGGAATAGCCCTTAGTAGATCTTAAAATATTTTGTTTTTCCACATTGAATATTTCATGATGGTCAGTTCTCAAATTGGTGCTGGTAACACTTGAATATAATACATTCAACTCATGAATATTCATGAAGAATAAGAGAGATAACATGTTAAATTCATAAAGGAAACATTTTACACATTGTGACTTGGATGGAGAGTTGACTCATTGGCACTCATACCACATCTTCTTATTTCTATAAAAGCTAAAGTATGTTTGAAATTAAATATTTTCAGTTATTTTGTATTAAAGAAAAAAGAGAAATGTAATATTCTTCACTAAACAACAAATCAAGAAAAACATGTGCAATGGTTTAATTATTCACAATTATGTGTGTATTTAATCATAAAAAATACATTACTTTATATTTCTAGGATTATCAATGACCTTAAAAGAAACAAGAAATGGTGTTCAGTATTATATATTTGAACACAGTAAAGACTACCAAAAAATTCAGTTCCAGTTTTATGAGGCTGTTGAATCTCTAAACCCACAGAATATTGCAGTATGTATAGAAAAGATGATGCATTCATTATACTGTAAAACTATTAGTAATTAGTCATTATCACCTTTGTAATCTTTTTTATTTTGAAGGGTGATTATATGTTTTCTAAAGTTTATATCATAAAGATAATTATACTAAAATTTATTTGTCAAAATAGTAACAAACTATTTTAAAATACATGTAGTAAACGTGTCAGTCACTATAAAGCAGCTACAAGTGAATCAATAAGAAATTTTCAAATCAGACCACCAATTCACCCTCTCCAATTTAGAACATATGTAAAGTAGCCCTTCCCTGACAAAAAAATAGTGCTTTTGATGTCATTGTTTATTTAAACGAATGAACAAATTTGCAGAAACTGGTGGTGAAAGAGAAATATATTTAGACCATTTTGAGCCAAAATTTACTTGTACATGAGTTTGCATTAAATATTGAGGATTAATGCGCTGCTTAATATACTAATTTAAGATTTCCAGAAAACCAGGGGTTATTATACGACAGCAAAAAATTTTGCAGTCATATATTGGTATCACGTCGTCATCGTCCGAAGACATTTGGTTTCCGGACAATAACTTTAGTATTAGTAAATAGAAATCTATGAAATTTAAACACAAGGTTTATAACCAGAAACGGAAGGTTGAGATTGATTTTGGGGGTTATGGTCCCAACAGTTTATGAATTAGGGGCCCAAATAAGCATTTTTATACAACTGCAAAATTTTCCTATATTGGTATGACGTTGGCGTCGTCATTGTTGTCGTCCGAAGACACATTGGTTTTAGCACTCTAACTTTAGTTTAAGTGAATGGATCTCTATGAAATTTGACCATAAGGTTCAATACCATATAAGAAAGGTTGGGATTGATTTTGGGGTTATTGTACCAACAGTTAAGGAATTAGGGGCCAAAAATAAGCATTTTTGTAACTTCCAGACATAACTTGTGTGTTAGTGTATGTATCTCTCTGACATCGTACCACAAGGTTCCATATCATAAAGGGAATGCTGGGATTGATTTTGGGGATAATTGCCTCAAAATTTTAGGAATTAGGGGCAATAAAGAGGGGAAAAAACAAGCATTTTTCTAGTTTCATGACAATAACTTGTGTGTAAGTGTATGGATCTTTTTGAAATTCTACTATAAGGTTCCATATCACAAAGGAAAAGCTGGAATTGAGTTTGGGGGTAATTGCCCAAAACATTTAGGAATAAGGGGCCAAAAATAAACATTTTTATACGCCCGTTTAAGAGACGAATTATGGTATACCGTTGTCCGTCTGTCCGTCCGTCCGTCTGTCCGTCCGTCCGTCTGTCCGTCCGTCCGTCCGTCTGTCCGTCCGTCGTCAACATGTCGGACATTAACTCAAAAATGCTTTAACCAATTTGCATAAAACTTTGGTGAATTGTTTATATCTATTGACGTGAGCTCCCTTTCGTTTTTTATAAATTTTAGATTTTACGTTTCCGAGTTATGGGGTTTTATTCATTAAAAAAAGGGGGATTTTCCAGTTTTCGGACAATAACTCAGGAATGCTTTCACCAACTTGCAAGAAATTGTGGTGAATTGTTTATATCTATTGACATGAATTCCCTTTCGATTTTTATATATTATAGATTTTACGTTTTCGAGTTACAGGGTTTTTTCATAAAAAAAGGGGGATTTTCCAGTTTTCGGACAAAAAATCAAAAATGCTTTCAGCAGTTCTTATGAAACTTTGGTGAATTGTTTATATCTATTGATGTAAGCTCCATTTAGAATTTTATAAATTTTACATTTAAAATTTCTGAGTTATGGGGTTTTATTCATTAAAAAAGGGGGGATTTTCCAGTTTTCGGACAATAACTCAAAAATGCTGTCAGCAATTCTCATGAAACTTTGGTGAATTGTTTATATCTATTGATGTAAGCTCCCTTTACATTTTCATAAATTTCTAATATGACATTGAGAATTAATTGAACTTTATTTGTTTATAGTCTGACAACAAATTTACTAAGTATTGCGCAACAGCACAGTGTATTGCACAACAGCAAGAAATCTTTAATTGAATATAAATTCAATTCATATAACCAATTTCAAGTTCTTTAACTATATTTATTCAGAAACCTATAATATGTCAAATATTTAATTACAATCCAAATTCAGACCTGTATCAAGCTTGAATATTGTGTCCACTTGACCCAACTGTTCAGGGTTGGACCTCTGCGGGCGTATCCAGCTGCGCTCAGCGAAGCAGTTTATTCTAGTTTCCAGACAATAACTTGTGTTCAAGTGTATGGATCTCTCTGAAATTGTACTGCAAGGTACCATACCACAAAGGGAAGGCTGGGATTGATTTTGGGGGTAATTGCCTCAAAATTTTAGGAATTAAGGGCCAAAAAGGGGCAAAAAACAAGCATTTTTCTAGTTACAGGACAATAACTTGTGGGTAAGTGTATGGAACTTTATGAAATTGTACTACAAGGTTCCATGTCACAAAGGGAAAGCTGGGTTTGAGTTTAGGGATAATTGCCCTAAACGTTTAGGAATTTTGGGCCAAAAAGGGGCCAAAAAACAAGCATTTTTTTCTAGTTTCCAGACAATAACTTGTGTTCAAGGCTGGGATTGAGTTTGTGGGTGATGAATCATAAGGGGGTAAAAAATGGGGGGGGGGGTGGGGGGTTTCCTTTTTTTCCTTTTTTTTACTTTAAAATTTTCCATTTTAAATTGGTTATTTCTGATTTATATAAAAGCAAATAATAAAGATATGGTTTGAATAGGTAAATTAAAAAAAAATAAGTTCTTAGACCACAATCATTATGTGTCAGAAACCTATGCTGTGTCAAATATTTAATCACAATCCAAATTCAGTGCTGTATCAAGCTTGAATGTTGTGTCCATACTTGCCCCAACTGTTCAGGGTTCGACCTCTGCGGTCGTATCAAGCTGCGCCCAGTGGAGCATTTTATTCTAGTTTCCAGACAATAACTTGTGGAACGGTGTATGGATCTCTCTGAAATTATACCACAAGTTTCCATACCACAAAGGGATGGTTAGGATTGGCTTTGGGGTGTTATGGCTCATACCGTTTAGAAAGTAGGGGCAAAAAAGTGCGAAAAAACAAGGGTGTCCTGGTTAATGGACAATTACTTAAGTACAATGTTGTGTTTGAATTACCTCCCTTACACTGCTTTTAAATTATGTATAAAGACATGTTGGATTGTCTTGAGGTGATTAGCTGTCAATTTATTTTTAGAAGTTACTATTTTAATAATTTTAAAAATGCTGATTAAGGTGTATTAATTTTAGCCATGATTATGTATGTCATTTTCTGTTTTAAGACTTTTATGATGTATTTAAATGGGTTATTATGGTTGCAAACTCCATTGGAAATTTGAATTGAGATTATGACCATATCTTGAGAGAAAGAATTTTTTTTTGGAAAAGGGGGGAAGGTTAAAAAAAAATTGGGGCGGGGGTGTGTGTGTCAATACGCAACAGCATAGTGTATTGCTCAAAAGCAAAAAAAAAGGGGGAGTAAATTTTAAAAAAAATTTTGGTGGGGGGAGGGGGGGTCAATTCGCAACAGCAAAGTGTATTGCACAAAAGAAAAAAATTGAATATAAATTCAAATCATATAACCAATTCTAAGTTCTTTGACAGTGTCAGAAGCCTATTATGTGTCAAATATTTAATTACAATCCAAATCAGACCTGTATCAAGCACAAATATTGTGTCCATTTTTGCCCCAACTGTTCAGGGTTGGACCTCTGCAGTCGTATCCAGCTGCGTTAGGCGAAGCAATTTATTACAAAAATGTCATAGATATTCATAAATCATTAATTATTTTGTAGAATATTATACAAATACAAGGTTACCATATAGATGCCTTAATAGCTTTGAGTGATGTGTTTCGTATGAATGAAGATATGCAGATGTCAGCTGAATTAATAGGTAACAGATTAATTCAAATCATAGACTAAACTTATAAGATGCCTTTTTATCTCCAAACAACACACTAGGTGGATGTAGGTGTACTTATTTATACCCCTTTTTATCTCCAAACAAGACACTAGGTGGATGTAGGTATACTTATTTAGACACCTTTTTGTCTTAAGCTCCTCAAGTATTCATGTATTTTGATATACAATGTAAGGCAGTTTGTTGAGATATTTTAATATGCATATAAGGTTATTTAAGTAATCTAAAATGTTTAAAGTAAGTTTTGTGCAGATGAGTGGATATTTTTTTTGCAAAATTAACATATTTATTCTAACAATGTACATAATGTGCAGAATTTTAATTGTCAGCATTTTTAAGTTTTCTCGAAATGAAAAACATGACAGTCATTTTTTATTGACAGCAATTGTTTCGATTCTGCCATTTTGTTACGTCATGAGTTTTTCTTTCAACATTCTTTGAAAAAATATTGTGTTTGACAGCGTATTTACGCCTGATACGAATTTATGGAATGTATTAAGTGTTTATTATACTATTTACAGATCAGCTGAGTCAAGAAATTCATTATAGTGTTATTTTTATACGACCGCAAAAAATTTTTTGTGGTCGTATATTGGTATGACGTTGGCGTCGTCGTCGTCGTCCGGCGTCGTCGTCCGAAGACGCATTAGTTTTCGCACTCTAACTTTAGTTTAAGTGAATGGATCTCTATGAAATTTTACCATAAGGTTCAATACCACAAAAGGAAGGTGGGGATTGATTTTGGGGGTTATGGTACCAACAGTTAAGGAATAAGGGGGCCAAAAAGGGGCCAAAAATAAGCATTTTCTAGTTTCCAGACAATAACTGTGGAACGGTGTATGGATCTCTCTGAAATTATACTACAAGTTTCCATACCACAAAGGGATGGTTAGGATTTGCTTTGGGGGGTTATGGCTCAAACCGTTTAAGAATAAGGGGCAAAAAAGGGGGGAAAAACAAGGTTGTCCTGGTTAATGGACAAATACTTTAGTACAAAACATAATTTAAAGCAGTGTAAGGGAGATAAATCAAATACATCATTGAAATTATCTCCCTTACACTGCTTTTAAATTATGTATAAAGTAATGGTTAAAGAACAATTAAGATAATTTAAAACAGTGTAAGGGAGGTAATCCAAATACAACGTTTTGGTTACTTCCCTTACACTGCTTTTAAATTATGTTTAAAGAAATGCATATTTATAAAGGAAGACCAGTAAAAATATCTGCAAATGTTGCATCTTTTTTTTTTACAACAAAATCCATATGAAAGATTTGACACTATATTTTAAATTCTATTATAAAATAGATTAAGTTAGCACTATGGTAAATTTAAATGGGTAATTATGGTTGCAAACTCCATTGGAAATTTGAATTGAGATTATGACCATATCTTGAGGAAAAGAATTTTTTGGGGGAAAAAAGGGGGGGGGGGGGGGTTTAAAGAAATTGTGGGGGTCAATTTTTTCTCATTTCAGATTTCAGAAATTAAAAAGAATTATTCTTCAAATATTATTTTTTTTTCAAATTTCAAATATTGAAAAATTTCAAGAAGTAATCTTTAATTGGACAGTATGGCGCATTAGATTTGTAAAATCTTTGACCACATTTATTTATTTGTTATGCCGAATCTAACCGTGTATTTAGATTTTTAATTTTGGGTCCAGTTTTCAAATTGGTCTACATTAAGGTCCAAAGGGTCCAAAATTAAACTTTGTTTGGTTTTAACAAAAATTGAATATATGGGGTTCTTTGATATGCTGAATCTAAACATGTATTTAGAGTTTTGATTTTTGGCCCAGTTTTCAAGTTGGTCCAAATTTGGGTCCAAAATTAAACTTTGTTTGATTTCAACAAAAATTGAATATATGGGGTTCTTTGATATGCTGAATCTAACCATGTATTTAGATTTTTTATTTGTGGACCCCGCTATCAAATTGGTTCATATTGAGGTCAAAAGGGTCCAAAATTAAACTTTGTTTGATTTCAACAAAAATTGAAAATATGGGGTTCTTTGATATGCTGAATCTAACCATGTATTTAGATTTTTGATTTTTGGGCCCTGTTATCAACTTTGTCCACATTGAGGTCAAAATAGTCCAAAATTAAACTTAGTTTGATTTTAACAAAAATTGAATTCTTGGGGTTCTTTGATATGTAGAATCTTAACATGTGTTTAGATTTTTGATAATGGGCCCAGTTTTCAAGTTGGTCCAAGTTGGGGTCCAAAATTAAACTTTGTTTGATTTCAACATAAATTGAATATATGGAGTTCTTTGATATGCTGAATCTAAACATGTATTTAGATTTTAGATTTTTGGCCCAGTTTTCAAGTTGGTCCAAATTGGGGTCCAAAATTAAACTTTGTTTGATTTCAACAAAAATTGAATATATGGGGTTCTTTGATATGCTGAATCTTACCATGTATTTAGATTTTTTATTTGTGGGCCTGCTATCAAATTGGTTCATATTGAGGTCAAAAGGGTCCAAAATTAAACTTTGTTTGATTTCATCAAAAAATGAAAAATTGGGGTTCTTTGATATGCCAAATCTAACCGTGTTTTTAGATTTTTAATTTAGGGTCCCATTTTTAAATTGGTCTACATTAAGGTCCAAAGGGTCCAAAATTAAACTTAGTTTGATTTTAACAAAAATTGAATTCTTGGGGTACTTTGATATGCTGAATCTAAACATCTGTTTAGATTTTTGATTATGGGACCAGTTTTCAAGTTTGTCCAAGTTGGGGTCCAAAATTAAACTTTGTTTGATTTCAACAAAACTTGAATATATGGGGTTCTTTGATATGCTGAATCTAACCATGTATTTTGATTTTGGACATTGGACCATAATAGGTTAATTAAAAAAATTGAAGTTCTTAGACCACATTCTTTCTGTGTCAGAAACCTATGCTGTGTCAAATATTTAATCACAATCCAAATTCAGAACTGTATCAAGCTTGAATGTTGTGTCCATACTTGCCCCAACTGTTCAGGGTTCGACCTCTGTGGTCGTATCAAGCTGCGCCCAGCGAAGCATTTTATTTCTGTTTGCATTGTGACCGTCTAAAAATAGAAACTTATGTATCCTTATGGATACATACGGCATCTACACCTGTGTGCCAAAAGGATAATTTCTGCATTCGCAGGAGGGTGCCAAAAGGATACATTCAGTTTGAAAGGATTAAAACACTACCATTTGAATACTGTTATTTTAGAAATTAATAAATAAGGGATAAAAGAAATTGCTAATAATATTGCACAATGCAACATACCACATCAACCACGAACACCTTTCAAAAAAAAGACATATATAAAGAAAGAATAACACAAAGTACAACACATGGTCCAGATAGCCTGACTTGATACAGGCACAAAATGTTGATTTAAACCAGTTTTACATATGCACAAACCTCCCCTTTACCTCATGCAGATGATATGTCATCAAACTTGAGCTCCAAACTCATATACAATTGTCCTGGTGGTTTCATGGTATCGTGCTGGCCTCAAGTGGGGATGTTTGTGAGTTCAATCCCTAGACAGTCTAAACCAATCACTTGCAAATTGGTATTTACTGCTTCTCCAATAAGTACATGGCATTTAGGAGTAAGACCAAAAACTGATCAGATCAAGAATCAGAATAATGTGAGCTGTGTCGGATAGAAATTGACCTTATGCAAGTGCATGTATACATGTAAAATTAAAATTGAGAATGGAAATGGGGAATGTGTCAAAGAGACAACAACCCGACCATAGACCAGACAACAGCCAAAGGCCACCAATGGGTACATGGATAAGACTATGATTGATTTTGGAACATTCAAATATGAAATAAAGGATAAATTTTGGTCTGTTTTGTAGGGTTCTTATAACAACTCAATTTTCAAACAGTTACAGACTTCACATAGAGAATTTGTTTAACCCGAAATATGTTAACAGATGTGTTCATATTCATTTGCATAAGGTCTTTTCTATCCGACGCAGTTCATGTGTCAGTGATTGTGTGTCTTTCTGCAGAATGTTACCTTGTGAATTAGCATGATAAAAGTCCAGCTCAGCTTGTCAGTCAAATATGAAGCAGGTTTCATTTTCATATCACAGCAACATGATTTTGTTCTGGTCTACATGTAATATTTGTCACCGTTAAAAATCTGTTCTTCCATCAGTCATATTAAATGTCAAAATCAATAGATAGTTGATGCAATATAAAGTTAAAGCATTGTAAGTCCCCTATCGGCAATCAGTTTTCCACACTTTTTTTCTTTGTGCTTGAAGATATGTTGATTTGATATTTGGTATATATAGTTTTATCAAGACCAGTTACAGATCAAGTTTGAATTTTGTTCTGGTCTGATGATTTTGTGCATAGTAATGGTCCTTGGACTCAGAAAATTCACAGAAGAAATCAGTTTTCCACACTTTTTTTCATCATGCTTGAAGATATTGATTTGATCTTTTATTTTATATTGTTTAACCATGACAATAAAATTGAGAATGGAAATGGGGAATATGTCAAAGAGACAACAACCTGACCAAAGAGCAGAAAACAGCAGTTATAGATCAAGATCGAAATTTGTTCCATTCAGATGTTTTTTGGCAGAGTTATGGTCCTTGGATTCAGAAAATATATACAAGTTATCAGTTTTCCACACTTTTTTGTCATTTTGTTCCAGTACAATGAGTATTTAACCAGTAGGGGAATATATATTGCCATTGTATACTCAGAATGCTTGTTTATTTATACTTTTGGTAAAATAAAATTTTGATTGTGTGCACAAAATATCACATTGAGGAAGAATATATTTCTGATCAACCTTAAAGATTTAATTTTATATATTTTGTTTTACAGAGAGAGCTTTACATTCATTTGAAACCTCCTTCCATCCACTGTTTAGTTTAACAACAGGAAACTGTAGATTAGAATTTAAAATAGCAGAAAATAGGTAAAGAGATGGTTATCTCATTAACAGCTTTATATATTGATGATTTTAATACATGATCATATTTTGCTTATAAGGAACATGTTGTGAAGGATATGGATAATCTGTGTTAAAGTACATTATAATAATTTAGGATTTTGAAGCTTTACCTGCACAGAGCAATATAGGTTGTGGTTGTCTGCCACAAAGTTGCATGCCTCTGGCAGATGTTTCGTCTGCCACCAATTCTCTCTTTCCCAACTTCATGGCAGATGAAACATAGACATGCCTTTATTAGCATTGACACATCTCTTCATTCTTTCAATAATTATTAAGCCCTACCCCCCTCAGTCATTGTACATTAAATTTTGCATAGTTTACATGTTGTTTGTGGTTAGGTCACCTTTTTTACCTTTTCTAAAATCTCTTTGTTATTTCTACACATACTAAGAAGAGTATTAGTTGTGAACTTTAATAGACTTTTTATACGACTGCAAAAAAATTTAGCGGTCGTATATTGGTATCACATCATCGGTGTTAGCGTTGTCCGAAGACATTTGGTGTCCGGACAATAACTTTAGTTTAAGTGTATGGATCTCTATGAAATTTAACCAAAAGGTTCAATACCACAAAAGGAAGGGTTTTTTTTTGGGGGGGACACTTTTTTTCCCTCAAAATTTAAGAAATTGTTAATTTTCCAAAGAAAAAAATTGGGGGTCACAATTTATTTTGCTAATTCTTTGTATATAGGCTGAAAACAGATTTACTTAGTATTGCGCAACAGCACAGTGTATTGCACAACAGCAAGAAATCTTCAATTGAATATAAATTCAAATCATACAACCAATTTCAAGTTCTTTGACTACATTTATTCCGTGTCAAAAACATATAATGTGTCAAATATTTAATTACAATCCAAATTCAGACTTGTATCAAGCTTGAATATTGTGTCCATTTTTGCCCCAACTGTTCAGGGTTGGACCTCTGCGGTCATATCCAGCTGCGCTAGGCGAAGCAGTTTATTTAGTGATGAGTTACCTCTTAAATTTCTGTTTTGTTATGTTTCTCTTAAGAAATAGTCTTAATTTTGGGGTAATTACAACCAATGTATGTTGAAATGAAAAAGGACCAGAAAGGCCTAAATTTTGGCACTATTGGATGTGATTAACATTTATAAAAGAAAGAATGTTCTAGGATGTTTTTATGCCCCCACCATAGCGGTGGGGGCAATAAGTTTTACCCTTGTCCGTCTGTATGTACGTACGTACGTCCCAAAATTGGTTTCCATTCTCTAACTTGAGTTTGCCTCAACCAAATGTTATGAAACTTATACACAATGCTTAAATCCACAAAACACAGATCAAGATTGAAACTTGGTGGCGTCACTTTAACTGTTCTAGAGTTATGCCCCTTTATAAATGGAAAAATTGCTAAATTTTTAGTTTCCGTTCTCTAACTTAAGTTTGCCTCAATAAAATGTTATGAAACTTATACACAATGCTTACTACCACAAAACACAGATCAAGTTTGAATTTTGGTGGCATCACTTTAACCATTCTAGAGTTATGCCCCTTTATAAATGGAAAAATTGCAAAATTTTTATTTTCTTCTAAATATCAATAATTTTAAAATTGGAGTTATCTTCCTTTGTCCATGATTATAGTTGAATCAACTAAAATCAATGCTTAATTCAATGCAATGTTTAATTTTGACTTCCACTGATAAAACACAGATCAAGTTGAATTTGGGTAGTGTCACTTTAACCATTATTGAGTTATGCCCCTTTATAAATCGAAAGATTGCAAAATTTTTAGTTTCCATTCTGTAACTTAAGTTTGCCCCAACCAAACATTATGAAACCTATGCACAATATTCATTACCACAAAACTAAGATCAAATACAAATTTTTTGTTTCCGTTTTCTAACTTTAGTTTGCCTCAACCAAATGTTATGAAACTTATACACAATGCTTATTACTACATAATACAGATTAAGTACGAAATTTGGGTAGCGTACCATTCTTGAGTTATGTCCCTTTATAAACATAAAAATTGCTAAATTTTTCGTTTCTGTTCTCTAACTTTAGTTTGTCTCAACCAAATGTCATAAAACTTATACACAACTAAGATCAAGTACAAAGGACAAGGAACGATAAGCCCCCGTTTTGGCCCCCCTATTTTCTTATTTTTCAAATTTTGTTTTGGAAAGCTACTTATCATGTTAAAATATTCCCCGAGGTTTGAAATTTGTTTGGATGAACTTCGAAACCCTTAAATTCAAGGTATTAAAAGGTTTGCATTCTGTAATTCTAATCTTTTGATCTTCACTCAGTGAATTTTAGCCGTCACGGTTCACCGTTCCAGGTGTGAACATCATTTCGTATGAATGATAAACGGGAGTGATAGTTTGAGACAGAAAATAAAAAAAGAAATATAATTATTTTGAGGGAGTAATATGGTGGCACAATAACTGGATAGCCGTGGTATATTTTTATATTTTCCGTAAGCTCAGTTTAAAATGAATTATGACTGCTGAATATTTTTGTAACAATGAAATACTGAATTAATTTAATTGAATAAATATTAATGGCATTCTAAACACGAGTGTATGAACTAAAAATTGTACTATTTTAAATTAGAATCGGTAACCTTGAATATTTGAAATATATTCCACCTGAGTACACGTCTTATGCATCTTTAGTCAGATTGAAAATGAGTTTCATGACTTGTCATCACGGTATAAATTTGTCAGTTTGGTTGGCGATTTTAATGGTCGAACAGCAACAGAGAAAGATTTTCTTATTTTTGATTCTCATGATCCTTCAAATAATTTCTCTGATTTTATAGAAAATAGTGTGTCCATTTTGGACTTTTTAGATATTCCGAGGGAAAGAAAAAATAGAGATATTGGAAAAAATAGGTATGGTTCTTTATTATTGGACTTTTGCAAGGGGAATAACTGTTTTATACTTAATGGGAGGATAAATGGTGACAAGGAAGGAAACTTGACTTGCAGGAATGCAAGTGTTGCAGATTATTGCATTAGTAATGTGAATTTTATAAATAGATTTTGTACTTTGGAAGTAGTAGATTTTTCAAAATTATTTTCTGATGTACATTGCCCATTATCTATTAGTGTGTATGCAACAAATGTAGACGGATGTGAGGTACCTGATTATATAGAAGAAAGTGTAGAAAGGATAAGAAAGTGGGACAGTGATAAATTGATAGAATTTCAACAAAATATAAACCAAGGTAAAATAAAAGATCTTTTGTATAATTTGAAAGAACCAAGGGTAGATGTAAATGTTAATATACATGTTGAGAAACTATGTGAAATTCTTATAGAAAGTGCAAAAGCTACATTTGGCATTTCTCATAGTAAAAACGGGAAAACACGTCAGAAATCGTTTATGAATAAACCCTGGTTTAACCGAGAATGTACATTTGCGAGACAAAATTATTGTAAATTTAGACGAAAATTTAAAAAATATCGAACTACAGTCAATAGATCCAATTTGGCTGGATCAGAAAACATATACAAGAAAACTCTCGACAAAAATCATAGATTATACCGGCAAAATCTTTCAAAAAAATTAAAAGAATTGAGAACCAAAAATTCTAGAGACTATTGGAAAGTACTTAACCAGGGAAAGCGTAAAAAACAACCGGATATCCCAATAGAGAAATTATTTGATTTCTTTATGGATCTAAATGCTTCTCCAACGGATGATAATGGAGTTGATTTACCACCTCTAGATGAAGACCAGGTTAATCATCTTAATTATGATTTGAATTTGTATATAGAAAAAGGAGAAATTTTGAAATGTATAAAAAATTTGAAAAATGATAAGTCTGGTGGTGAAGATGCTGTTATAAATGAATACATAAAAGCAACTTCAAACCAGCTTATCGATATTTATGAAAAATTATTCAATTTGATATTTGATACCGGATTTGTACCAGAGAGTTGGCTAGTTGGTAATATTATACCAATATTCAAGAATAAAGGAGATCGAAATAATCCTAAAAATTTTCGGCCAATTACCATTGTCAGTTGTTTGGGTAAACTGTTTACGGCTGTTTTAACCGCACGTTTGAACAAATATTCTGACGATTTCCTGATTTTACATAAACACAATGTGGCTTTAGGCAAGGTTATAGCACTATGGATAATTTATTTATATTACATTCTCTGTTTGAACTTCTGAAGAAAAGAAAGAAAAAACTTTATTGTGCATTTATAGACTTTGTAAAGGCTTTTGACAAAATTTGGAGGGATGGGCTTTGGCATAAACTACTGTTAAACAATGTAAATGGGAAAATGTTAAATGTGATTCAAAATATGTACAAAAATATTAAATCAAATATTATTTTTAATAATAGCAAGTCTGATTATTTTCCGTGTAATAATGGGGTAAGGCAAGGGGAAAATATGTCCCCTTTTTTGTTTGCAGTTTTTTTAAATGACTTGGAAATTTTTTTACAAACAAAAAACTGTAAGGGCCTTTTCACAGTTACAGGAGAAATAGAACATGAACTTGATGTATTTCTCAATATCATTTTATTATTATATGCAGATGATACTGTTTTGATGGCTGAAACACCACAAGACCTTCAAATACAGTTAGATTTTTTTAATGAATACTGTAACTACTGAAAATTAAAAGTAAATGTATCCAAAACCAAAATATTATGTTTTTCATATGGAAGATTACCAGACAATTTACACTTTGTTTTAGATGATCAAGAAATAGAAATCGTTCAAGAGTTTAGTTATTTGGGTATTTTATTGACAAAAATGGGAAATTATAAAAAGGCAATTAAATCACAAGTTGAAAAAGGGACAAAAGTGATGTATGAGATACTAAAAAGGGGGAAATTTCATAGCCTATCAGTTTCTTGCCAGTTAGATCTTTTTGATAGAGTAGTCAAACCTGTTCTGTTATATGGATCAGAAATATGGGGATTCAGTAACTGTGATATTATCGAAAAGGTTCATCTAAAATTTTGTAAGTTGCTCCTAAATCTGAAATCTTCCACTCCCAACTGTATGATATACGGTGAGCTAGGACGTTTTCCACTTGCTATTGATGTAAAATTAAGGATGATATCCTACTGGTCTAAATTAATTATGGGAAAGCAGTCAAAGTATTCTTGTATTATTTATAAGCTACTGTACCACTTGTATTGTACTAAAAACATAGATTTTAGATGGTTAATATGTGTTAAAAATATATTTGATGAATGTGGATTTTCTTATATCTGGAACACACAGCTCTTTTTAAATGATGTATGGTTGAAATATAATATCAAAGTAAGATTGTGTGATCAATTCAAACAAACATGGAACGAGACTATTCAAAACTGTTCCAAAGCCTTGAATTATCGTATTTTTAAGAATTTATTGTGTTTTGAAGAATATTTTAATATTTTAGACGAAAAAGATTTTTTAACATTATGTAAATTTAGAATATGTAACCATAAACTTCCAGTCGAACTTGGAAGATGGTACAATATAGAAAGGGAAAAAAGAAAGTGTAATTTATGTAAGCTAGATATTGGAGATGAATTCCATTACATTATTAATTGTTCACATTTTAGAGAAGAGAGAAATAAATTTATAAATCGAAATTTTAGTATAAGGCCAAATATTATATTATTTACTGAAATTATGTCGTCTACAAATAGGACAGATCTCATAAATTTATGTAAGTTTATACGAATTTTAAACAAGCGAGTGTGTCCTCCTGAATAATTTCTTTTTGTCTTTGTTGTTGTTGTATATATTGTATATTTATGTTTATGTATTTAATGTATTGTATTACATGCATGTCTTCTCTGTACCTATGTATTTGGTGATGAGAATAAAGATATATATAGATAAATAGATAATTACCAATTGCAATTATATAATTTGATCCGTCCAAAGCGATCTTTATTTACATATTCAGGAATTAATGTCCTTATCAAAATATTTTAAATCTCACAACGTATAAATACTTCAGCCATTTGAAGAAAGATAATTAAAAAGTTGACAGGAAATTTAACTTTGTCTTATTGGAATGAGATCGAATAATGTTTATGTTCCTGCCCAAATAAAAAAAAAAAAGAAGAAAGAGATGAACCACTAGAGATGAACGGCAAGTCACATCAGATTCAGATATTTATATAGTTGATTGTCGTTAACTAGAGATGTATAGTTACATGTCTCTGCGTTAACTGATAAGAATAACAGGAAAGTATAAACTTGAAATAGATTTATGATGAATAATATGCAACTGCGGCACCCCTTTTTATCAAAGCGTACATGCATGTATTTTAATGACTGTCCGTTATTTCGATCATAATGACAATTGTACGTGAAATCCTATAGTTGGTGAGACTTTTATTTTTACCAGATATGCGACTTTTCGTATTTATGTTTTCTCTTATATTACTCTCATTTAATATTTTATGCATAAGTGCAATATTGGGAATGGTTTATTCCCCCACAAGCTAACGTAATAAATTAATCAACCCTCAAGCTGATCAGACGTTAATACAACTACTATCAGTCTATCCGGAGTGAAGTTTCTTTATTTCTTCAAATAAACTTTTGGGGGATCATTAGTGTACGTCCAGTGGCATATATATTACATGCATGTCGGAACAGGAAAATTGGCATAAGGTTCTATTAGAACCATGTTCACATTAATATACATTATACCCAACAATTGTGATAATGACGAATTTCGTCAACTGTTCGAGAACAATCTAATTGAAATATAAATCTGTGATTTTCACTATGTCCATAACTTCGATGAACCAAAGCAAGTTAGATATCGACCTGTATTTAAATCAAATTGGTTCTAGATGTTCTTTCTTATATTCAATATACAATTTTAAATTGCGACTATCTATAGTTCTGTAACTTTCTATCTAGGCGTATAAACCAATGATCGACAAGTGCGTTTTTTTTAAATCAATAGTTTTTCATGTTTCAAAATGTCCATCATTATTGACAACGAGTATATACTTACATTTTCCCCAATTTACCCTTGGAAAAATATGTAAATAGATTTTTATTTTATCAAATCTTTTTTTGGAATTATTTAGATTTTCATAAATATCATTCTTTACACTAGAAATGTTATTTATAAACAAGCGTATGAGTTTAGTAATGACTAGTATATCACTATCGGACACGCAAGACAAAGATGTATATTACACCTGATAGTTTTAAAATGGAAAGTTACAAGTTATCGGCCGTGTACACTGATCAATACCCTCAGAAGTGAAGCGATGCATGAACATGCTTTATGTAATTGTGTAATAAGAGTTTTTAAACCCGACAGGAAATCGCTTGAATACCTGGACGTGTCACCTCACAATACCTCAGGGAATAATTCCTTTAGCCATGCTGGTGATCAGATAAGAGAAGGTCCGAATTTATTTAAATAAGTTTATTACATAAAAGAATTATGAACAAATTAGATTTTCGAAAACGATTTTACACGGAACACTTATTTATGACTTTGAACTTTGACTTTTTAACTAATTCCCATATAAATTTCTTGTTTCAAAAACTTCGTAAAGAAAAAACAGTTTTAAAATGACAGACCATAGTTATTTAAAAAAATAATTACATTTTCCGTATCAAGTTAGTTAGTCGGATAAATGCGACTACGTTAGATTACTGCTGGTTTTGGTCCTTTGTGGTTTATAGATATATCGGGGTTTCTAAACCGAGAAGATGTCAAAATGGCCGCACACAGAGAATTGATACTCTAAATTTAAAATCGATGGTGATCTCTTATCTAGCAGAATAAAACTTTAATATTTATGAATTTGTGCTTTTTTATACAGAATGGACATAATATCAATTTTTTATTTTTTTGCGAAGTTTCCCTTTAATTTCAGCAACTGGGTGAGGTGACGTGAGGGGGGTAAACTTTCCGTTATTATTCAGATATTGTGTTTATTATTCACTTTGGAGGTGTTCCGTACAACGATTTTTTAGTTTTTAAGTGCCTGCGCCAACGTGACCCAGGAATTTTTCTATTACAATGTCATTATCACTGTTTTTGCTGTCTAAATCGCCATAACTTTCTCCGGGTCACGTAGGCGCATGCTATTAAATTTTAAGAAACACAGGCCAAAAATCGTAATTTTTCCTACTTTTAGCTTTTGATGCCCTTTCACCCCCCTCACCTCACCTAGTTGCTGAAATTAATGGTTTTGAAGTTCATCCAAACAAACTTCAAACCTAAGGGAATATTTCAACATAATAAGTAGCTTTCCAAAACAAAATTTGAAAAATGAGAAAATAGGGGGGCCAATAGGGAGGCTTATCATACCTTGTCCTTTTTTGTTCCCGTTTTCTAACTTTAGTTTGCCTCAACCAAATGTTATGAAACTTATACACAATGCTTATTACTACATAATACAGATTGAGTACGAAATTTGGTGAGAACACTTTTACCATTCTTGAGTTATGTCCCTTTATAAACATAACAGTTGCTGAATTTTTCGTTTCGTTCTCTAACTTTAGTTTGTCTCAACCAAATGTTATAAAACTTATACATAACCGTTCTAGAGTTATGCGTGTTTACAAATAGAAAAATTGCTGAATTTTTAGTTTATGTTCTCTACTTAAGTTAGCCTCAACCAAATGTTATGAGACTTACGGTAAACACAATGCTCATTACCACAAAACTCAGATCAAATTCAAATTTGGGTAGTGTCACTTTTACCGTTCTTCAGTTATGTCCCTTTATAACTATATGATATGCAAGCGGGGGCATCATCTGTGTCCACATGTGGACACTATCCACATTTTTACCCATGCTTATGGTGAGAATACTGTCAGTTTTATGATTTCATGATCTATTTAGAAAGTTACTGAAATATGAAACGAGGTATTTTTTGTCAATTTTGAATACTATAAATTCAGAAATTGTTGTGTGCATTTATTATTTCGATTTTTGAAGAATGGGAAAAAAATACGATATTAATTATTGCGATTTCAGGAAAATCTGCATACAGATATATGTATCAGATATCAAAATGTGAGTTCTTATGATTGCGATACTCAAGCAGCTGCATTATTTGCATTAATAAAAACCTCACAATAATTTCTGAATTAAATGTATATATACTATATAGTGTACTGTTTGGCCTTAAGTTTTTAGGTAGAATATATTTTTAAATAATATGGTAAATTAATTTATTTTTTTCCATTATGTGTAAATTGCAGCAGAGTAACACCATATGAAGTTAATTGGTTTGTTTGAAGGGAAATATTCATACATTTGCCAGTTTTATTTTATGTTATAAGTATGCAGCAAACATTATCATCTCAAGAATCTTGTTCAATTTTTCAGACCTTTCTACCTGACACTTTTTAAACATTTAACCTATGTAGGACAAAGAGGTTGTTACAGGACAGCGTTAGAATTCTGTAAATTATTGCTCAGGTAAGTTTTATAACTACTATATAGCAAATATATATCAAACTAGGATTTTTTTATCTCACCATTTCTTACTGTAAGGAAAAAGAAGGAGTATGAAGTAAACCTATACAACACAAAAGTCAAACAGGCACTTAATAAAACCCAAAGATACGAAACAGAGCTCTTAATGCTGGTCTACATCTCAGATTCACAGTGGGGCAATCAACAAATGAACATCAACTTCTACCTCAATGCAAAATAATAATGTGCCTTAAGCAAAATCTTAAAAAGAATTAATATATTTGTTATGTGTTTATACAATCTTTGCCTTAAGAAAGAAAAAAATGCAATAAGTTATTTTTGAAGAGTACAAAAGTTAATGCTTTCCTAATAATAATTACTTAAATCTCATATATTAGTTTCATTTGTTAATGGCTTAACTCTGTTTTATGCGATTTTTCATAACAGTGGTTTCTCAGTTTTTTCATTTAGCCATTTATTGTCTATAATGTTTGCTTCAATTTTGTTGTTATGGGTGTCAATCTGAATGTTTTGTTAGTAACATTATTTCCTTATAACAAGTTAGCTTGATAAATACTCAAGCTTTGAAACTACAATCATGCTACTTTGCATAAATTAAACACCCACATACTATAAAGTTATTCTGATGAATGTAATAACATGGAAAAAATAGTGTTTTATGAATTTTATAAATGTGTTACCAGAATGCATACTATATTATTTCAGTTTAGATCCATACAGTTACCTCTTGTCTATATAAACTAGATCAGATCAAAACATATTGTTAGCTCACCGGGGCCCCTTTGGGCCTCATGTGAGCTTATGCCATCACTTGGCGTCCGTCGTCGTAAACTATTTCAAAAATCTTCTCCTCTGAAACTACTGGGCCAAATACCTTCAAAATTTAAATAAATGTTCCTTAGGGTATCTAGTTTATAAATTGTATCTGAAGTTTTGATCCATTGACAAACATGGCCGCCATGGCTAAAAAATAGAACGTAGGGGTCAAATGCAGTTTTTGGCTTATATCTCAAAAACTAAAGCTTTTAGAGCAAATCTGACATGGGGCAACATTGTTCAATTGGTCAAAATCTACCAGCTTTGAAATTTTCAGACGAATCTAACAACCCATTGTTGGGTTGCTGCCACCGAATTGGTAGTTTTAACAAAATTTTGCGGTTTTTTGTTATTATTTTGAATATTATTATAGATATATATAAACTGTAGCAGCAATAATGTTCAGCAAAGTAAGATCTACAAAAAAGTTAATATGACCATAATTGTCAATTGACCCCTAAGCCTTAAGGAGTTATTGCCCTTTAAAGACAATTTTACACAATTTGTTCATCAAGTTTGCTAACATTTAAAAATCTTCTCTGAAACTACTGGGCCAATTACCTTCAAATTTTAACTAAATGTTCCTTAGGGTATCTTGTTTATAAATTGTATCCAAAGTTTGTAACCATCAAAAACATGGCTGCCTTGCTAAAAATAGAACATAAGGGTCAAATGCAGTTTTCGGCTTATATCTCAAAAACTAAATCTTTTAGAGCAAATGTGACATGGGGTAAAATTGTTTAATTGGTGAAGATCTATCTGCCCTGAAATTTTCAGACAAATTGAACAACCCATTGTTGGGTTGCTGCCACCGAATTGGTAGTTTTAACAAAATTTGGCAGTTTTTTGTTATTATTTTGAATACTGTAAATTCAGAAATTATTGCGATGTTTTTATTATTGCGAAAAATGCGACAGGGTTATAATCGCAATAATTTAAATTCGCATTTTGAAATTTTTTATATGAACTAAACAGGATTTTTCTCAATATCGCAAAAATTAAAAACGCATTTTAGGCTAAAATGACAAAATCGCAATAATAACTGCACGCAATAATTTGTGAATTTACAGTATTATTATAGATATATATAAACTGTAAGCAGCAATAATGTTCAGCAAAGTAAGATCTACAAAAAAGTTAAAATAACCAAAATTGTCAATTTACCCCTTAAGGAGTTATTGCCCTTTAAAGACAATTTTACACAATTTGTTCATCAAGTTTGCTAACATTTAAAAATCTTCTCCTCTGAAATACAGGTGAGCGATTCAGGCTCTTGAGAGCCTCTTGTTTTATATTATTTCAGTTTAGATCCAGACAATGACCCTATGTGTGTATTATTAATGATAGATTTTTATGCTCTGAGATCTGAAGAATTTGCATTTCTTATCAGATTATTTAATGAATGGGAGGTAAGGAAACATAATAAATTGAGTTGTATGAAAAAAAAATTCTCTGTGAAAATCAGTGGTTCTATTATATTAGTATGTTAACATAACAATCTACTTGATATAAATCAAGTAATGAAATCATCATCTTTTAGAAGTTAAATTATAAATGAAATGAGCAAATTAGATAGAACTTTATGAATAAAGGAGACCCAACGACACAAAAACAAAATTCACAAAAAGTATGTGCCATTTCTACCTTCAAGATTTCAAAATTTGTTAATGTACATGTATTAACAACCATTATCAGAGTTAAGGATGTTCCCTCCTCTTGTTTTTGACTTTTTGTCAGATATTCAGAATCCTCTGGTTTTATCCATGTAGTTTCATTCAAAATTTTGTCCCCTAACCCCTATTTTTCTTTTCATAATTTTATAACATATAGCTTAAAAAGCCATATTTGAAAATCTTATAAAAGACTTGTTATTTTTTCATAGTTTTTGAAAGAAAAAAGGTGCCAATGTTAAATATGTGAAAAATCTAGAGAGAATCATTTCCCGCCAACTTTTCAATGGCTTATATCTAGAAAACAAGGACACGGACCCTTCATTTTTTTCTGCTTTTTTAGTTTCGTTATAAATATACTATCAATTTATAACAGTCATTTAAAAAGCTTGTTATTTTAAAACAGAGTAACTCCTGTTCAACTAAATCTCATTTTACAGCCCAAGCATCCTTATATGTGATATCAGAATAAAACTAACAAATAAAAAATTTTGATATGATGCAACTCTTTGAATTTGTCCAATTTCAGAAATTAATAAAGGAGGACATGAAAATTTGTAAGTCCTCAATGGCCAGGTATTTTAATTTCTGGTTTGTCATTTCAACAGTGCTAGTTCTTGCTTCTATACCCTGAAATATTTTGTTTTTTCTTCATTCACACAAGCTTATTTTTGTTGTGTGAAGAATATTGATCTTTTTATATTTTATTTGTGATAAAAATTTAAAGAAAATTTAATTGCTGATATGGATATTTCATCATAGTTTAATATTTGTGTCCCAGTAAACATGGTATTTCTATGATATAATTTTCTAGTACCATAGCTTTATTTTTTCAGGGCCACAGAAATTTATCCCAGTTGCCAAACTTTGCTTTTTCGCTACCATTAGCAATGTTTTGTCAGGCAGATAAAAATGGAGAAGATACAACTCCTGCAGATAATCTGGTACTTTATACTTAACACAATATACAATTTAATTTACAACTGAAGCATTTTACTCCACCAATAACTCTCACACAAATAATCTGTCGTAACTTTATTCCATTAAGAAATTATAAATTTTGATTTTTGAAGTCATAATTCTATGGTTACTTGATCAATTGAACCATATATAAACAAAAAAAATCTCTAAGTTGTTTGTTTAATTATATTTGTTTTTAACCAGATTTTGGAAGAAAAATCGGTTATTGATTTGGGGATGTATGGCGGGCGGGTGGGCGGCTGCCAAACAGTGTCTGTTCATTAACATGCAAACGCTTTGACGAAATTTTTTCAAGTTTAGATATGTTGTATCCTGTGACTAAATGAAGGTCAAGTTCAATTTTCATTTTTATCATGAGACAGTGGTGGCTTCTGATTGTTTCCCTTTAATTCCAGCTCCAGAAATCACTGATGATGTTTCCTGGTTTTCTGATGCCATTGTTAGATAACTGTAGTGTTAACCCTGATTCTGAAGTCTCTAGTCACAGTTTCTTTAGTCCGACAGCTCAGTATAGGTAAGGTCCTATTTTACATATTATTTCATTGAACATATATATACCTATCTTTTGATGACAGATCAAAAGGAGAAGTTATTATACCACTATAGTTTCGGTAGGACAGCCATGTACTAATATACATGCAAACACAATATATGTAATGATAATAGCTTACTTTAGATTGAAATTGTAAGTTATTATATAGATTAAAAAAATAAAATGACATAGAAATACCAAAAGTGTGAAATAAAAGTATTAATTTACAGTTACCAGGAATGAATCATCTATTTAAAAGCATATTTGATACGAGTTATGCAAGCAAAAAAGTACCTTTTTAGAACATCATTACAAAAATCTTTCAGATTGATTTTAATTTACTTATGAATAGATTTATCAAAATGTCACATGTTTCATAGATTATTTTATTCCACAGCCAATCAGATGCTCTGAAACAATTAATATCTTTATATGTTGGACGCTGCCATTCATGCTGGAAACCACCAGAGGTTTTACAGTGGTTAGAAAGAAATGTGAAGGTTGTATTACAAAGAGTTAATGATAAAGATCCTCTTGTGGAGGAATACAGTAAGAAGTAGGTATTTTCCAAATAATGTGTGTATATATATATATATATATATATTCAGTGTATGTAAATACATGTATTCCTTTCTAGACACTTTTTTTTTCTTTTCCAAGTCTAAAGAAACATCTGTTTTAAAATGTATTCAGACATAGTAAAATTAAACTGTTCTGCTTTTCAAAGGGTCTGATTGACAATAAATGAACAGTGTATAAGGATTAAAGTGATAGAGACAAAAATAGTTATTTTTTTTATTTCTGCATGAACTATTTTTTAAGTTTGAAAATGGTTACTTGTCATCTGGATATAAATTTACCAAAATAGATATGCTTTAATTTGTAAACTTGTTATTGTTTTTTTTTATCCCTTTGATTCTTATAACAACAGAATATTACAAATCAAATTGATATCAAACACCCCAGATATGATTACAAGACATTTATCTGTCAGAACATGTTATACTTTGTAAACCTATTACATAATTAATAAGGCCTCAAACTTTTAAAACTACAATAATTGCCACATTTTAAGATATTTCTATTCAGAATTTATATTTGGACAACAGCTATAGATATAATATTTGCCACAGTATGTCTTATACAAATATAATTAGGACTGAGGCAAATATTTTTTTAGGTAAGGCTGGTGCCCATGATTGCCTTTATTTTTGAGTTCTATTTTTGTTTTTTGTGACCCTCTATGATTTTCATGATTAACTTTATATGTGTTTTCTTCTTATCTTCTACTTGCAAGGGAATTCATTTTTAATGACATATCTTGTTCTTATCTGTCTCATATTTTTCAATTTTGGTTGTCTCTCTATATAAGTTTGGAGTTTCTATCTCTTCTTTTTTAATAGATTTTTTTTTTTTAAATTGATTTTCTACAGCCATATATATGTATAGCTCAAATTTATTTTATTTGTGTACATAAACAATATTGTGATTCATTTATTTTTCGTGGGTACCAATTTAAGTGGATTGAGAAAAAATGTATGTTCCTGGATATTTTAATTCATGGTTTGGCCAAAGTCTGAAAACAAGGCTATATATAATTGTTCAACATCTAAATTTATTGTTTACCTATAGCCAGGAAATCTACAAAAATTGGTATCCCATGAATTTATGAATCCACAGTAGGTGTAAAGATTAATTACAATTTATAGTGATAATGCTTTCCAAATAGAAATTTCCTATTTTGTTACAGAAGGAAAACACGATATCAAGGAACACCAAGAAACATTTTACGTCATATATTGTTATCCGAAATCAAAGATGCTACGGCTGCTCTTCCACAGGTATGACTGTTATGTTGTGTCTTATGGGACAATGAATGAAAAATGTCATGAAAATTTGAAAGTTTTTCTTAATTATACCCCTGCTCCAAGAAGAAGAGGGGTACATGTACATTAGTTTGCTATTTCCATCCTTGTCCGTCGCATGTAACTTTTGTTGCATTTTTCTCAGGAACTACAAATAAGAACTTTCTTAAATTTTGATAGGGGGGAATTTTGATATCAAGCTTCATATGAGCATGGTATACTGTGTGATTTGTTTTCAAATTAATCTGTCATCAACTTCCTGTTTACTGCATACTTATATTTTCTTACACACAATGACAATGTATGAAATTTTCATCACATTTTTTTCAAACTATGAATCAAAGCTTTGTGAAAATTTGTATCAAGTTTCCTGTGAGCATGCTATACAGTGTGATGCTTTTTGATTTCCATCACTCATCAACTTCCTGTTGACTGAATAGTTTCACATAATGGTGGCTTTCCGTCACATATTTCCCAGGAACTAAATGAATCAGAGTGCCACAGGATGTTAAGAAGATCTTCCTGAAATTTGGAATCAAGCTTCGTATGAAGTGAGCATGCTTTACTGTATAATGGGATTTCACAGTTACTGAATACTTATTACTTCTTATATATGAGGCATGTATGAAATTTTGTCAATTTTTTTTCAGGAACTATGATTCAGAGCTTCCTGATAGTTGGTATTAAGCTTCATTTGCTAGTTACCTACACTTCTTTTGTGATGTTTATTTTCTAGATGTTGATAGTACTATATGATGTAAATGAAATGCATATTATATAATTAACAAATTTGCCATGATTGTGCAATTGGTGATCCTGAATATCATGACATATTTTATTTTTATACGCCCGTTTACGGGACGTATTATGGTATACCGTTGACCGTCTGTCCGGCTGTCTGTTGTCAACATGTCGGACATTAATTCAAAAACGCTTTAACCGATATGCATGAAACTTTGGTGAATTGTTTATATCTATTGACATGAGCTCGCTTTCGTTTTTTATAAATTTCAGATTTACTATTTCCGAGTTTTGGGGGTTTTTTCATTAAAAAAGGGAGGATTTTCCAGTTTTCGAACAATAACTCAAAATATTTTCACCAATTTGTATGAAACTTTTGTGAATTGTTCATATCTATTGATGTGAGCTCCCTTTCGTTTTTTATAAATTTCGGATTTACCGTTTCGTAGTTTTGGAGTTTTATTCATTAAAAAAGGGGGGATTTTCCAGTTTTCGAACAATAACTCAAAAAAAATTTCACCAATTTGCATGAAACTTTTGTGAATTGTTCATATCTATTAACGTGAGCTCTCTTTCGTTTTTTATAAATTTCAAATTTATCGTTTCCCAGTTTTGGGGTTTTATTCATTAAAAGAGGGGGGATTTTCCTGTTTTCAGACAATAACTCAAAAACAATTTCACCAATTTGCAAGAAACTTTGGTGAATTGTTTATTTCTATTGATATGAGCTCCCTTTTGATTTTTATAAATTTCAGACTATATGTTTCCGATTTATGGGATTTTATTCATTACAAAATGGGGTTTTTTTTAGTTTTCAGACAATAACTCAAAAATGCTTTCAGCATTTTTTATGAAACTTTGGTAAATTGTTTATATTTATTTTTGCAAGCTCCCTTTTGATTTTTATAAATTTTCGATTTTACGTTTTCATGTTATAAGATTTTATTTGTTTATAGTCTGACAACAGATTTACTATGTATGGGGCAACAGCACAGTGTATTGCACAACAGCAAGAAATCTTTCATATAACCAATTTCAAGTTCTTAGACTACATTTATTCAGAAACCTATAATATATCAAATACTTAATTACAATCCAAATTCAGACCTGTATCAAGCTTGAATATTGTGTCCATTTTTGCCCCAACTGTTCAGGGTTGGACCTCTGCAGGCGTATCCAGCTGCGCTCAGCGAAGCAGTTTATTGAACATAGTGCAACATGCTGAAATGTCTCGCCTGATTTACTGATCATGATTGATTTTATGTTAAAAGTTTTGCTACAAGTATCACATAATCTTGTCATTAACTATGATTTAAGTAAATGAAGTCAAGGACAGATGAACTATGATAAAATAAATGTTGTTCTGATAAAATTATATTACAGGATTTGGCTAATACAACTCTGGTCAGCTATGATCCATTACCTCCAACAGATTCCATAGCTGCCTATCAGTCACCACAAAGGTAAGTTATGGTCCATTACCTCCAACAGATTCCATAGCTGCCTATCTGTCACCACAAAGGTAAGCTATGATCCATTATCTCCAACAGATTCCATAACTGCCTATTAATCACCACAAAGGTAAGCTATGATCCATTACCTCCAACAGATTCCTTAGCTGCCTATCAGTCACCACAAAGGTAAGCTATGAACCATTACCTCCAACAGATTCTATACCTTCCTATCTGTCACCACAAAGGTAAGCTATGGTCCATTACCTCCAACAGATTCTGTAGCTGCCTATCAGTCACCACAAAGGTAAGTTATAGTCTATTACCTCCAACAGATTCCTTAGCAGCTATCAATCACCACAAAGGTAAGATCTCTGAACATGTAAAATTGGTAAAAGTTTTAAGAAGCACCTTGAAAAAAATCTGGAACTTATATTTTCTTCATTTTTGTGTCTGCATTGACATAAGGGGCATAAAAATGGAGGAATAAGTTTCTACAGTGTTTCATCTTTTGCTTGAAAAAAAGTGAAACTAGATAAATTAATATTTCGTGAAATGCCATGTTCAAGTAATATTGGAATGGTTTTGAAATGTACTTTACTCTTCATTAATAGTTGTCATAAATTATAGCTATAAACTTTAAGTTGACATTTTATTCAAAAGAAATATTACAGTGACAATTTCATCACCATACATTTTGAAAATGAAATAGAAAATGAATATAGTAAAGCTTGTAATGCTTTTAGTCAACGCTTAACAAATTGAACGATTTATATCAAATAATCAAATATTGAAAATGCTCCTTAAAGAATTTAAATATAGATTGGAAATCCTGGTATTTAAACTCCATCAAATAAAATGCTGGGTAACAACTATGCAAATCTTGACTTCGAAAAAGGTATACAAAAAATAGGTGTTAGATATATTGGCAGTAAAGTATTACATTTTATTTCTTGAAAAAGATTTGTATATTTGAATATTTCATATTCACCTAAATTTTGTTTTTATGTCGTGGAAAATCCAACAGAATCCCATATTTCTTTGATTCAGCATTAATCCATATTTAATAAACTGCTGCAATGTAAGTTCATTTAGGAACTGTTTTATTTTTCAGGACGAGAAGAATAAACCAAGAAAGTAACACATTATCCAACTTTTTTAGATCACTGTTGCCTAATTTTAACCTTGATGTGAGTATATTGTTTACTGTACACATTGCTTGTTAATTAATTATATTACAAAATACAAAATACATTATTGAATAGTGTCCTTTTTATTAACTACAATATTTAGTGAAGTATGTTTAAGGCCACACCAATTTGGATTTTCCTGCTCCTGTTTTGGAGAAATTGACTTTTCAATTAAAAAAAAAAATTACCGCTTCCGCAAATTTTTGGTTAGCAAGCCGCTCCAAAATTAGTTTCTCCTTGAATTTTTTTTTTTCACATAGACGCTTTTCTGTTGCCTATAATGCTCCGATCGTTTTAAACGCACGTGTGATAAATCACTTCGTAAATAAAAGGTAAAAAATCGGGATGCCAACATGCAGTTGTGTCAGCTCATTGCCATAGACAAGTAGTTATTAAGCACACAGTTATCAAACACGTTTCTCATTTTACCTTTAAAGACCTGTTCTAGGATGCAAAAATTGAAAATCTTTCGTTAGATGACTACAAACACATCAATATTTGTTAGAACCATCGTCACCTCCGATCCTTGTTTCAACACACATAGACCTATCTATCTTTCTAAATTATATGTATTAGAGCATCTGTTGCTCCTCTTTTTTCTATGAAATTACCCAGTTATAACATGTACATAAATAATACAACTTCTAAATCACACGATTTAAAAAAAAATTATATCGCTTGCGTCACTTGTAAAACACTCGCCTCAAAAAAACTCATTTTCAAGAAATATATGTAGGACTCAAATCTATGGTGGGTTCCAAACTATGGCAGATTCCTAATCTATGGTAAATGTGACGTCATGCCACCCCAAATCTATGGCAGATTGTTTTACAATCCTAATCTATGGCAAGTTTTAAAATTCCTAATCTATGGCGGGTTTTTTTGTTGTTTTCAAATCTATGGCAAATTTTGTGCAAATGGAAAACAATGCAGTACATATACGACCAATGACTTATCTTAAACAAGTGGACATGTACGACGGGAGCATGTATATAAATATTTGTGAAATAAACATTTCATAAGGGTCAACCAAATCTTGTTGGCAACCAATCAAATTCGTAAATGATGAAATCATATACCTTAATACAGACTTCAAGATTGAAATGATGTGCACCGTAAAAATAAACATTTTTTAATCTGTGCATGTTACCTATTTAACCCATTCATTAAACCAACTAGTAAGTCCCTTATAAAAAAAAAAAGGGGATAGTTTTTTTTATAAAACAAAAATGATAAATAAAAATGAACAGTTTGAATTTTCAAATAATATTTACTTCATCGTTAATATCATTTTTATTTGAAGACGATTTAAATCATATTGGTATCCGGTAATTTTATCTTTCACTTTATAAACTTTGCCAGCTGTAGACAGTAAAATATTTACTATAACTCCTTTTCTAAAATATCCGGTTCTGAAAAAAGCGGTGCCCATGTTCATCGCGGGTTTTGGCTGGTACAGCACATTTTGTCCCTCTTCCGGATAATAAGTCATCTTCCTTTAAACCATCCGCAAATTGTTGTCGAGGGAAATACCTTCATCTGGAATCGTGTTCAAATCTATGAGTTCCGCCAAAGTTTGCGCCGGCGATGATGTAATATTGCGGTATTCTATTGTGACGTAATTTAAAGATCTCCAATAGATTTGGAGAAAACAAAAATCTGCCATAGATTTGATTTGTTTGACGTTTGTTACGTCACATTAGCCATAGATTAGGAACCCGCCATAGATTTGAGTCCTACATATATAAAAACAAAAAAATTTTGCTCACCCGCCCCATATTTTTAGGCAGTTAAGCTGCCTTATGCGAGCACCCTAGATTTGTGTTCTACCCAATAAATGCTGAAATAGGTGCCATTGTTATTATCTAGCTGGCTATTATGTTATTTATAACTAATTGGACATTTTTTTAATACTTTTATTTCTGGAATACAAAAAATAAGACCAGAAAAACCTTAAATGATCGTCAAACTACCCAAAACATTTGAAGTTGCACATAGGACAATAAAAAAAATCAACCAAAATATAGGGTGAGTCATGGGGGTCATCCCAACCCCCTTCAATTTGAAAATGTACTTTTATCTTGTAAACTGTCGCGATCCCCACCCCTAAACAATATATACACTTGTATGGATATAAGAAGATGTGGTATGAGTGCCAATGTGACAACTCTCCATCCAAGTCAAAATTTATAAAAGTAAACCATTATAGGTCACAGTAAGGTCTTCAACACGGAGCCTTGGCTCACACCGAACAGTAAGCTATAAAGGGCCCCAAAAAATTACTAGTGTAAAACCATTCAAACGGGAAAACCAACGGTCTAATCTATATAAAAAAACGAGAAACGAGAAACACTTATGAACCACATCAACAAACGACAACTACTGAACATCAGATTCCTGACTTAGGACAGGTGCAAACAAATGCAGCGGGTTTAAACGTTTTAATGGTACCAAACCTTCACCCTTTTTCTTAAACAATAGTGTAACATCACAACATAGAAAGACACACTATAAAATATCAACTGAAATAGCTTAACTCAATCAAAGGACATATTAACACCATTGAACATACACAGAACAAATAAATTTGACCTATTACACTTGTATGAGACAATAAAAGAAATCAAATGAAAATAATTTGGGGGAGTCCCCGGTGTCGTCCCAACCCCTCCTGTTTGAGAACTTGGAAATGGTCGAGATCCCCACCCCTAAACCATATATATTCAGGTATTGGACAATAAAACAAATCAAATGAAATATATGGGTAGTCTCTGGGGTCACCCCAACCCCTCCTGTTTGAGAACTTGGAAATGGTTGAGATCCCCACCCCTAAACCATATACATTCATGTATGGGACAATAAGACAAATCAAATGAAATATAGAGGGAGTTCCTGGGGACACCCCACCCCCTCCTGTTTGAGAACTTGTAAACAGTCAAGATCCCCACCCCTAAACCATATATATTCATGTATGGGACAATATAACAAATCAAATGAAATATATGGGGAGTTCCTCGGGTCACCCCATCCCCTCCTGTTTGAGAACTTGGAAATGATCGAGATCCCCACCCTAAACCATATATATTCAGGTATGGGACAATAAAACAAATCAAATGAAATATGGGGACACCCCACCCCCTCTTGTTTGAGAACTTGTAAACAGTCAAGATCCCCACCCCTAAACCATATATATTCATGTATGGGACAATATAACAAATCAAATGAAATATTTGGGGAGTCCCTGGGTTCACCCCACCCCCTCCTGTTTGAGAACTTGTAAGCGGTCGAGATACCCACACCTAAACCATATTTATTCCTGTTCATCATTTCAAAAAGATTTGAATGACATACAGGGTCAATCTCCTAGGTGTCACATATGCATATCACTTTACTAGACCAAACCAATATGAACTGGACTTTTGCCCAATGTCAGGAGACCATGGGAATGACAAATTATGGGGGCTTTGTTTGGGAGACTTCGTAACTGCATCCTGTTACAATTATTTCTTGTTTATTATTAAATTTTATTGATGTAAAAAAAGAGTCTAGGTTAATAGAATTTAATTTAGTTATTTATCAAATTATTTCTTGGCCTATAATGATTTTCATTTATGGCTCATTTTAAAGAAAACATATAAATCTTTCAAGCAGTGTAAAGCCCGAGAATGTTTGACCAATTGTATTATAATCGCCTGTCATTTTATTCCAAACTTGGTATGGAGTAACATCATGCACTTGGGGGTGAAGATGAGGGTCATTTACATTGATATATGAGTTGCTTTTGAAAACCATGATGAAATATTAATTAATTTGCCTTAATAATCAATTCATTTAATGAACATAAATGTACAATATACGAATGTTTAATGTTTGTTCTTTCAAATTTTAAAAAAAAATTGAAGTAACACTGCCACAGTTTTCATAATTACGTTTGCCTTGGTTTTTGGTTAACTGCCTACAGCGCTTACAGTGCTTTGATTTGGAGCTTTTGTCCGAAGAACTATTAATCAAATTGGTTTGGCCTAAAGGTCAAATTTATGGATTAAATTGTATGAGTCTATGATATATATCAACAAATGAATAAAGGAGTAAGTTCTGTATAAAGGGTCATATTTGGCCCCAATTATTAAGTTTAATGTTTCAAGATAAAAGATATTTTAAAGTGATAAAAAGACATGTGAGAAAATTGGATACAAATTTTTTTGTTAAAGCTTTAGTTTTAAAGCGTTGATTTTTACATCTCAAAGTAGGTCAAAATGGAGATTTTTGCGAAATTTGACAAAATCTTAAAGATTTCAACCAAATTAAGGCCAAGGAAACATAGCAGGCATCAACAAACTAAATACTCAAGTCAAATATGTAAAATGTTATAACAAACATTTTGTTAAAAGATGTTCTTTGTTGACGCATGTGCTTTAATTATGTTGCCTGTCCAAAAAATCAATCGAAATTTACCCATTTACATTGAACTTTCGTGGAAAATCAAATGAGTGCTATTTGTGACGTCATTTAAAGAACACAAGTACGTAAATTTTCAACAAAAGGACATATTTCCTATCTACTAACTTATTGTATTAGCAATGATTCATTGTAATATTGGGGCCTCGGTGGCCAAGTGGTCTAAGTAGTTCTACTACTGTAATCACTAGCCAGTCAACACTGAGGTTATGAGTTCGAACCCTGCTCGTGCGGGTGCACTTGACTCCAATCTTAATTGACTAGGATTGTCAGTTTTCCTATCGAAGGTCGGTGGTTTTCTCCGGGGACTCCGGCTTCCTCCAACCAATAAAAACTGGCCGCCACGAAATAGCCCAAAAGTGGCGCTTAAAAGTGGCGTTAAAACACCAACAATCAATCAATCAATCATTGTAATATTGGTCAATAAATCCTAATTTGAAATTGTAGCTAGAAATAGGGGCTGTCTTAGGTCTTAAGCTACTCCTTTCTAAGTAAAACTTTTTAGTCCCCTACCGACGAAGTCGAAGGGGACTTTCGGTTTGCACTCCGTCTGTCTGTCTGTCTGTCTGTCTGTCTGTCTGTCCATCTGTCAGTCCGGCAAATCAGTTTTCCACACTATTTTTTGTCATGCTTGAAGATATTGATTTAATAATTGGTAAATAGTTTTATCATGACAAGTTACAGATTAAGTTCAAATTTTGTTACTGGTCTGATGATTTTGTGCAGAGTTATGGTCCTTAGCTTGGACTTAGAAAATTCACTCAAATAATAAGTTTTCCACACTTTTTTTTTCGTCATGCTTGAAGATATTTACTTGATATTTGTTATATAGTTTACACCATGCAAAGTTATAGATCAAGTTAGCATTTTGTTCTAGTACAAGGAATTCTTAACCGGTAGGGGACTATGTTTTGCCATGCAATACTCTCAGAATGCTTGTTGTAAATATTTTTGATAAATAATTCTTATCTAAATCAGCAGAATTCAGTTTACTTGTACCGGCTACTTAAAAAAGACAGGTGCCTGTTACAAATTCAATTCATTGTGTTTTACATATTTAAATTTTTATAACTTATAATTGTCCCAAGTTAAAAATAAATGTTCAAAAATATTGTTTTTATTTTCATGAAAAAAAAGGTTTATAATGAGTTGATGACTTCTTTTGCCATTTTCCTATCCATATACAAACATTTGATGATAAATTAAAGAGATTGAGACTGGTAACTCATATTCAGGAAGGGATAATTCACCTTTTTTTTTCCCTGACATTTTTTGAAATGTGTAAAATTTCATTACAATGCTTTCAATTTAATGTTTTGATTGATGTAACCATTTGTTATCAAAATCAGCCTGAAATCTAAACATTTTTCACACAGAGTCAAATTGTATGGACAAAAAAAGATATTCTTATATGACAATCTAAATATCGTCAACCACTATAATCACAGTATATCTACTTTTAGCACAAACGCATTAATACACAAAATTGGCTGTTTCATGTTACGCCTACCTTATTTATACGACCAGGTAAACTCAAGTTGCGACAGTAAAACCCACGTTTTAAGTAGGCCTAGCTTCAAATACAATACAGCTATCTCTATTCTAATGCAAAATAAACAAATCAGTCAAGTTCAGTTACTATTTCAGTGTAAAATTTCATAAAACGTAAATTCTGTGAAACGAAGTTATTGTTTTTGGCAACTAAACAATGTGACATCATATGTATGCTTCCTGCTTCAAATGTAAACACCAAGTGTTTTTAGGCTTCTTGTATGCCTCAAAATGTAATAAAATTAGATAAAAAGAACATTTGTAGGTGAAATAGTTGTGTTTTTACATTTATTATTGAATAGTATAAAATTATTAATATTATTATATGGGGATAAAACGAAACAGCCAAAACAGTATCTGGTGTATAGGGATTTCACGGTTGATAAAATTACTGTATTTGTCCTAAAAGAATCCAAATGATTCATGCCAGCCATAGATTTGTTTTCATTTAACCATGGGTTGCATGGTCATTTCTACTCGTATTTTACCACTCTCCTTCGCTCGGGATAAAATAATTGAATATAAATGCCCATGGTTAAATGAAAACAAATCTACGGCTGCCATGAATTATTTCTTAATTTTTCACATCTGATTTTCCCTTAAAGGAACAACACTTGCAATGAATATAGACTTCATAGCCTTTCCAACAAGTTAAAATGTATTCTCATCAATGGAAGATTTAAATCTATCCTCATCAATGAAAGATTAAAACTGCCAACAGTTTCCGTGCAATAACTTATGAATGGTTCAACCAATGCTTTTCAAAATTTATAGATTGGAAATGGCACTTGATGCTGCTTCCCTGCAATAAATGTTTAACCAAATCTTTTCCAATTTTAATATCTTGTTACTGATGACTAAAAGGAGGTCAAGTTGGATATTGGTGATTTTCACTTTTGCCATTCAGGAGCTAAGGTCCTTGATTGATTGGAAAATAGGCACAGAATGTTGCAGGTTAGACAAGCCAGAAAGTGCCTTTAAAATACAGTAAACCAGGTTTACTGTCAATTTGACAGTTTATTTCTCGTTAAGAGCATGATTTGAAGAGAACATTACGTGTAGGAAACCACAACATGATTTAAGTGGACAGAGGGGGATCCAGGATTTTAGGTTAGGGGGGGGCGCAAACTTAAATTTTCTTTGAGGTAAAATTATCAAAATATTCTTTATTAAGCTGAGGACCCATGCTTGGCAAATTTTAGGGGGGCGCACGCCCGCCACGCCCCCACCTGAATCAGCCTCAGATGGATTTTATGTCTTGGTGACTTTTCAAGTTTTGTATAGATCTGGCATCAACACCAAATTCCCAAAATGATGAAAAAAAAACAGTTATAACTAAATCCAACCACTGAGTTGGTACATGACTTGAGACAGGTACATGTATACACATGTGGTGGGGTTAAACTAGTTCTGATATCCTGATCTGCCCTCTTTTAATCTCGAGTAATGCAATGAAAAAAAACATACTATAAAAATGAATTTAGGAAAAGAACTTTCTATATATGATGATGGTAAAGGAGGGTGCTTGCACAGAATAAACCTGAAATAAGATATAATTTCACGTTGAAGGTGAAATAATTTCTGTCATGAACATTGCATGAAAAAATAAAGACTTTGATGTGAACCTTTTGTGACTGATTCTGTCTTCCAGTTTATATAAACTCTCTGTTTTACTTGATATTATATCCAATTTTGTATACACATTTATGATATAAATGGTTTGCAACTTTTAAAAAAGTATATAATGATCTTCTTAACTTTTAAAATGCAAATATCCCGCAGACACGAAAGCTCCAAAATCGATAGGGAAGAACATCAAAGGCCTTTCCGCTTTATCAAAAAACAAAATTTCCATTTTTTTCTTGACGATCCCTGCTAAGTGATTGAATTTATTTGAAAAATACTGAGCACGCAAAATAAGCATGTAAAATTAAATAAGCAGAACACCTTGAACGAGGCACCTGTCTTGCAGGACTGAACGTCAAATAAAAAAGTAAAAACATGTAGAATGTGAAATAAAAAACAGCGATTACGTTGCATGAAAATAACCCTTTACCACCCTCTTATATGGATGACTATACTTCAGAATAGATTTAATAAGTGTCAGTGTATTAAATACAATTGCATACAATATTCAGCAGAATATAATACTCTCAATTGTATTTTAACTAAAGCTGAATCAACTTGTCTGTATTTAATCATCATGTGAACCTGGCTGAAAACATATGTTTGATATTTTGTAGGAGCCTGCACCAGCACCACAGCCTCAGGGGGCAGAGGGTGGGGCACAAAATCTCCGACAAGGTATGGTGGTATTAATGGGTGCAATGAGAGACTTACTCAATAACATCAGACCTGTAGAACATCCATTTGAAAATCCTCAGAATGAAGGGGATAATCAAAATAATGACGAGGAAGGGGATGATGCTCAGGATGAAGAATGGGACTGAAAGATTCTTATTGTTTCTTCTGTGTAATAATGATATAACAGCAACTACTGCAATGGATACTATTTTGAAATTAAAGAATTTACACTTTTGTATTTGTAAGATGTAAAGTCGCAAAAGTTAACACTGCTGTTTGTTCTGTAACAAATTTAGGACATACACACAAGATTCATGATGGTTCAGTGTCATGTAAAAAAAAAATTGTATCATGTAAGCAACTAAACTAACTTCAATATTTGTTGATCTGATTTATACCAAGTATACTCAAATCATTTTTTAGATTTTACCCCAAGAACTAAAAAGTGTGTTTTGTAATGAAATTTTTAAAATCATGAAAATAGAAGAAACCATGTAATATAAAATAAATAATTGTTTTATATCTCTTATGTTTTAATGGGTTAATCAAAGCTAACAGAGAAAGAGGAAATTAAAGCAAGTTAAGTCTTCTCATTTATTTCATGTTTTAACTCATTGATCTTAAAAATATTCAATAAGATAGGTTTGACATTTACGATTTAAGCGTTCTGCCCTTTTATCATATTTAAAATAAAGATTTTTAATATGGAGGTTTTCTCTGATGAATTACTACTTGACATTAAGTATTTAGAATATATTCAGTACACAATTGTAATGTCATTGATAAAAATAATGCAGATCAATATCAATTTTGGGAAACGACTTGATATATTTCAACCAACCTTGTACAGATTCTTCTACTGACCAGAATATCTACACCTGCTATTTTATTTTTGATCAGAGTGATATTAGGGTTGTCCATACCAAACAATTTCTTCTAATATTATTTGGAGAAAGCAGGATATATAGGTCTTCCTCTGAAGAAGTGGAAGACTCATTTATTTTTCTAATGGAGTTTTCTTCAATTTATGAATGAAATGACATTTTTTGGGGACCAGTAAGTTAATTCTTAACTAATTATCTATATTTAAAGCATAAAAATTATTAATGCATGCATGAGAGGATTATAATATTCCACAAATAGTGGTGATATCTATTGATGAAGATTAATCAATGAAAGTGTTTTGACAAATCAAAACAAAATTTTAAGTACAGGTATGTTTTTTTTTCTTTTAGTGGCTTAGTAATCAAGAAAAAAACTGTTTCTGCATGTCATACTGCCTCAGTGTAGGTTAGGGTAACCTTAATTTGAAATATTTCCTTTTTTCCACAAATTTTTCACTATTTGCTCCGAGTTTTATTTCACATATTTAAACATGAGTTTTCATATTTAACTTTCAAAATTTAACATATCATTTCTAAAATATTGAATGATAATCTAAAAGTTATGGCTCTAAGAAGAACAACAAAAATCTGTTGATTATTTGAGATTCATTAATATTAACAAATTAAGATAATAAACGCTATATTATTCATACCATTGATACCAATGTTAAGTTTTTAAACCTTTAAACTAAAAGAGGAAGATCTGAAAATAAACTTTTGACATACAGGAGTTTTGCCATGATAGCTTTTACATCTGTAATTAACTAATGTACTGAGTTAAAAAAAGTTAAACAACAAATATTTTTAATTTTTATACGACTGCAAAAAAATTTGTGGTCGTATATTGGTATCACGTCGTTGTATTGCACAAAAGCAAAAAATTAAATATAAATTCAAATCATATAACCAATTCTAAGTTCTTTGACTACAGTTATTCTGTGTCAGAAACCTATTATGTGTCAAATATCAGAGGCAGATTTAGGGGGGGGATGGGGGCCAGGGGGCCTGGGCCCCCCCTTTTGCAGGAAAAATTATGGTTGATTATATAGGGAATCACTGAAGCGTGACTGGAGCGGGCCCCATCTTAGGCAGTCAGTGGGCCCCCTCTTATAAAAATTTCTGGATCCGCCACTGAATATTTAATTACAATCCAAATTCAGACCTGTATCAAGTGCGAATATTGTGTCCATTTTTGCCCCAACTGTTCAGGGTTGGACCTCTGCGGTCATATCCAGCTGTGCTCGGCGAAGCAATTTATTATATTTTATATTTAAAAAATAAATTATATTTATAAACATAACAATAAAATAAATGATAGTATCAAAGAAAATAAACCATAAGGTGCGATTTTATTCAAACAAAAACTTTTTTAATTTAAAGTTTTTTTAATGGAAATATATGTTGCTGAACTTTATTTACCCAGTATACATACTAAGCATTTTACTGTTATACTATAGTTGGTAATTGTTACAGGGAGTTTTATTTACATTAGATTAATGTTCCTCAGATACGAATAGTATTTATTTACATTGAATAAAGGTTACATAACAAGAGTTGTATGTTTTATTTACTGTTTGGAAAATGACAAGTGGAGCTACATAGGAAATTGAATACTTGAAATTTATGAGGATGAGGGAAATATATGATTGATTGATTGATTGGTGGTGTTTAATATCACTTTCAGTACTATTGCCTATATCATGGTGGTCAGTTTTAATTGATGGAGGAAGCAAGAGTACCCAGAGAGAACCACTGACCTTAAGCAGTAAAACTGACAATCCTAGTCAATTAAGATTGGTGCTGAATGCACATGACACTTGCAGGATTCAAACTCATAACCTCAGTATTGATACAGTAGATGAACCAATTGGACCGTATATATGAACAATCTCAGTACAAGGAAATAAGAGTTGAATGCTCTTAATAAAGGTCATATAATTTTGCAAAAATATTAGATTCGAAACAGACTAGCTCAAACATTATATATGAATTAAATGATGTTGGGTATGGACACACAATATGCAATGGTTTTAAACAAGCACATGATGAACCTAATAAAAAGCCATGTCATCTAAAAGTAGTATTGAAAAGATTACAGGCACTATAGCGCGGAAACGCTATGTGATCCGTGTAAACTCATCGAACATTTAAACTTATTAGTAAAGGTTATCTTACCAATGTTGTAATTAGATTTTTGAATATAGTTTACATTGGCACTAATATCGATTTTGTCATCAGCAAATTAAAACATAACTAAATTTGTATTCTTTTCAAACGGGATGTATAAAGACACACCGACGTTCATTTTGATCTATAAAGAGGTTAAACTCTTACTACCGGTATCCTACTGTCTGTCGATACATTTATTTTTGGCATTGCACAAGTCATGTCTTTTTTGACTGTCCATGACGTTAAAATACTAAATCCCTGGGATGTGTTTTAGTTGATTTAAGTCTCTGTTGCATGATTTTTTATTATTAATTGTTTTGGCTTTTAACTACCTGTCAGTAACTGCGAGTACTCTCAAATCGTACTTTCTTGTTTATTTGACCTGTTGATACTAATTGTAATGCTTGTTTGTTATTTAATGTTATTGAGGGTTATATCTGTTCTATACACCAGCTTTGATAAGTGTATGGTATTACTATAAATTTCCACTTTGTACTATGAACATCAAAATTATTTATTTTGAAAAAATATTTCCTTTCTCTATTGGAACTGTACACGTATACCTAACAACAAAATTATTTTCATTTACCTGTGTTTAAAGTATTGCAAATGGCTGATATTTTTGTTCGAGCATATTGTTTTTCTTAAATTGTTTAACATTTCATAACGATATAACATGTTACTTTTATTATTCTTCCCTTAGTTTATTTATTTTGTATTTACATTGTATCATAGGTCAAATTTATTTGTTCAGTGTATGTTCACTGGTGTTAATATGTCCTTTGATTGAGTTAAGCTATTTCAGTTGATATTTTATAGTGTGTCTTTCTATTTTGTGATGTTACACTATTGTTTCAGAAAAAGGGTGAAGGTTTGGTACCATTAAAACGTTTAAACCCGCTGCATTTGTTTGCACCTGTCCTAAGTCAGGAATCTAATGTTCAGTAGTTGTCGTTTGTTGATGTTTTTCATAAGTGTTTATCGTCTCTCGTTTTTTATATAGATTAGACCGTTGGTTTTCCCGTTTAAATGGTTTTACACTTGTAATTTTTGGGACCCTTTATAGCTTACTGTTCGGTGTGAGCCAAGGCTCTGTGTTGAAGACCGTACTTTGACCTGTAATGGTTTACTTTTATAAATTTTGACTTGGATGGAGAGTTGTCTCATTGGCACTCATACCACATCTTCTTATATCTAACTATAGAGCTTGCTTTAAACATCATATAGTCATTGAACTTTGAACTTAGTTGGTGTAAGGCTTCTTTATGATAGGAAGATAAACCCTATATTATATAGTAAGGTCAAATGTCAAGCTCATCAGGTAGAACTATGGGAAAATGAGTAACTACTGCAGAGCAAACTTCTTGGTTGAAATCCTCCCGACTTGTTTCAATTGATAGAATTATTGAATGAATATCCAACTGATTGCGAGATGATGCCTTGCATTGCATTATCTTCAGGTTAGGTAGTTTATCAGACATTCTCTTTTGTGGTTCTCTCTATACACTTGGAAGTGGGTGGCATGGAAATACGGATATTGTTGTATTTAGATTTACTGTTATAAATTTTTGAAACCATTTTAAATTAAGCAATGTAAAGATCTGATTCTTTGTCTGGGTTTTGCTTTAATTTTGGTCGTATGGGGTTTTATTATCTCTTGTTTCTTAGTACTGATAGTAAAATAGAGGATTTTGTCAGAGTTGATAAATTCAACCAAAAAAAGGTAAGACAAGCACAGCCGTGTTAAGTATTGGTATAAAGATAGAAAATTGAATATTCAGTGCAAAAATTAAAGAAGAAAAATCATTGATTTAATTTACACTGATATGTCTCTGGTTCGGCCTGGAACTTATAATAAATATCTAACAATCTATTGTTTTCTTAAATTTTTTGCGGTCGTATATTGGTATGACGTTGGCGTCGTCCGAAGACACATTGGTTTTCGCACTATAACTTTAGTTTAAGTGAATGGATCTCTTTGAAATTTTACCATAAGGTTATATACCACAAAAGGAAGGTTGTTATTGATTTTGGGGGTTATGGTACCAACAGTTAAGGAATTAGGGGCCAAAAATAAGCATTTTTGTAACTTCTAGACAATAACTATTTCACAAAAGCAAAAAATTGAATATAAATTCAAATCATATAACCAATTCTAAGTTCTTTGACTACAGTTACTTGGTGTCAGAAACCTATTATGTGTCAAATATTTAATTACTATCCAAATTCAGACCTGTATCAAGCGCGAATATTGTGTCCATTTTCGCCCCAACTGTTCAGGGTTGGACCTTTGCGGTCGTATCCAGCTGCGCTCAGCGAAGCATTTTATTGTTTTTATAATTTACAAAGTATGATGTATCCCTTTGTAAAATATGAAATGTGTATGTATTTGTTCTTTTTATATAGCCATGGATCTTTCAGTCTGCCGTTAAGTTGAGGACGAGGATAGTTGCCTAAAGGTTTTGTTTTAGAGGTATTTTTTTTTTATACAACTGCACCAGGATGAGCGTTGACATTTTAAGTAATTGCTGGTAGCATAAAAAATTCGTTCGTCCCCCCCCCCCCCCCGGCCCCCCCCCCAAAAAAAAACAAAACAAAAAACAAATCTCTTGTGAAAATAACAAATTTGAACATCTAAACGAAAGCATACTAAGAACAAAGTATAAACAGCGACATCTATATATGTCTCTGGTATAAATCAAATAATAATTTAAATTCTTATTCTCAGTCAAAATTTTGTCATTTGATATCGTATAAATTGCGACTCTAGCTCGAAATTAAAAAAAAACCTTTCATATCTTGAAATTTTTACTTTTACCCGAAATTTTTACTTAAACAATCTGGAATTTTCGAGTTTAAGAAGTCAAAATTTCGAGTTGAAGTCGAAGATTTTAGATTTTGAATTTAAAAATTAAACAGACAGACGCGGGGACCTCTCCAAGACAAATCTATCTTTACAAGAAGTCAAAGTTTACAGCTCTATATTCTCTCTCAACAAAATATAATGTAAGTAAGTAAGTAAATTATATTTAAAGTTGGCATATATGTACACATTAACAGAGAAAACATGAGCTCTGATGAACTCTTTAATCAACTAGTAACGAGTTCATTTCAGGAATTTAGCGGAAATTTCATTGAATTTTGACAAAAGAAGCCAAAGAGAATTCTTTCAAGAAATAATAATGTTTAAATAGGATGTCGCTTTGGACTTCATGACACATTTTCATACAGTTATGACATTATCATACTGTGTAATCATACAAATTTAATTAAAATTGTCTTGGTTATTTTAAATGTTGTCTTGGTTTAAAAAAACACACGATAAAAGACCTCATTAAGGAAACTCTAATTAACGGCATAAAATAATAAGTGAAAATAAATACATATCAAAACATCATATTAATTGACCAGTGGTCAACTTTGACATGCCTTGACTTGTCAGCAAGAAATTAAAAAGGCTGGGTATATAAACTTTAATAAATGCTGTTAATCCAACAACACCAGAAAAGGCACACAAGTTTACAGGATGAAAACTATCGGTAGTGAAATAGATTTGGTTGAAAGAGATCCAAATGGAATCAACTCACATTTAGGGGTATGTATGGTTTTTTTTATTTTTTTCTTATAATTTATCGCAAAACTTGAAAATTATACCATATATTAAAAACTTTAAAAACTTTTCCCAACTTTTCGAACCTTACGGAGATTAAACATGTGTTAGCGTTGAAATGTTTTATCGTGCATTTCAAAAGCAAAAGCGCGTACCTCTTATACATGGGAAATAATCATGACAAAAAAGACACAAGCAAAACAATTAACACAGAAGGTTGTCCGTCACAAAACAGGTATGACCAATTACCTTTGAATTTGTTTCACTGATGGGGTAAAAGTCGGAAAGTTGACGAAATCTGGCAGATTTGAATATCAAATAGTTTATATAACTTACTAGAAGATTTTATAATATTCTAAATTCAATTCATAAAGAAAAAATGTTATTTAGTGTTATACTTTGCAGATGTTGGCAATTCGACAGGTTTTTTTTAAATGACCATATAGTGTAAAACAAATTCAAAGGAAATTGTCCCTTGTGTAAAATAAATTCTAGGCCGACCACCAGTGTTGAATATCTTTATTTAGCTTTTTCCAGAATTCATTATAATTCATTAAAGTGCCATTTAAAGTTTGAGATATTTACACAACTCACTGTTGATAAAATAGCTAGGTCATAGTGAAAAAGTGGACGAAATAACGAATCGATTATTTTAGGACGGTGTTATTGGGTTGAGAGCGAAAATATGGAAATAGACATAGTCGGATAAGTAGACTGAATGCTTTAATACTCTATTTTTAATATATTTCTTCTTTTTTAGACTTTACATTTCGA